CATGCTGCTCCAGTAAGACCTTATCTTAACTGATGACATCTTCCAGGACCCTGATTCCAGATAAGGCCACCTTCTGAGGTACTGTGGTTTATTATTTATTTATTTATTTATTTATTTATTTATTTTTTTTCCTTTTTCTTTTATTATTCATATGTGCATACAGGCTTGGTTCATTTCTCCCCCCTGCCCCAACTCCCTCCCTTACCATCCACTCCGCCCCCTCCCTCTCCCCCCCCTCAATACCCAGCAGAAACTATTTTGCCCTTATTTCTAATTTTGTTGTAGAGAGAGTATAAGCAATAATAGGAAGGAACAAGGGTTTTTGCTGGTTGAGATAAGGATAGCTATACAGGGCATTGACTCACATTAATTTCCTGTGTGTGGGTGTTACCTTCTAGGTTAATTCTTTTTGTGAGGTACTGTGATTTAGTACTTCAGCATACACATTTTGAAGGAATGCCGTTGTGCCCATAGTGCCCTCTCTCTGTTTCTGTTCTTTCTACGCCCTGCCTTTGCAAACTATGTAGTGTAAGTAGATCTGTCATGACTCTTAAGAGTATTTTGTCCTGCATCTTTTTGTCTCTGGCACCTTGTACATAATGTGGATTGTAATTCCAGTGGAAAGATCTTAAGCATCACGAGTTAATAAAAAAGGGAAGACATTCTTCATCTTTTTCTTCTGGGGTCAGGTGGCCAAGAATACTAGCAGTGGTTACCACTTCTATTACCACATGAGTATATCTGATTCCTCATGAGTTATTTCTCATGGACCAATAATTTAGTATTGCCTGGGGGTAATTATGCTTTCTAAGAAATGTTTTTAAGAACATTTAGAAACTCTGACAAGATCCTCTGGGTCTTCAGCAGGTATTTTTGCCCAGAGGATTTCTTTAACGGTCACCTTCTTGCTTGTTCCAATCTTTGGTTTGAGTGTTCTGGCTTTAGGAATTTACAAGTAAATCATGCTGGGTGTGGTGACACACCCAGTTACTTGGGAGGCAGAGGTGTTCTCAATTTGAGGCCAGCCCATGCAAACTTAGGGAGACCCTCCCTCAAAAGTACAATATAAACAAAAGGGCTGGGGGCATGGCTTAGGTGTTAGAGCACTTTCCTAAATGTGTGAGACCCTGGATTTAATACTCAGTAACACACACACACACACACACACACACACACACATATGAGTTTTAGGACCTAGACCCAAACTCCAGGGGTTCCACGTGTTAGGTCCAGCCACTCACCAAACAAAAAGACAAATAATGGTGAAGGGCAGAGAAGGAGATTTATTATGTAGCCCATGACACACTGAGGAAAGACCAAGAACCATTTCAGCCCACTTCTGGGTACAAAAATGAGCATTAGGTTTAAAAAGAAAAAGAATTATGGCAGGGGGCAAAAGATATACATAGTTAAATAGTTCTGGTCACAGATGTGTTCCAGTGGATGATTATCTCAATTCTTGTTTTAGGAGGGTTTCAGAGAAGTTGTTATCCTGTCTTTGTTGCCTGGCTGGTGATCTGTTCTGAGAGGATCCTGCTGTTCCTTTCCTTGGGGGGAATTTCCTCCATCCCTCCTTATAAATGTTACTGTTAAGTCCTGCCCTGCCTGCATTCTAATGTGATCAAAGGTGCTGCAGAGAGACTAGTTCAGGACAAAGAACAAAGGTACAAAATGGAGACAGGAATGCTAGGCTTTTCTCCTGTTTTTAGTTAATTTGTGGGTCCAAGTCAGGACTCAAGTGCTTTTCAGCAAAAACAGTGTAATTACCTGTTACAGTACCAGCCCAGAATGTAAGGTTGGAGCTTGATCAAGACAAGTCTCTGCACCTATGCCTTTCTTGTCCCTTTAAGGACATTATTATCTGTATTTCATGGATTTTTGTCACTGCCACTGTTACCATCATCATCCACAATATGGCTTAGAGGTTAAGAAAAAAAACTCTTATTTTCTAGCTCAATGAGTTTCCTCTTTAAAGTGAGGAAAATTATAGTATCTCAACAAACAGGTGAATTGAGGGGATCAAATCAAGCAAAGAACATTGTCTAGCATACAGTTCTTCCTTTACATTCTTTTTTTTCTGGCAGTGATAGGATTTGAACTCAGGGCCTTGTGCCTCCTAGGCAGCCACTCTATCACATGAGCCATGACTCTAGCCCTTTTTGCTTTAGTTGTTTTTCCAAATAGGGTCTCATGTGTATGTTCAGGCTGACCTGGACTGTGATCCTGCTATTTATGCTTCCCAAGTATCTGGGATGACGGAAGCACTACCAAATACTAGTTGAGATAGGATCTCGCTAACTTTTTTGCTTGGGTGGTCTTGGACCTGTACTCTTTGTCCCCTCAGTAGCTAGGATTATAGTTGTGAGTCACTATGCCTTTCTATGCTTTTAATTACCTTTTGCAGCATAATAAACCATTGTAGGACTTTGCAGCTTAACACAATTACTTTATCATATCATGGTTTTGTGGATCATGAGTTTAGGCAAGGCACAGTGGAAATTCTGCTTCATGTGGCATCCACTGAGGTCACTTGATGTTTTTCCAAGGTCTTTAAACATTTTAATATTAAAATGTTGTAAGAGTTCTTATATTTTTTGCATATAAATCTCAGATGTATGACTGGGAAATGTCTTCTTCCATTCTGTGGGTTTTCTTTTCACGTTTTCACTCTACTGCTTGAGTCACACCTCCAGTTCATTTTGCTATGGTTATTTTGGGGATGGGGGTATCACGAACTATTTTTCCTTGGCTGGCCTCAAACAGCAATCTTTCTGATTTCAGTCTCCCAAGTAACTAGAATTACAAATATGAGCTACTGGTGCCTGGCTCTCATTTATTTTTCCTTGACCTTTTGGTATCATGTAAGAAGACCTTGCCTAAACCGAGGACACAAAGATTTAATTTTTGTTCTCTTCTAAGTATTTTATGGTGTTTGCTGCTAGGTTTAGATCTGGGATTGGTTGGCACCAGTTACTTTTTAGTTGCTAATTAATCAACATTTTAAATCCCTACTTTGTTTCTCTTGCTCGAGGAGCTGTTGGTCAGTCACTCACTGTTAAAACCCTTTATCAGTGGCTTCAGAGATTATTTCTCACGTATCTCTTTATCCTTTTCTTCCTATTTTTAATTTATCCAAAAAAAAAAATTTGCAACTCTACAACATATTGGGAACTGTTATGGATGCTCATTTTATTCCCTCTTCTCCTGCTTCTCCTGTTTATGTGGTGATTTATTTATTTATTTATTTATTTTATTGTGGTACTGGGTTGGAACTTAGAGCTTCACCCTTGCTAGGCAGGTGCTCTTACTGCCTGAACCTCTTGATGAGAGAAAAACTCTTGATGAGAAAAATATTTTGAGGTGTCCTAAATTTTAGTATGAGGACCTGAGGATGGAAGAAAGGAAAAGCTAGGTAAGTTAATCAGTTAATAGCTGCTGGCCAAATCAACAAAATTACTGTATCACATTCCAGAATGTGTGTTAAAACATAGACTCAAACTCTAGGCAGCTGACCCCAAGTAGTCATCACATTATGCTTACGATCCCAAGCCCCGCAGCAACAGCTACATCTCCTTATGGACTGTCCTGTTCCAGAACATTACCCACTTCACATTATCCCACCTAAATTATTAGCCAATGCAAATAACTTATGCTTTCCTTCTAGATTTTCATTACAAAAATGTTCTTGGTTTATAGGTCCAGCAGATATACTTCCAGCTGCTATCTAGCCTTGCTGCTTGTAGGTGCAGGACCTTGTCCCAGGACCAGTTCTTTTCTGGCCAGTATCTGTCACAGCTTGGAAAATCCTTTTATTTCAGAATCCCTTAATCTTAAGAGTTTGGTTTAATACTTCCAAATCAATACCTGTATCTTTCACAGTGAGTCTGTCTCCCCTTCTAAATTGTGTCTAATTTTCTGATAAATGTAGATGTAGACATGTCTGATTTTTTTTGTACCCAGCACAAAATGACTGTACGTAATAGATGCTTTTTAAGTACTGCATGTATATTGTTAAAGTTATCATTCTGCGCCTCCCATCCCTCACTGCTGGATCAAACTCTGGGCCTTGCACATGCTAGGCAAGTAGTCTACCACAGAGCCCTCGATCAGTGTTTTATAGAAACAGATTAGAAATTTTAGAAATTGAACGCTTGTATGATTAGTAAAGGTGCAGTTGAGGAATTTAGCAGTAGAAGGTGAACATAAAATAGTACATTTGAACACTGCTTCAAGTGAGAAACTGCTGTTATAAAGAATGTAAAGTATTACATTTGAGCCATCTTGTCATCTTTCTAGGTTATTCACAACCTGGAGTATATTAACATTTGCAGTAGTTTGAGCCACTTGTTCTTTCTACCAAAAAGATGATGTTAATGAGGAGCCTGTTTCATCTGCATGAATGCAAATGTAGGAGGAACTTCTTTCCCACTGATCTGTTTGGGGAATTCTTTGCAGGATCACTACTGATACCTTTTTGGAAAGTTGTCAGAAATCAAAAATTTCAGGGCTAGGGGTTTTGCTTGTTGGTAAAAGGTTGTCTGTCTTGTACAAGGCTTGAGGTTTGATCCCCAGCACCACAAACAATTAAAAACAAACAAATATTACAAAAAAGAAGAAAGCAATCAAATTTTTTTTCCAGAAGTAAACTGCTTTTAGTAGACCCTGTCTGCATGGATAAATCATGAGTGTAAATTACCATGTGGTTTAGAGTTTAATATCTACGCTTTTTGGGTCTCAGCCACACAATAGCTTGTTACATTGCTCTCTCATTGTCTGCTGAAGAACAATGGCAGGAGAAAATACACCATTGGTTAGTGGATGGTTCAGGACAGCTGATCGGCACGTGCCTCTGAAGTCACAAAGAAGCCTCACAGGTCATGCTCCTAATGAGCCAGAGTCAGCCCCATGTTGAAGACGACTTATCAGGCCGATGTACTCATTGTTAAATGCTACTGGACATTGATTTGAAAACAGTACTTTCTTTTGTTTTGATTCTGTAGGACTCTTGAAAGATTGTGCAATGAATGGTGATACTCGGGCCACAGTGGTGACCTCACCACCTCCAACCACAGCCCCTCACAAGGAGAGGTACTTTGACAGAGTGGATGAAAACAATCCAGAATACTTGCGGGAAAGGAACATGGCACCAGACCTTCGCCAGGACTTCAATATGATGGAGCAAAAGAAGAGGGTGTCCATGATTCTCCAAAGTCCTGTAAGAAAAGATTTTTCCCTGGCACATTCTCGCAATGTGTCTTCCCTCTTCTGATACTTGAGTATGCCCTGTTGTATGAGTGGCACAGTCAGCGTCTTTTAACACAGCAAATTAGTGCCTCATGTATGCGAAGATAGACGGTTGTTAAAATTCAGTTTAGTTCATGTTCCTGAACATAATGAAAATATGAAATGTTTATTTCTCTTTTTCACTTTTTTTTTTTGGTGGGACTAGGGTTTGAACTCAGGGCTTTGCATTTGCAAAGCAGGTACTTGCAAAGCAGACCCTCTACTGCTTTAGCCACACTTCCTCCTTTTTATTTTCTTAACTGCTTGTCCAGGGCATCTCTATATAATGGGACAATCTGAAACTTACTGTTTCCTTCAAAATACAGGTTGAACATCCCTATCCAAAATTTGAGTATTACATAAGTTTTGGATTTCAGAGCATTTCAGATTTTCAGATTTGAGATGCTCAGCTGTTAAAGTCCATGCAAATATTCCAAAATCTAAAAAACTCTGAAATCTGAAACCCTTCTGACCCCAAGCATTTTGGATAAGGGGTACTCAGCTTGGACTTCTCAGTTCTGGTCATCTAGTAAGTTAATAGTATGTGACTTGTTACAGTCAGCATTGTGAATCATGGTCATGCCTACCTTGAGGGTCTTCTAGATGCATCTGTAGTTAAAGTAGACTTGTCCTCATAGTTTGCTCATACTGATGGTGCTACTTGTATGTATTTCATTTTTCTTCTTCTAAGTTTTATTCCCTTAATATTTTGGGGAGATGTCATTGATTTTTTGAAATGATATTGCTAGTCTCTTATGTGCTGTGTGGACATACGGGCTAAAACTAAGGATTTAGCAGTAAATAAGACATCTAAGGCCTCATATGTAATCATCCAGATCAGGTCTCACACTTGACGTTCTAGCTGAAGGAGGTAAGCAATAAAAACAAACACAAGTGCCATTCAGAAAGCAGTGGGGTGCTCAGACTGAGTGTGACTGGTTAGAAAAGGTCTCTTTGAGGAGGGAAGATTTAACCTGATTCTGAATGTCAGGAAGAAGCTGACCATAAAGGTATTAAGAGGAAAAACAGTTCACATTGAGGGACTGGCTAATGTGAATTCCTAGGATAGGGATGAGCTTGAAAGGACTTGAAGAGGCAAAAGGCAGTCAGCGTGGTTGGCACCTGAGAGAGGAGAGATGTGGTTGGCGTGGCTGGCCAGGAAAGTGAGGATGGATCCTGGAGGGCTATGTAAGCTGAGATAGGAGCTTGGATTGGATTCCAGGCATACTACAGTCACTGGAGGACTGCAGACAAAGATGGACATGATTCAGGTTTAAGGAACTCATTGTGACTTTGGTATAGACAGAGCATTGGTTAGGGCAAGGGAGAGCCCATCTTTCAAACTGGAGAGAGCCGTAACTTGGGCCAGGATGGAGAAAGCTGGACTTGTTTGGGTTTCACTTTGAAGATAGGATAAAAAGGACTTGTTGATGAGGGTGTGGAAGTGAGAGGAGATAAAGGAATGAAGAAAAACAATCAGACTTTTGGCTTGAGCAGCTTTTCTTTACAAAAGTAGTAAGAAACTAAATAAAAACAACTAGGGGTAGAACTGAAGAAACTAAGAGCACCTGGTGTAGGCCAGAACTGTGTGAGGCACTGGGGATGAAGGTAGGGAGGAAGGTCCATCCCCACAAGTTGTTTAGAACCCAGGTTTTCCTTCCCTCACTGACTACTACAGAATAGGACCTCCAGTGTTATTTATCATGATGTGATGGATTAGGGATCCTCAGAGGGCTCTTGGCTGACATTCTTTTCTACCATTGAATTAGAAGCAATACATTTGTTTGTTGCATGCTTCCACCAGGTGATAGGTCCCTTGGCAGGAAGGGATAGCTCAAGCAATAAAAAACTAAAAGTAAGTTTAATGCAGAATTATCAAGAGTCTTAGAGTACATACTCAAATGTGGATCATAACCCAGTGAATTTACATTTTCATAATAGATTTCACTTATAATTATTTGACAAGATACTTGTTTCTTAGGGCTGGTGGAGTGGGTCAAGTGGCAGAGCATCTGCCTAACAAGTACAAGGCCCTGAGTTCAAATCCCAGTACTGCTTAAAAAAAAAGACACTTGTTTCTTTATAGGCTATGTGAAAAAGTTAATACAGTTTGGGAAAGCTATAAAGGATATGTGTTGTTACAGTAGTGACTTTATGTTAAAATCATTGTCAATCTATTGGACCTTTCTTGCCTAATTTAGGATTATTTCATAAAAGATGCACATATTAGGGTTCGTTTTTTCTTACTTAGTTTATGAGACAGGGTCTCGTATATCCCAGACTGTCCTCAAACTTGAGATCCTGCCTCAGCCTACCAAGTGCTAGGATTGCAAGTGTGTACCACCATGCCCAGCTTTCTTTTTGTTTTTCTACTTTTTTTCGTGGACTGGGGATTTGATCTCAGGGTCTCATGCTTGCCAGGCAGGCATTTTTACCACTTGAGCCACTCAGCCAACTCTTTTTCTACTTTTAAAAAGTAAATTCAGAAGTATTTTGGAGATAATACTGGAAATCACAAAATAGAATATGAAAATTATTAATAATTATTTCACTGAGAATTATAACTCACATTTTGATTTATTTACTTTTAGTCTTTTTCTGTTTATGAGACTGATACACTAACAAGGCACCTTTTTGTTTTTGGCAGTACTGGGGCTTGAACTCAGGACTTTGCCCTTGTTAGGCAGGTGCTCTACCACTTGAGCAAAGCCTCCAACCCTTCTTGCTCTGGTTATTTTGGAGTGAGGGTCTCACTTTTTCCCAGACCAGGGAAAGCTTCCGTCATAGTTGGGATGACAGGTGCATTCCACCACATCAGATTTTTTTTTTTTTTTTACATTGAAATAAGGGTCTAGCAAACTTTCTTTTTTGCTCAGGCTGGCTTGGAACCACGGTCCTCCTGATCTTAGCTTCCCAAATAGCTTGGGATGTCATTACTCCTAGCTGCTTGTTAAGATGGGGTCTCATGAACTTTTTTGCCTGGGCTGGCCTCAGACCATGATGCTCCTGATTTCACCCTCCCAAGTAGCTAGGACTATAGGTGTTAACCACTGGCACCTGGCTTTTTATAACCCTTTTTACTCAAATGTATATCAAGAGCAATTTAATGGCTTTTTATGTTGACTGTGGCATAGAATTTCCAGTGTATCTGATCAATTCTTTATTCTTTGAAATGCAGATTTTTTTTCTTAATCCAAAATGAATACATTAATGAATAAGTTTCTGAGCACATTTCTGGTTATTCTCTTAGAATAGATTCTTAGGAATAGAATTCCTGTTCAAAATTTTAAGCTTTTATTTTATTAAATTGCTTACCAGAAAAGAATTGTATAAGGATGTCTGCTGTTACAGCACTAAATGAAAGCAAACAAAAAATTGGTTTATGTGATATTACCTTCCCCAAACAGAGAAGAAGTGGTGTTTCACCGTTTTAATGATGCATTTTAGGCTTTCTGTGAAGAATTGGAGTCAATGATACAAGAACAGTTTAAGAAGGGGAAGAATCCCACAGGTCTACTGGCATTACAGCAGATTGCAGATTTTATGACCACAAATGTACCAAATGTCTACCCAGCAGCTCCACAAGGAGGAATGGCTGCCTTAAACATGAGTGAGTAGTTCTTGACTTTTTATATATGCTCTGTAGTTTTCTAGGTAAAATTCAGAAGCTTTCTCATGTGAACTAGATGGGTATACAACTGTGCAATACATAGTGTTGAGTATTCTGGAAATTAGTGTTTTAGTTTGTCATAGTAAAAGATAGGCTGTAAACTTGAAAATGTCTTCAACGCAGCTAGTTCCTTTTTATGAACCGTTTAGATCTGCTATTTGCTACTTCCACAGATGACTTTATTTGGCTTTTTAGGCCCTTTGTGAATTAAAATATCTAATTAGAAATGTTGATGGTATAGCACATCAAATTTAGCTGAATTCATTTTTGGTTCTCACCAAATTTTTTATTTTATTTTATATTTTATTTCATTTCATTTTATATTTTATTTTATTATTTTATTTTATTTTATTTATTTTTTTGAGACAGATCTCACTATATACCCTAAGCTGGCCTCAAACTGGCAATCCTCCTGCCTCATCTTCCTGAGTGTAGGGATTATAGAAGCACACCACACCTGGCTGCACCAACATTTCTTTCTGACTGGGCCTCACTGATGCTTGCAAACTAGTGAGAAATAGGAAATCTGAACGAAAGCCAGAGGGAAGTGTTAGACGGATGGATATGAGCATGGAACAGTCATTATGCAGAGCTGGGCTTGGCTATGGCTGTTGGATTTGTAAATGTTAGTCACAAGTAAGAGCCCGGGGTGATGTGAGCAGCAGCTCATCTGACCTACTGTGTGGGGCACCATGAATCAGTCTCTGCTGGGCTGTGGGGCTGGCAGGGATGGCCACGTCTGAGTGGCCAACCTAAGGTGCTAGAAACTCCATCGCCTAACCACATTTGCTATTCCCCTCTGTTCTGTGGTGTTCATCATCAGCAGATGATTAACGTGTATAAAGTACTAGGAATCACATTTAATTTACTAGCTCAAACCTCCATCCTGAAATGCAGTGGCTGTTAGTAAGGCATTCATGTATATTCATGTTTTCACGTGGACTTTTAATGGATTTCAGTGACATTTGATATGATTTAGATAATAAATGAATGCATTTCACTTGCATACTGTCTTCTAATCAGAGTTAAAGAACCTTTTTTTTTTTTTGAGGTACTAGGGTTTGAACTCAGGGCCTACTTACTCCTTGAGCCATTCTACCAGCCCTTTTTTGTGATGGCTTTTTTTTTGAGGTAGAGTCTCATGAACTGTTTGCCTGGGTTGGCTTGGAACTACATTTGAATTAGATCTTCCTGGTCTCTGCCTCCTGAGTAGCTAGGACTGCAGGTGTGAGCCACCAAAGCCCAGCTGAGATAAAGAACTTTTTTCAGTAATGCCACACCAGAAGTAAATAAATAAGTAAATAAATTAATAAGAAAGGAGGAAAAGATGGAAGGAACACTTCTTTTCCTTGCTTTCCAATGTTCCTTTTTCCCTCCCTCATATTGCATTGGTTAGAACCCACAGTACAAGTGCAAGAGTATACATCCTTGCATTGTTCTCAGTCTTATGCAAAAAATACATTCAGTCTTTCATTGTTTCTTTTTTTCTTTTTCCTGTGGTACTAGGGTTTGAATTTGAGGCCTTCACACTTGCTAGGCAGGTGCTCTGCCGCTTGAGCCATGCCCCAGTCACCTAGTCCTCATCATTGTGTTCAGTGTTAGTGGTGGGTTTTTTGCAGATATCCTTATCAAGTCAAGGATGTTCCTGTCTGTTTCTAATTTGCTGAGTGGTTTATTCTGAAAGGATGTTAACTTTTATGAAATGCTTCTTTTGCATTTATTGAAATGATCACATCATTTTTTTTCTTTACTTTGATACAGTAAATTATAGTTTTTAGTTGCTTGTTTGTTTTGGTTTTTTCCAGTTCTGGGGATTGGACTCAGGGCCTTAGCATGCTAGTCGGCAAGCATTCTACTACTGAGCTACACCCCTAACTGACTGGCTTTTCAATGCTAAACCAACCTACCTTCCTGACATAAACCCTACTCATCATGATGTTTTAAAAATACATACACTACTGGATTATTTACTAAAATTTTATTAAGCACTTTTTAATCTTATGTTTATGAAAAACATTGGCCTTTTTTTTTCTTTACAGTGTTTCTGTGTGGCTTGATAGCAAGGTAATGCTAGTCTCACAGGATGAGTTGGAAAGCGTTCTGAATGAGTTTGTGTGGAATTGGTTTTAACTCTTCTGTAAATGACAGAATTCATAGTATCATCTTTGTGGAAATGTTTGTAATACAAATTCAGCTTAATAGAAACTAGGCAATTCAGGGTATCTGTTTCCTTTGGCGTGAGCTTTGGTGGGTGGTGGTATTCAAAGCATTGATGTATCTCACGTGGTTACAGAATCTCCCATAGTTCAGACCATCCCCTCACTGTCCTCTTAGAGCCTGTAGGATGTGTAGTGATGCCCCTCTACAACTCCACACTCATTGTTTTCTCTCTCCTCTCTGTTGTTGATAAATGTGGTTAGAAGTTTATTTTAGTTTTAAATTTTATTTTATGTCTTCTCAACCCAGATTTTTCTTCATTTCTTTTCTTTTTTTAAATATTTATTTATTTGTGGTGGCACTGGGGTATGAACTCAGGACCTCACACTTGCTAGGCAGGCACTCAACCACTTGAGCCACTCCACCAGCTCTTCATTTCTTATATATATTTAATGCTGTAAATTTCTTTCTAAGCATGCTTTACTGAATCTCACAAACTTGGCTACCTTTCATTACTTCTTAATTACATATTAATGCTGGAGAGCATGGTCTGTCTTTAGAGTTTTTGAGATTTATGCTCTAATATGGAAGGTACATTTTTTAGAGCCATTGTTACTTGATTTACATTGGACAGAAATACTAATATTTGAGGTTTGTTTTTATTTCAGGTCTTGGTATGGTGACTCCTGTGAATGACCTGAGAGGATCTGACTCCATTGCCTATGACAAAGGGGAGAAGTTACTGCGGTGTAAATTGGCAGCATTTTATAGACTTGCAGATCTCTTTGGGTGGTCTCAGCTTATCTACAATCATATCACAGTGAGTATTCTGCAAAAGAGTAGCTGAATGATAAGTGGATTATTATGAGTCTGACACTGCCTCTTCACATTCAGGAGAGGGAAGCAGGCCTAGCTTTAGTAAATCTTCTAGTACCTTCTTTTCAGATTCCTTATCTCAGAGTATAAGAACCTGAAAATTGGCAAGTTTGGGTTGAAGGATATGAGAACAATAGTTTTTTGTTGTGTTTTCCAGGACTAGGATTTGAACTCAGGGCCTTATATTTGCCAGGCAAGCACTCTAACCACTCTAGCCATGTCCCCAGCCCTTTTTTGCTTTAGTTATTTTTTGGATAAGGTCTCATGTTTTTTTCACAAGGCTAGCTTTGGACTGTGAGCCTCCTACCTATGCTTCCCATGTAGCTGGAATTATAAATGTGCACCACCACATCCAGCTTTTATTGGTTGAGATGGGGTCTTGCTAACTTTCGACTAGGCTGGCCTTGAACTGCAGTCCTTCTAATCGTCACCTCCCAGGTAGCTGGGATCACAGGCATGAACCATCATTCCTGGCCCTTTTTTTCTTTTCTTTTTGAGGTATACTGTGGATTGGACCTAGGACCTTGCAAATGCTAGGCAAGTACTCTCCCATTTGAGCTGTACTCCTACCTAGCACTTTTTTTTATTTTAAAATTTTTTTTGCAGTACTGGTCTTTGAACTCAGGACCTCATACTTGGCTAGGCAGCAGCAGCACTCTATCACTTGAGCCATGCCCCTAGCCCTTTATTTTTTTTTTTAATTAAAAAAATTTTTTTGGCAGTACTAGAGTTTGAACTCAGGGCCTCATGCCTGCCATATGGCTGCTCTACCACTTGAGCCATTCCACCAGCTCTTTTATTTTGTTTTTGAGTCAGGATTTCAATGCTACCTTTGCCAGACTGGTCTTGAATTCAAGTTCTTCCTGCCTTTGTTTCCCAGGTAACTGGGATTACAGGCACACACCACCATACCCATCTGAAAACAGTATTTTTTTTTAAACTTCTATCTTGCATGCATGCTTACCTAATAAATGAGTGTTTACCAAGTTATAGGTAGTTCCTAAAATTCTTTTGCTGCTTACAAACATAAGAATGAAGAGGCTTTCTTCCCCACTCTGAAGAAAGCCTTCTATCTCTCAGTGCTTGTTTCTTAGCTACTGCAGTTTTAACCAGCTTTTCGACATTACCAGATCTCTTTTTTTCTTCAGTTCATTCTTATAACAAATATCACTGGGCATGTACTTCCTCTGTGCCAAGCACTGTTCTGACTTGGGGTGTGTCAGGGAGTGATGTGGTTCCTCCTACATTAGCCCCGTGACTAGTGTGCTGCATTGTGGGACTTGACATTGGGCTCTACATAGACACTGAGTGGTCTCTCCTTGCCTGTGCTCTGCATTGCTACCAACATGAGCTTTTCCAAACTGCACACTTGTACCACTGCACACTGCACTCCCAAGTGTGGTGCAGGATGCTGCTCTGCTTTATCCTCCTCAGCAGGGACTTTGTCCATTCTGTATACTGCACACTGCGAGTGGCACACAGTAAACCCTTACAGGGACCAACAGAATGAGAGCCCTGCCCACGCTGAAATTACCTCAGGAAAATCCTGAATTGGCCGTTTTGGTACTTTGGGGTCCAGTTAGCTTAGCCCAAGTATCAGCTCCCTTTTTGGTACTGCTGGCCTCTCCAGTCACACCTTCTTTTCAAGTGAAGAGCTAATGCAGAGTGGTTGCCTGAAACTTAGTTCCATGAAAATGTTACAGTTGGAGTAGGTAATGTAGCCCTTCGCTTTAACAATGGCTTCACATTCGTTGTGGGTTTTAAAATGCTCTTTAAAACTAGCCCTGTTATAAATGTTACTTGTGAAAGTTTGACTCACTTAAGTTGCATATTTTTCTCCTTTAATCAGTTAGGAATCGGCAGAATTAAAGTGTTAGTTAAATGTTTGCTTTTCTGTGAGTGATTGGCTTAGATATTAACATTGAGCATAGAGAAATCCAAGTTACCAAAGTATTTCCTGTCTCTTACTAACTAGAGCTAGAGTTTTTGAGGAAGGTGGTTTTTTTTTCGTTTTTTCAAGTCTTTGTTTTTTTCAATTTTTGTTTTAATATATATGGGATCCATTTTTGTTTTAATGTCTAGGTTTATCATACAGACATTAACAGAAAAGAGATGTTAGCAGTATTCATCAGTGCAACAAAAAATGCCAGCAGCTTATTCTGATCTTTCTTTGAAAGGGGGTGATAGGAATTTTCTGCTAAGAGGGTTTAAAATGGTAACAGGTGTTAGAGAATTGGAGAGAATGGTCTGAATTAGATCTTTGTTGTAAGACGCATCAGAATTAGAGAAACTTTTGGGGGAAGGAGGGACAAACTGGTGTGGCCAAGCTGGCATGATGGGCTGGGTGTCCTCTTTGGTGGTTTGTAGCTGGTGGCTAGGCCTTTGTAAATGTCCTGGCGTTGAGGGAGTGCAGTCAAGGCTTAGCACCTGCAGAACCTGGTAGAGGCTTGGCTCAGCTCTGTCCTAGATTCCAAGGTATGCTGAACTCTGAGGAGATGATCTGGAACTCTAATCCCCACTACCTTCCTTTCCCTCCCTGCCCCGTGACCAGCGAACTGTGCTTGAGATCTGCCCTTGATCTGTGCTACACAAACAAGAGTTGGGAGTGTGTTTAGTTTTTAGATCTGCAGCTGGAGAGTCTCTTCTCCGACACAGAGGCGGGCAGTAGACATGGGCAGAGATACAGGGGGACCTCCAGTGACAGCCCACCAACTCTGAAATGGCATTCTTTTACTTGATGTCTGTATTTTGTCCTTTCTACTTCAGACTCAGAGAATTGTATTTTTTTTTTTTCCCATACTGGGGTTTGAACTCAGGGCCTACACCTTGAGCCACTCCACCAGCCCTTCTTTGTGAAGGGGTATTTTGAGATTGGGTCTTGAGAACTATTTTGCCTGGGCTGGCCTTGAACCTTAATCCTCCTGGTCTCTGCTACCTGAGTAGCTAGGATTACAGACATGAGCCACTGGCACCCGGTGAGAATAGTATATTTTAAACTTTTTCTATTAAATTTTGTAGATCTGTTAAACTTTAACTGAAAGTGTACCTTAGGAAAGTGGTTAAAGAAGAAGACATCATGTACAAATATTTTAAGAGTCTGAATATCCAGAAGCAGGTAGTAAAATGGCTTAGTTATTCAACATCAGTTTGAGGGAATATTGTGCACTATGAAAAATAATTATAAAGGCCTTGTGAAACACTGAAAATGTAAAAAATATTAAGCACATTAATTACTAGAAATGAAAAATACAAAATGTGTACTGTTTTGTAGCTGTGTAAACACATGAAATAAAAGAAATGATTGAAAATAACTGTAATTTTTTTTTTTTAGTGTAGACCCTGACTGATAGCATGCTTCTAATTTTTATATAGAATAAAAAGTTAAGAATAACCAAGACAGTCATGAAGAACAGCTAGGCAGAGAGAGTTTTCCACCAGGTGTCAACTTGACATAGAGTGATGGTAAACTAATGTAATGAGCTTTTGGGAACAGGCAAATAGCTCAGTGGGACAGAGCAGAGAACTCAGAACCAGGTCTCCACACATTGAGATAAGGACACAGGAGTCCAAGTATAAATGAGCACGGAAAGGAAGGACTCGGCAATAATCAGTGCCAGGACACTTGGGTTGGAACATCACGTGGAAAACTGTTGGATTCCTAGTGTATGGCAGGTACTCACAAGACAGTCGTAATGAGTTATGCATTAAATGTGAGAGGCAGTTAACTAAGAATTTTAGAACCAGTTGAGGTTAAAATCACTAAATTTTAGTCTCTGATGGGAAGAAAGATGTCTTTTGGCACAAAAATCCCCTGTCATAAAGGAAAAGAGGGATAAATTAGACTACATTTGACATGAACAAAATTATCCACATGTGGAAGATTTTTGCCTTGCATGTTGTTAATAAATTAATGTTCAAAAAAAGAACTATTAATAAGGAAAGGAAAAAATCAGTATAAAATGGGTAAGATAACTTCACAGGTGGGAAATAAAATGTTCTGTAAGAAATATGAAAAGTTGGTGGCACATACCCAGCTACTTGGGAGGCAGAGTAGGGCCAGCCAGGGCAAAAAAGTTAATGAGACCCCATTTCAACAAATAAGGTGGGTGTTCTGGTGCACATCTGCAATCCCAGCTACTTGAGAGTTGTAGGTAGGAGGATCTCGATCAAAGGGTGGCCCAGGCAGAAAGCACAAGACCCTATCTAAAAAAACAAACTAAAGTAAAAAAGGAGTGTATGGTTGGTAGGGTGGGGTGGGGGGTTTGGCTCAGTTGCTAGAGAACTTGCCTAGCAACAGGAGACCCTGAATTCAAACTCCAGTACTGCCAAAAAAGGAAAAAGAAAGAAAGAAGTATGAAAGTTACTCATCTCATTAATAACCAGGAAATTTGATTTAATTAATAATTAATTTAGAGACAGAGTTTCACTATGTAGCCCAACCTGGCCTGGAACTCTCCATTCTCCTGCTTTAGCCTCCCAAGTGCTGGGATTACAGGCATGCTTAGTTACAGTAACCAGAAGAATTTAAATTAAAATCACAATGAAAGGTTGTTGCACAGATAGCAGATTTACAATTTAAAATGGTTGTAGAAGTGCAGAACTATCAAACATTTGGGGCAGGAGTTGTACACTTAACTAGGCCCTCTGGAAAGTGACTTGGTGTCACTTCCTAGTTTGTTACCTAAAGAACTTGACATGAAGAGCTGAGAACTAGGTAATAAGAGTCTTACAGAGACAGGCTATTACCAAGATGGGTTAGAGAGACTTGGTCCATTGATGGTAATGGTTTATTGTCACTGCTTCTACTGCCACCTGTTTAATGATAGCTTCGTTGTGATTATAGCCCTTCTCCATGTTTTAGATGAGGAGAACAAGGCTCAAAGTGTCTAAAGCGACATAGCTAATTCTCAGAGAGCTTGGATTAGAACTTGAGTCTTCTCTGGCCTTGGATCTGTTCCTAGTGCTGTTTTACTGTACTGAGGGAATCAGGTGAACTCAGCATAAAGATGACATTGAGGCAAGGGAGGACAGTTCAGGTATCTGAGAGCTAAATTGTAGGGTGTGGATGTGGCTTGGTTAAAGTACTCGCCCTAGCATGTGCGAAGTCCTGGGTTCACCCCAGCATTGCAAATCAAACAGTCAGTCAAAAGCAACTCAGTTGTAGACGGGAAGAGAATTTGTTCTGCATTGCACTCCAGAAGCATTGCACTCCAGAAAGGACAGGAAAGAGGCTTCTGCTCAGTGTATAGGAGGGCCACCCGGTTCTCAGGTCTCTTTAGTTTCTCCCTATGTGTAGCAGCACCACAAGCCATGACACAGTGTGTTCCCTGTTAGTATTTGCCCAGTGAAGAGACCGGGTTAGGATGTGCAGGAGCAGCTCCTCACTTGCCCTGCCCAAGCAGAGCTGTGTTATGTCTCTGGTCCATGTGGGAAGAAAGCACTGTGTTGGTGAAGAAGCTGGACTGCACACCTGGAGTCCTTTCCCACTTCCCTAATGTTAGTATTCTGGGCTTTCTTAACCAAGTAGTAAATGCATCCCAAGTTTACCTGTAGAAAGCCTTTTAAAATTTTTACTTATTTATTTAAGTATTTTCAGTGGTACTGAACATTTGAACTTGGAGCCTTGTAGTTGCTAGGCAACCTCTCTGCCTCTTGAGGCATGCCTCCAGCCCTTTTTTGCCTTTAGGGTATTTTTTTTAGATAGGAACTCACATTTTTGGCATAAAATGGCCTGGATCTTTACCCACCTACCTATAGCTGGGATTATAGGAATATACCACTGTGCCTGGTTTGTTTGTTAAGATAGGGATCTTGCTAGCTTTTTGCCTGGGTTAGCCTCAAAGTACAATCTTTCCTTTCTCCACCTCTCAAGTAGGTGGGATTATAGAAGTAAGTCACTGTGGCCTTTTTTTTTTTTCTTTTTTTTTTTTAAATAGACATAGGTCTCATACAGGCTGGCACTGAACTCTTGATCCTCCTGCCTCAGCTCCATAGTTCTGGAATTACAGGTGTGTACCACCAAGCCTGGCTTTTAGGAGTTCTTTTTTGTCTAGTCCACAATAATTATAAAAACTAAATGTAAGCCCAGCATCAGTAGTTTTACGCCTATAATCCTAGCTACTCAGGAGACAGAGATCAGGAGGATCAAGGTTTGAAGCTAGCCCTGGGAAAGTAGTGTGTGAGACCCTGTCTCGAAAAATCCCATCACAAAAAAGGGCTGGTGAAGTGACTCAAGTGGTAGAGTGCCTGCCTAGGAAGTGAGAAGCCCTGAGTTCAAACCCCAGTCCCAACAACAACAACAAAAGAAACAACTAAATGGAACTTTTTTGTAGGAAGGACTCTTCTTATTTAGTGCTGTGCTCCTAGTGTCTGGTGTGTGCGTGGTATGTAGTGCCACAGCTGTGCTGAGTGAATTGTGTGGAAGGAACAGACACCCAGCATGGTGGTCCTGGAGAGACTTGGGAATCTAGTCATGCAGTGAGTACAGGCGACTCTCGTTTGTGACCTCTGTCATCTTCCATCATCCCTCAGGCTTCTAGTAGTAACAAAAACCATTTTGACTTCTAAAAGTAGGCTTTGGTGTTCACTATCACACCCCTGAGTTGCAGCACCATTTTGCCCGTGAGACCTGTGAAAGTAGAGGAACTTACTGAGACTTACTGACTTCTTACAGGGCAAATGTTGAGCTTCTCTGTTCTCTGCAGTGCCAGTTTTTACTGATGTGACCGTGCACTTCACATACTGGAATTCTGATGCAGTACAAAAGCAGAGTTTCTAGTACCTCTTAGCTTCGTGGCAGGTTTTCTCCTGTGCCCCCCTGGGGAGCTAGCTCACTGTAAGCCTGTGGCCTCAAAGATGCAGGTTGTTTCATTTGGATTTTTGGGCTAACTCAGTCATCTTCCTCACAGACCAGGGTGAACTCCGAGCAGGAGCACTTCCTCATTGTACCTTTTGGACTCCTCTACAGCGAAGTGACTGCATCCAGCTTGGTGAGAATGCCCTTCTTTTTGGCATCATGTTTATACTTGTGGTATTGGGTCTTTAAACATCTTCAAATCCAGCTGCACATATGAAACGAGATGGAGGGTCCAGTTGAACGAATAAAACTGATTAGTTAGAGAAGAACCTTTAAAAGAAGTTACAAGTACTTTGAGCTTGGGTTTTAGATAGTTTCCAGTTTGGGTAACTCGAAATCCTTGTGACATTTAAGATTTTGTTTCTTTTTCAGGTTAAGATCAATCTACAAGGAGACATAGTGGATCGTGGCAGTACTAACCTAGGAGTAAATCAAGCTGGCTTCACATTACATTCTGCGATTTATGCTGCCCGGCCGGATGCTAAGTGCATTGTGCACATTCATACCCCGGCAGGCGCCGCGGTGAGTAAGTGGGCTGCCTGGGGCTTCCTGAGCTTGAAGAGCATTCCATGAATCCTTTGGATTGCTGTTCCTTGCTTGTTTTAACAAGTCAATAAGCCTAATTTTGTTGGACTTAAAAAAAAAAAAGTTTTATGATGAAGTTTTGACTTTTTGTGTGTGTGTTGCTAGGGAATAAAACCAAGAGCTAGGCAAGTGTTCTGCTCTTGAGCTACATGCCAGCCACTGGTTTGATTTTCTTTCTTTTTTTTTTTTATTGTGGTTCTGGTGTTTAAACTGGCCTTATCTACTCCAAGCCTTTTTCGCGATTTTTTTTTTTTTTTTCATTTTTCTTTTATTATTCATATGTGCATACAAGGCTTGGTTCATTTCTCCCCCTGCCCCCACCCCTCCCTTACCACCCACTCCCCCCTCCTCCCCCCCTCAATACCCAGCAGAAACTATTTTGCCCTTATTTCTAATTTTGTTGTAGAGAGAGTATAAGCAATAATAGGAAGGAACAAGGGTTTTTGCTGGTTGAGATAAGGATAGCTATACAGGGCATTGACTCACATTGATTTCCTGTGTGTGGGTGTTACCTTCTAGGTTAATTCTTTTTTATCTAACCTTTTCTCTAGTACCTGGTCCCCTTTTCCTATTGGCCTCAGTTGCTTTAAGGTATCTGCTTTAGTTTCTCTGCGTTAAGGGCAACAAATGCTAGCTAGTTTTTGAGGTGTCTTACCTATCCTCACCCTCCTTGTGTGCTCTCGCTTTTATCATGTGCTCATAGTCCAATCCCCTTGTTGTGTTTGCCCTTGATCTAATGTCCACATATGAGGGAGCACATACGATTTTTGGTCTTTTGGGCCAGGCTAACCTCACTCAGAATGATGTTCTCCAATTCCATCCATTTATCAGCGAATGATAACATTTCGTTCTTCTTCATGGCTGCATAAAATTCCATTGTGTATAGATACCACATTTTCTTAATCCATTCGTCAGTGTGGGGCATCTTGGCTGTTTCCATAACTTGGCTATTGTGAATAGTGCCGCAATAAACATGGGTGTGCAGGTGCCTCTGGAGTAACAGTCTTTTGGGTATATCCCCAAGAGTGGTATTGCTGGATCAAATGGTAGATCGATGTAGCTTTTTAAGTAGCCTCCAAATTTTTTTCCAGAGTGGTTGTACTAGTCTACATTCCCACCAACAGTGTAAGAGGGTTCCTTTTTCCCCGCATCCTCGCCAACACCTGTTGTTGGTGGTGTTGCTGATGATGGCTATTCTAACAGGGGTGAGGTGGAATCTTAGTGTGGTTTTAATTTGCATTTCCTTTATTGCTAGAGATGGTGAGCATTTTTTCATGTGTTTTCTGGCCATTTGAATTTCTTCTTTTGAGAAAGTTCTGTTTAGTTCACTTGCCCATTTCTTTATTGGTTCATTAGTTTTGGGAGAATTTAGTTTTTTAAGTTCCCTATATATTCTGGTTATCAGTCCTTTGTCTGATGTATAGTTGGCAAATATTTTCTCCCACTCTGTGGGTGTTCTCTTCAGTTTAGAGACCATTTCTTTTGATGAACAGAAGCTTTTTAGTTTTATGAGGTCCCATTTATCTATGCTATCTCTTAGTTGCTGTGCTGCTGGGGTTTCATTGAGAAAGTTCTTACCTATACCTACTAACTCCAGAGTATTTCCTACTCTTTCTGTATCAACTTAAGAGTTTGGGGTCTGATATTAAGATCCTTGATCCATTTTGAGTTAATGGTATAGGGTGATATACATGGATCTAGTTTCAGTTTTTTGCAGACTGCTAACCAGTTTTCCCAGCAGTTTTTGTTGAAGAGGCTGCTATTTCTCCATCGTATATTTTTAGCTCCTTTGTCAAAGACAAGTTGTTATAGTTGTGTGGCTTCATATCTGGGTCCTCTATTCTGTTCCACTGGTCTTCATGTCTGTTTTTGTGCCAGTACCATGCTGTTTTTATTGTTATTGCTTTGTAATATAGTTTGAAGTCAGGTATTGTGATACCTCCTGCATTGTTCTTTTGACTGAGTATTGCCTTGGCTATTCGTGGCCTCTTGTGTTTCCATATAAATTTAACAGTAGATTTTTCAATCTCTTTAATGAATGTCATTGGAATTTTGATGGGAATTGCATTAAACATGTAGATTACTTTTGGGAGTATCGACATTTTTACTATGTTGATTCTACCAATCCATGAGCATGGGAGATCTCTCCACTTTCTATAGTCTTCCTCAATCTCTTTCTTCAGAAGTGTATAGTTTTCCTTGTAGAGGTCTTTCACATCTTTTGTTAGGTTTACACCTAGGTATTTGATTTTTTTTGAGGCTATTGTAAATGGAATTGTTTTCATACATTCTTTTTCGTTTGCTCATTGTTAGTGTATAGAAATGCTAATGATTTTTCTATGTTGATTTTATATCCTGCTACCTTGCTATAGCTATTGATGATGTCTAGAAGCTTCTGAGTAGAGTTTTTTGGGTCTTTAAGGTATAGGATCATGTCGTCTGCAAATAGGATATTTTGACAGTTTCTTTACCTATTTGTATTCCTTTTATTCCTTCTTCTTGCCTAATTGCTCTGGCTAGGAATTCCAGTACTATGTTGAATAGGAGTGGAGATAGTGGGCATCCTTGTCTGGTTCCTGATTTTAGAGGGAATGGTTTCAGTTTTTCTCCGTTAAGTATAATGCTGGCTGTAGGTTTGTCATATATAGCTTTTATAATGTTGAGGAACTTTCCTTCTATTCCTAGTTTTCTTAGAGCTTTTATCATGAAATGGTGTTGGATCTTATCAAAGGCTTTTTCTGCATCTATTGAGATGATCAAGTGGTTTTTGTCTTTGCTTCTGTTAATGTGGTTTATTACGTTTATTGATTTTCGTATGTTGAACCACCCTGCATCCCTGGGATGAAGCCTACTTGGTCGTGGTGAATAATCTTTTTGATGTGTTGCTGAATTCGGTTTGCCATTATTTTGTTGAGGATTTTTGCATCAATGTTCATTAAGGAGATTGGCCTTAGTTCATTTTTGCAATTTGAGATGGTCTATTTTGCCTGGGCTGGCTTTGAACCATGATCCTCCTGATCTCTGCCTCCTGAGTAGCTAGGATTACAGGCGTGAATCACTGGCATCTGGCTAGTTTGACCTTCTTAAAAGAATTTATTTTTCCCTTTTCCTCTTGAGGGATTCATTTGCTCTCTGACTTCTGATAATCCTGTAATAAATCTGAAAACCTCCATTAGATTTAACAATTAGAGAATCATAGAGGGATGAGGGTGGGGTGAGAGAGTAGTATGTTGAAGACTGACTGGGGAAGGGCAAAATGACAGCAGTAAGCAGAGACTCCTTCTGAGAAGGGGAACAGGAGGAGGGGAGGCAAGGTGAGATGGCAGATAGGAGAGCTCAAGGAAAAGTTTATAGGATGCAAGAGACTTGAATATGTTGACAAGCTATTGGGTACAAGCCTGGAGAGAGGGAGAGAGGGAGGCCTGGAACCAGCCTGCCCAGCTGCTCCGCACATGTTTTGTTCAGAGGATGGAACCTGGATTGTGACTGGAGAGAATAAGAAGAAAAGCATAGATGGTGCAGCTGTCAGGATGCCTGGCCTCCAAACCTAGGCTTCCCAGGAGCCTGTCAGGTCTGCTCGCTGTGTGTTGTCTCTTCTGATGTGAACAGGCCACTCTAACAAAGACCCACTATGAAAATGCACATTTCGGTGGTTCTTTGAAAGGGAAGTACTCAATTTTACACTTTCAGGACTTGTGAGGCTCATTCTGCAATGCTGTATTTCAGTCTGTCCTGATGGTTTGTTTGTTTTTCCGAAGTATGGTGTTACTATGTTTCCCAAACTGATTTCCAGCTCTGGTTTCCAGGCATCCTCCCACCTCAGCCTCCTGAGTAGCTGGACTACTGGCACAAGCCACCACCGCCACCACAACTCGCTGTCTTGATGTGCTAATGTCATGTATATTGGATTGTTTAGATGAATGTCAGCTCTGGTTTGTTTATTTAACTTTACAGGGGTTTTTCGTTGTTGTTGTTGTTTTGTAGACAGGGTCTTGCATTGTGAGCCCAGGCTGGCCTTGAACTCCTGATCGTCCTGCTTTAGCCTCCTGAGTTGGGATTACAGGCATGTACCATCATGCCTGGCTGAACATATGGGTTTTTTTGGTTTTTGTGGTACTGGGGCTTGAACTCAGGGCCTACACTTTGAGCCACTCCATCAGCCCTTTTTTGTGAAGGGTTTTTTTTTTTTTTTTTTGAGATAGGGTCTTGCAAACTATTTGCCTTGTCTGGCTTCGAACTATGATCTTCTTGATCTCTGCCTCCTGAGTAGCTAGGATTATAGGTGTGAGCCACCGGCACCCAACTTGAACATGTTTTTGATGTCAACCTCACAGTGTTCTTTGATGTGTCATTCTTGAAATGATGTAGTTTTTTTCCTAAAATAATGCATGTTTTTCTGTTCACTAAAACGTCTGTAGATCTTTAAGAACCATCAGAAGCACCTTTGAGAATATTGCTATTATGCAGTATGTTTAAAAGTTACTAGGGGCCAGGTGTGCTAGTGCACCGCTCTAATCCCAACACACAGGAGGTGGAGGCAGCCGGGGATACATAGTTGAAACCTTGTCTTGGACAAAAAGGAAATAAAAGGTGTGTGTGGGGGGGAGCTGGTTAGTGTAGCACAGTGTTGAGAGCTTGCTGCTCATGCTCAAATTCCTGACGTCTGTTCCTAACACTGAGGGGGAGGAAAAAGTGTCCTAGTTTGAGAAGGAGATTTCTTTTTTTCTTTCCTTTTTTTTTCTTTTTTTTAAAGATAAAGTCTCACTATTTAGCTCAGGCTGGCCTCCAACTCAAGATCCTTCTGATACTGGACTGGATTGTCATTCCCTGAGTTCATGTCCTGGTGCAGTCAGTGATTGAAGGCGCCAGACAAGCAGTTAGGAGTTAAAACAAATTTATGCCACAGACCAGGAGTTAAGAGTAAAGCAAGCACAAAGTTTATTGAAAGGAGAGTAAAGCCCCTTGACAGGTGGGACTTCGTGAAAGAGCTAAACCAAAGAATGGCTGAAGTTTATGAGATTAAATAGGGGCTGACTTTAGATACCCCTTCCCACTCTACTTTTGAAGCTATTGCTATAATTGGCCATTTGATTAACTTCTCGCTGAACCTGACTGTCTGGCTGCACTCCATCCTTATCAGGCCGGACATTCCAAGGTCTTGTTAGTCCATCTTGTCCTTGAAACCTGTCATGTATATTTTATGACTACGCTTATGATTCTGGTGAGACACCTTTCTTTATCTTGGGAGAGTTTGCTTGTTGCTCTTCTTTTAGGGGTCTACATCTCATCCCTTTAGATGTCTGCCTTTAAGAATGTTTTATCTTGTTTTCCTTGTCTACTGTGCCTCAGCACCTGTGTGCTAAGCTGGTTTTTCAGTTTCCCTAGATGTTTTGCTTTTAAGTGAGCCTTCCTATCTCCTTTATCTGAAACAAAGTTGCTTCTGCTGTCTATCCTTTACATCCCCAGGGTTATTTCTGCCATTTGTTCCTTTACATCCCCAGGGTTGCCGTTTGTTCCTTAAGACATTTCTACCATTTTATTTCCTCTCATACTTGTCCCCTTATACTTCTGCCTCAGCCTCTTGATCTTGAGTGCTGAGATTACAGGCATGCACCATTACACCCAGTTAGGAAATTTCTCAAATGAAGGCTGATACTGATTCTTGGAAAGGAATTAAATGTAGTATTATCTTTTTAGATTAACTTTTCTCTATAGAATTGTGCCTGTAGAACATTTTTTTGAATCTTTCTCGTCTACTGGTCTAAAGTCATAGTGTTGCTGTCCATACAAGACCTTCAAAGTTAGTGTAGTCTAAGGCCAACTTTGGGGAATTTTAGGAACTTTAAGGACTATATGAACACTTAGATTTTTCACTTTGAGACCTAATTTTACTTAAATAAATGTAGAGAAATTATACAGAATAATTGTCCTAAGTTTTATAAATTTATCTGATTTGCTGGTGTTTACGTAAATCCTAAGACAAAAAGTACACGAGACCTTACAGCATGTCCTTTTGAGATGCAGTGACTCCTCAGGAGCCCACTGTGCACTCCCTGGACCGTTAAGTCCTGGCTTGCACAGCATATATAATCAGTGGGAAACCCCAGGTGAATTTCTCCTGAGCTTTCCTAGTTACTGGCAGGGGCCCCAGAAGTGAAGTTTATACCTAAGTTCATGGGTTCATTTATTTCCATAAAGAGAATAAAATAGAACATTTCCCCTTTGGTTTATTTCTATGAGGAGAGCATGTGTGTATTAGGAGTTACAGTTTGACCCTGGCTTGCTTTCCTCATCTGCAGGTCTCTGCAATGAAGTGTGGCCTCTTGCCCATCTCCCCTGAGGCACTTTCCCTGGGAGAGGTGGCTTATCATGACTATCATGGCATTCTGGTTGACGAGGAGGAAAAAGTCCTGATTCAGAAAAATCTTGGGCCTAAAAGCAAGGTCAGTAGGCCTCTGTAAGTTTCGGTTACATAGAGAAGAAGAGCACAGAAGGATGTCTCTGGCCTGGTTCCAAGCACTCCTGTGCTTTCTCCTCAGGTTCTCATTCTCCGGAATCATGGTCTTGTGTCAGTTGGAGAGAGTGTTGAGGAGGCCTTCTATTACATCCATAACCTTGTTGTCGCATGTGAGATCCAGGTAGGTAGTGGCTGTTCTTTTGATGTGTGGTTTACATAGTTATTTCTAGGGTTCATGTAGATTTTCTGATAACTGTCTGGCAAGAATGTGGCTCTGAGCAGTCTCTCTGCCAATGATGAGCTCATGGATTTGGAATTTGACCAAGACAGATAACCATTTTGTTGATTTAAATTAGCAGAAGACTACTTGGGTTGTCATTTCTAATTTTTAAACTTTTCAGATACATAAACCACTAGTGTTTATGGAGTACTGACATGTGCCAGGGCTTTGTGTGTGTCCTAGATACGTTACTTTATTTGACCCTCACACACTCCTTGTGAGAAATCTGGAGCAGACAGGTAGGGTTCGATCATCTCTGCCCCTCATGCCGCCCTGCGCACCCTGGACTCATGCTCTTCCCGTTGTTCTTGGCCAGTGTCTATGGGGTAACAAGGTTTTCAGTCTTGTTGGGTCTGAAAGGTACCTTGTTTTCCCATTTTTTCGCCAAGTATGAGTGCCCAATATTTTGTGACACTAAAGAAAAATCTTCTGACACAACTTTATAGTCCGTGCTATCACTGTCCATCTTATACCCTAGAGATTTGTTTTCTTTGGACACATTTGTTTTCAAGTATCTCTCACAGTCATCTGATCCTCGTAAGCTCTGTGTGGAGTTGAGCCATCCTGTCGGTTGTTTTGGAAAGGTTCGCACTCTGGCCAGTGCTGGAGGACCAGACAACTTAGTTCTGCTGGATCCTGGGAAGTACAAAGCCAAGTCCTGGCCCCCGGGGACTCCAGCAGGAGAAGGCACTGGATCATCTCCCAAGTGGCAGATTGGGGAGCAGGAATTCGAAGCCCTCATGCGGATGCTTGATAATCTGGTAAGAATGGTGCCATCACTGACAAGCTGACAAAGTTTGTTCTGAAAGTAGAAATGTCGGTGTTTTTATAGCAGGGGTGGCTGCCTTCATATGGATTTGAATGTTTCCACCTTCAAACACCATGTGCAAGTAGAGGGATTTTAACTTTTAGGCTGTGACGACAAAACATGGAGGCAAAGGGACACTGTTCTGTCTATATATTTATTTTGGTTTTTGAGATAGGGTCTTGCTATGTAGCCCAGGCTGGCCTCAAACTAGCCATCCTCCTGCCTCTACCTTTAAAGTTGCTCAAATTACTGATGTGCACCACCATGTCTGCCTCTTATTCTGTTTTGTTTTATTCTTTTTTTTTTTTTAAATAACTTTGTGTTTGGATTTAATGGGAACAAGAGTGCTGAGGATACCCCAGGAATAGACTGCTGGATAGCTGGCAGAGTCAGTTCAGTGCCTGTCATCCTGAGAGCACGGTAGACAGGCACTTCCTAAAGCAGTAATCAATGTTGGGTTTGTTTTCTTAGTTCATTCTTGCTGCTTGGGCTTGCGTGGCTCCACAGATGTTTTCTGCCTATTTGCTTCATGGGGGCCTGTGCTTCTTATTTCCGGGACACAGAGGCCAGTAGGGCACAGAAATTGGGATTGCAGGGAGCTGGGGACTATGGTGCATACTTGTAATCCCAGCTACTTGGGAGGCAGAGACAGGAGGATCATGAGTTCAAGGCCAGCCAGGGCAAAGTTAGAGCCTCAGAAACCAGAAACAAACACTAATGGACTAGGGGCATAGCTCAAGTGGTAGAGTGTTTGCTTAGGTCATGAATTTTATACCTAGTATCGCAAAAAAAAAAAAAAAAAAGATTGTGGGGTCCAGCAGAGAAAGGGTGAGAGCACACACAGTGATACAAATACATGCTAGAATGTGGGCTGTGTTAGTGGGTTTGACTGAGGGATTTCATCCTTTTGCAAGGATGAGGAGAAAACTTTATGCAGAAGGTGGTTCTTGGGAATGGGTCTCAAAGAATAAGGAGGGATGGGCCTAGTGGAGAGAGAGAAGGAAGGCATCAGTGCCGAGGCCATGGTGTACTTGACAACACAGCCGGGGGAGCTGGGTACACGATGTATTACATAAGCAACCCCCAGATTCTGATCAGAAGACTGTCCTAGGGTTCAGAAACACAATGTGAGGCAAGTGACTCTGCCCTTCCGTGCTGTAGTGTCAGGAGGTCCATCTTAATGCCATTTGACATTTAGTGCTGGGATGCCAGGAGATGTCATATCTGGGTCCTTCAGAAGGACATGTGTCCTTGTATTGCTGTCACAGCACTACAGTGAGTCCTGGCTATCAGACCATGTCACACATAAGAACTTCTTTGGGCTTGGGAGAATGTTCAAGAAAATGAGAATAGGGAGTTTCTTCCTGGAAGTAGTAGTCACACACGTGCATGCCGTCTGTGAGGAGGGAATGACAGCAGGTCTTCTGTAAGTTGTTCTTTGTGTATGTCTGTGTGTGGTAGTGGGGTTTGAACTCCAGGCCCTTTTTGCTTTTAATAATTTTTCTGGTAGGGTCTCGTGTTTTTGCTGGGCTAGGCTAGACCAAATCCTCCTATGCATAGTGGCCTCCCATGTAGCTGAGATCATAGGCCCATCCCACCATACCTGGTTTGTTGGTTGAGATGGGGGTCTTGCTAACTACTTGCCTGGGCTGGTGTTAGACCGCAGTCCTCCTGATCTCTGCCTCCCAAATAGCCAGGATACAGATGTGCACCACTGTACCCAGCCTTTCATAACTTCTGAATTCATGTATTAACTCTCCACTTATAGGGTCATGAACAGAATGCAGGTCTTGACTCAGAAGTTAATGAACTGGTAGGGAAGGTGGAGGAATAAATCCCAAGTACAGCCCCATCCACGTGATCTGGGTGTAAGAGCTACAAGAAACTGGGTCAGGACCTGGATTGATCAAAGAAAGCTGGAGAAGATGCAGAAGCTAGCAAGCAAAGCAGAAGAAGTAGTGTAACTAGGTAGCAGGTCAAGATAGTGTCACTTCAGGAAGGTAAGTTCCAGAGGACAGGCAGTGGCCTAGGCATCAAGGTGAGGAGTACTGGCTGGCCTTCTGTGCAGTCCTTCACTGTGGTCAGTACTTTAAGAATGCACTGCTCTTCTGCACAGAAGTCTCAGTGAGGAGGAGGTCAGAACCAAGAGCACCACCCTGCCCCATCTTGTGCATCCAGTGCATTCTGGACGGTGGGCAGAGGGAGATCTAAATTATTGTGACTCTCATGCAATAGGGGAGGTTGTAGAAGATGAGGGAAATGTTTGTTATAAAAAGTAGATTTTGCTAGGGATGGTAGTACATGCCTGTAGTATCAGCACTTGGAAGGCTGAGGCAGAAGGACTAACTAGTTTGAGGCCAGCCTGGGCTACATAGAAAGACCCTGTCTCAAAAAGAAAAAAAATCATTTAAAAAAGTGTATTTTGGGCTAGGGACATGGCTCAAGCAGTAGAGCACCTGCCTTGCAAGCGTGAAACCCTGAGTTCAAACCCCAGGATTGTCTCCTAGCTCCCAAAATGTGTATTTTTATTCAGTGTCTTTAATGTGCTCAGATTATTATTTGTAATATTAAAATGCTGTGTAGTTTATAAGAAATACACTGGGCAACAATCACTGATCACAGTGTAGGTTTTAATTTAGTGTCTGATCCGCTGCATATATTGTTTGCTATTAGAGGAATCCTGTTGAAACTAGGCAAGGATCCCCGCACTCTTAAGAATGTTTTGTTTTACCATTTTTACTTGGAATAAATGCTGAGCTGTTTCCAAAAATAAGATGTCATTTCAGTGTCTCCAAGAAAAAATAAATTCCATGTAAATATATGTATGCACATAACACATACAACACACACTATATATATATGTGTGCATGTATGTTGGGGATTGAACCTAACTAACACATACATGCTACGTATGTTCTTTGCCACCATGCTACACCCCAGCCCCTCCCCCAAGGTTTTAAACTAAAAGCCAAATAGTTATTCAGAGGTCTGAACATTATCTTTATTTTTGGTTTGTTACCTTTTTTTTTTTCCCCAGTACTGGGGATTGAACTCAGGATCTTGTGCTTGCTAAGCAGGGGCTCTACCTCTTGAGCCACGCCCCAGCCCTTTTTTTAGTTTTCAGATATGGTCTGTTGATTTTACCCAGCCAGCCTGGACCATGATCCTCCTATTTATGCTTCCCGTGGAGTTGGGCTGTTGGACACACTGTACCATACCCAGTTGATTGAGTTGGGATCTCTAACTTTTTGCCCTGGCTGCCCTTGGACTGAGAGCCTCTTGATCTCTGCCTCCCAAGTAACTAGATAACAGCCTTGAGCCAATGCACCAGGATTTGTCAACATTAAATGGAAGAATAGAGAAAATTTGATCCCCTATCAGGATAAAATGGAAGTTCTGGGGCTTTAGCCTGATGAGAGATTACTCAGTCTCAAAGGAGTAGCTAGAATTAATGAGAACTGAATGTTTCTGAAGACAGTCTTTCTATGGTTGATTCATTATCTTTTATTATCCTGTAACAAAGCTTGCTTATAAGTGGGAAGTTGCCAACATCTTTCTGAGGAAAGCTATATAAAAACAAAACAAAATAACTCCATTAGTGACTCTTACCTTTTAAAAAATATATTAAAGGAGTGATTCATAATAAAGTGGCCCCAAAGAGGAGCAGAAGCCAGAGGGGAAAGAGGATTTTTGTGTTTGAAGAAATGTGTCTTTTTTTTTTGTTTTGTTGTTGTTTTATTATTTGAGACAGGGTCTCACTGTGTAGCTCAGGCTGACTTCAAACTCGTGATCCTCCTACCTCAGCTTCCTAAGTGCTGGGATTAAAGGTGTACACCACACATCCAGCTTTTTGTTTGATTTTGAGACTCTCTTTTGAGAGTTGCCATGCTATTGAGGCTTGTCCCGAACTCTTGGGGTGACATGATTTTCTTATCTCAGTCTCTTGAGTAGCTAGGACCATTGGTGCTTACCACTGTGCTGGACTGTGAAGTGTTCTGGAGCACCTCCATCCCAGGTGCATCGTCTGAATGGCTTTTTAGGACTGAGTCTTCTTGTCATGTATTGTGAAATGCTTTGAGTGACTTGGTCCAAGTGTGAGTATGTTAGATCATTTAGCAGACACCTGTCCAACACCTCCTTTTTTACTTCTTATGCTATATAGCAAAGTACCGCCAGCTTAGCGACTTGCAACATACTCAGTATTTCATGGTTTCCATGGGTTAGCAGTCCCAACACAGCTGAACTCAGTTTAGGGTCTGCCAAGTCTGCAGTCAGGGTATTGGCCAGGGCAGGGTTCTCATCAGAAGGTTTGACTGGGGGAGGATCCACTTCCAGAGAATCTGCCTTCTTATAACTATAGGATTCTCAGCAGTTTGCTTCTCCAGAGACAGCGGTGGTGAGACTCACAGATAGGCACCATACTCTTGTGTCACACAACCCATTGCCTCTTAAGAATTCTACTCGTTAGAAGCAAGTCAGAGGTCCCATCTACACTTATGGGGGAGGATAATATAGTATGTGGGGACCTGGGGGCCACTGTACAATCTGTCTGACACATCTATCAAGTGCTAGTACTGGGTGAGAGATTTCCTGCCCTTGCCCTGGGATATACTGTCATTGGGGAAGGTAGCAAGCAAATCGGTCCAGCAGAGGCATGAGTTAGAAGGAACACAGTGAGCATGAGCATAAGGCAGAGTTGAAAACTGAATTCCGGTGTAAGGTTCAAATATAAAGTGATTTTGCAGAGAACCAGTTGTCATGAGGATAATTGTTTGGTCTTACTTAAAGTTTGTCATAGTATTTAAGCTGTGATTTAAAAGGCAAAAAAAAAAATGTTTGTTAGTATAATCTGTACAGTGGTCAGCAGTAAGTAAGCCCTGTTTGTGTTTTCAATTTCAACTTTTGTTGAAATATAATAAGCAGGAGTGCACACATGTTAAGTGTTCAGTTTATTAATTTTAAAACACTGTATAGCTAGCACCCAGATTAAAAAACAAGATGAGCACCTTAGAAATTCCCAAGGTCCTTTTTTAGTTACCCATCCCAAGGTTAGCCACTGTCCTGTCTCTTGCAACAAAGGTTGTTTTGCTTCTTTCATAAATGGAGCCACACAGTGTGTGTTCTGTTTTTTTGAACCTAGGGCCTTGCACATGCTAGGCAAGCACTTTACCTCTGACCTACCCCCAGCTTGTGGTGGTAGTTTGTATTCTCAGCATTTTGCTTCTGAGAGTCATCCACATTGTTGCATTTGGTAGTATTCTCATTGTTGTATCCCTTCCGCTCTTGACGGACTTTTGGGTTGGTTCTAGTTTGTTTTGTCAGGAATCATGTGATGCTGCTGTCAACATTTTAGGTCTGCCTCCTGGTGAGTGAACCTGTGCTTCTGTGGGATTGTAGAGTAATAGGGTATATGCATGTTCCTTCCACTTTGTAGATATTTCCACCCAGTTTCCAAAATGATCCCAGTTTTGAGATCTGGAATGTTGATTGCCTTTCCCTCTTTTTGGATCCTAGGGCTACAGAACTGGCTACCCTTACCGATACCCTGCTCTGAGAGAGAAATCTAAAAAGTACAGTGATGTGGAGGTTCCTGCCAGTGTCACAGGCTACTCCTTTGCTAGTGACGGTGATTCGGGCACTTGCTCTCCTCTCAGACAGAGTTTTCAGAAGCAGCAGCGAGAGAAGACACGATGGCTGAACTCTGGCCGGGGTGATGAAGCTTCTGAGGAAGGGCAGAACGGAAGCAGTCCCAAGTCGAAGACTAAGGTGTGGACGAACATTACACACGATCACGTGAAACCCTTGCTGCAGTCTCTCTCGTCCGGTGTCTGCGTGCCAAGCTGTATTACCAACTGCTTGGTCTGTGCCTACCTTACTGTTCATAGTTAGATGATGTAGAGCAAGTTGGGCAGCTGGGGCTTCGGAGGCTTTGGGAACCTCTTTCTGACCACCTTAATGAGACCTTCCTCGGTGCCTTGCTTTCCTTCTGAGCCAAAGTGCACGTTACATGTTAGCTAAAAATTCCAGTAATACTGTCTGTCTGAAACTGCTTAAGATACAATGTACTGCTTCAGTAATTCCAGCATAACCTTATTCCACACGTAGCAAAAATACTAAAGAACTTACTTATATTAACGTAAAAGTAGGTGCTCTCATTTAACTCAGTTTGCTTCTGAAGACTGTTAAGACTGTGCACAAGGAAGTAGTTCAGTTATAAACCTGACTTCAGTGTTGCAAACTCTGGTGGTTTCATCACGGCACCAAGGCTTCTTTGTCTCTAGTGTTTTCTTAAGCAGTTTTCCTTCGTGGCTCACTGGCCTGTTCTCCACTGACCTTTGTCCTCTTTCAGCATTGTTCCCTGCCCTCTATCCCAAAGCCTCTGAATGTTCATGCCAGGTGCCCTCTGCATGGACTGTTGCATGTGAGTAGACGGCCATGGTGGTGAGTCTTCTGACTCCTGCTGGGTGCGGCATGACCCAAGTGCAACGCAGGCCATCTGCAGGCACCAGCGACAGACGCTGCCAGGGGTGCTCGTTTTAGTATTGTTGCTCGGGGTTCTCATTTGCCCTGAAAGATGCTCTGATTGTCCTGGTGCTGAAACATTCTTCTGGGATGGGTCTTTACTATCCTGCAGGCTAGCCCTTGACAGTCTACCCAGCTCCTGTGTTGATACGTAGGAGAGGGCCATTCCCATGAGCCCTGGGACCAGAGTCCCTTGTGAGGAGACAGAGGCTGGGACAGACCATCTGTGCAGCCCCCAGATGTTTCTGAAGCAGCAGGCAAGCAGATAAGCACAGCTTTCCCCTTGTAACAGTGCTTTTACTTTAAAGACTTACTTAAAAAAAAAAAGTTTTATCTTCCCCCAGGTGGTTCTGATGTTTTCCAGATGCACAGTTGGCAAGAAGCCGCCATGCTCCTGAGCAGCTGCGTCACGTGGGCGGGGATCCTGCGTGACCAGGGCTGAACTCAGAGTGTGGACTCGCATGTCTCCTCTTCCCCCTTCTCTTCTTTTTCTGTTTGGTTTACTTGTTAAAGGGAGTGGGTCTTATAAGCAAACCCCTTTTTGCTGCTGCTGCTGTGACTGCCCTATGCACTGCTGAAGAGTCTTTCCAGAGTGTACACATAGTAGCAGCTTTGAGTATTGCAACTATTGGCTTGAGAAAGATCCAGTCACTGTAGCTATTTTAGTCAATGTATACATCAAAGCCTGGACCTTGTTCAGCTTTTCTATTTGTTTCCTATTGTTCTGGAGTAATACAAATTCCATGCAGTGTTCCCAGGTTGGTATATTTTAACTTATAATTGTTAATTTTTCAAATGTGTTCAAGCTTATGAGGTGGCTGTTTAATGTTTTGACTTAAAATTATTTTTAATAAAATGCTGGAGTTGTTTTTATCTGAGAAGATAAGCACCAGTGAGTACCCACGGCTCCATGCCCATTCCACACTCCTTCGCAGTGGCTAAGCATCTGACAGTTGTGTTGCTTCCTTTAAAGTCTTTTGGTTTATGGCTATCTTACTGCCTCTCGAAATATTCTGAAAGGCATAGCATTTGCTCTCTAAGATGGCTTGTTTTAATGTTCAGTGCCTACCCACACCTAAGAATTAGAATTTGACTAAAAATCTCATATTTGATTGGGGTTCCAAAAGAAAATTTACGAGTAGAGGTGCTGAGGATATGCACTGATACCTAAAACGGCCTTTAAGGACTCATAAAGCGCTTCAAGTTTGTTTGGGATGTTTTTGTAACACTCAGAGGTATTAAGTCATATAAAATATTCGACATCACCAAACTCTTTTACCAGGTAGCTACTGTACAAGTGCTAAAACAGTCATTTTCTTGGGTTAAAATAGTGTGCACACAGTGCATTCTGATGCTGTCATTTACTTTAACGCAAAACTTTGGTGATGCCCACTCTCGCCTCACGGTACAGACTCTTCCCTACTCCTGGGCAGCAGCATCACATTGCCTCTCATAATCCTATCATCTCACGCTTCCAGTTGCCTTTGGTGTTGGGTGACTCTCAGGGTGGTGAACCAATGGTCTCTGTGGGAACTGCTCTGGTGGGTCTGAGGGTTACGAGCTCAGCTCTGTCATCAACCTGCTTTGTGCCCTAGATTTCAGCTGGGCTTTCTACATAGCCTTTTCCCATCAGTCAAGACTCTGACTCCCACCATTCACTGGTTTTTATTTGGCCACATCCCACTCCCATGGTGACTTTGCTGAGTGACCCAGGAAATGTGGTCATTGGTTCAGTCCTCTCTGTGATGTTCAGTGCATGACAAGATGTGAAGTCACTTGGATAAGTTGGATGCTGTGATGTCTCTTACTGTTACCATAATCCTGACTCTTCAACTGTTCTTGACATTACAGTGGACTAAAGAGGATGGACATAGAACTTCCACCTCTGCTGTCCCTAACCTGTTTGTCCCATTGAACACTAACCCAAAAGAGGTCCAGGAGATGAGGAACAAGGTGCGTCCTGCCGTTGGTACTGCCTGGGAACGTGGGTGTGGGATCGGGAGGGATGCTCGCTGCTGCAGGGTACTGGGTGTGCTTGCTTCTAACAGAGGACATGTGCTGCCACCACTAATGGAGCCTGTCATCTTCTTCACACTGCCGCTCCTGTTCACCAACAGTGTGAAGTGTTGAGCACCAGACATTTTAGGGTTCCACTGATTCTGGAACTGGTGCTTTCCCAACATCTGGTCTGAAGTAGAAGCCCCAAAGCCTGCTCCTAGCAAGAGTTAGCTGCTCTTGTCTTTCAGGGTTCATTCAAAGAGCTGAGAAGAGCATTTGGTGTTAGAACATGAGACTCACCAGCACTCACAGTGTCATTAGAAGTGGGCATATAGCCCACTACTGAGCACGATTTATTATCTGCGCCCTGCCCCCAGGACGGCGTGAGAAGTTAGGGGAGTACCGCCATCCCTGCAGACCCCGCCTCACTGTGCATGTTGGGCCAGTACTATCAAGCACGCATGTCCCAGCTATCCTGCTCCCCTGGGCCCAGGCAGAGCGGAAGTACACAAACAGCACGACTGGCATGATACAACATGGCTTCTCTGTACTGTTGATGTGCCTTTCTCCCTCTTCCCATTCTCAGATTCGAGAGCAGAACTTACAGGACATTAAGACGGCCGGTCCTCAGTCCCAGGTTTTGTGTGGTGTAGTGATGGACAGGAGCCTCGTCCAGGTGAGAGCTCAGAGTGTCTTTGACATTAGTGGGTGGTGACTAAGACCATCTGCTCCAAAGTAATTCATATCTTGGGAGAGAATGACATTATGAGGTAAGTCTTCTAGGCAAGCAGTTATCTTTGTTTTTCTTTTTAAATCTCATAATAAGAAATAACCAGCCACTTTCCTTGAGTTTTAGACCAAGCATAAGCATGCCAAGGCGCGTCCATCCCTTTAGTCCTGCTCCTTGTAGTGCATGAATATGTGAGGGGTGCATATGCCTGGGACTGGGTCCCCTTCTCAGCAGGGTGCTGCATAAGAGCTGGAAAAGGGTGGATTGAAGAATCTTTGTTCTGTTACATACTCACGTCTGCAACAAAGTGCTGCTTGGGTTACAGAGGGGCACATGCCTGTAAATGTGACCCACATTTACATGCATTTCTATAAAATGACTACATCTAGTGGCACATCGAAGATAACTGTGTAAGTAGTTATCTCTGAAAATTAAGATGCTGCCTGATGCTTTCTAACCTGACTCTGCAGAGGTAGATGATTGTCATTGCATTTTCTGAATTTGGCTAGCTGTGGTCCTGGTTTCATGTCCAGTGTCTGCACGTGCCACTGTCGTCACTACTGCACTCACTGTTGACGACTGTCCCTGCTGCATGCTCTTAGCTGGCTTCATCCTGTGTTCTCAGTTGATATTTCTAAGGCTCGGCCTGGTGTGCTCTGATGACTCAGTTTACTGTTGCAGGACGCACCCCTCTCTGACTGTACGGAAACTATCGAAGGGCTCGAGCTTACAGAGCAGACCTTTAGTCCCGCTAAATCTCTCTCTTTTAGAAAGGTACTCACTGCTCTGTCCTTCCCTACCTGTCAGTATACGGCATAATTCTCCCTTCTCCCTCCTTCCTGCCTCCCCTGTTCAGGCTTTGTCTTAGTTATTGAAGTACTTCGAAGTGAGCCCTTAACTCACTTGTGAGGTTGTATGCAAGTTACATTCTGCCTACTCTATTCTTTCATTAAAACATTTGGTATAAGGTATTTTAACAATTTTCAACATTCTAAGTGTTGCTAAGCAATGACCAATGAAGTGCAGCATTTCTGAAGCCCTGCATGTGACTTTGGTTAGTGCATGCTTTTGGGTTTGAAGATGCCAGTGACAGCGGCCCCTCCCCACACAACTGTCTCCCCTGCTCGCTCATATTTGACTGTGTCATTTGGAGGTCATGTCACTGAAAGATGTTATTGTAGAGGAATGGGAATAAAACATGATAATCTTTATTCATAAAATGTATTTATTTTTACCTTTAAATTAAACCTGCTCCAGTACTCAGGAGTCTGAGGCAGGAGGATCATAAGTTTGAATCAGCCTAAGCTACATAGTGAGACACTGTCTCAAAAGGAAATGAGAAAACCCTGACATATTTTTTTTTTAATGTTTCAGGGCAGAAAGATTTATAAAAATTTGAAACCCGAAGTCATAATTTCTCTATGTGTATGCACATCTTGCCTGTCAGTAGGTGGAAGATGTGTATGTCTGACTTGCCCACGGAGATGGAAACTGTCCCAGGGGGGAAAGTGGCTGACTACATGGTCTTTGACATTTGCCCTCTGTTCAAAGGGAATTCCCAGGGCTGCTCTCTTCACTTTAAATGCCTTCAGTGAGATGCAAGTATCACTCTAGTGGTGTTCTAATTGCCAGATAGAAGCATGTTTGTACCAAGATTCTACATTCCTTTTTGGAATCCCTGCTAAAAAAAAAATCATTTTTGCTATTTATGTATTAATTCAGTGAGTCCCATTTTCTCCATCCTTAGAATTTACTTCCAGCTACCAGTCCTGAAGGAACTTCTCAGAGAAGGAAGAGAGACGTACCCTTTTCCCTTCCAGCTTGGTTTTCATGTTGGTCCTTTGACTATGCCATTGTGATCTTGTCAGTTCACAGTTAATAATGTGAAGAAATGTGTGGCCTGTGAGCCCAGGTGGTATATGTGTCCCATGCAGAGCCAGTTGTGGTATAGTCTTCTAGCTTTGTAGGGCCACAGCAGAATCACAGTCATTGCTGCTCTTTTTGACATTGCAGTGCAGTTAATGAATTATTTGTGTCTTGTTAGAGCTATCCAGAAAACAGCCAGGCCACCCATATTAAAGGATGTGTTTTTGAGTCTTTCATTATCCAGTGACAGCTTTGTTTGCTCTGTCCCTGCTGAGTTTAGACCTCGGCGCATGTCACAGTCACCTGGGGTGCTTCATGGATAAATGTTGGATCCCCACAGACTGAATACTATGCTCTTATGTGTGTACTTAGCTGACCGCAGCTGTAGAAATGTTGACTCCATGTACATAAACTCTTTTGTGTGGTACTGGAGTTGGAGCCAGGGCCTTGTGCATGCTAGGAAGCAACTCCACTGCTGAGCTGCACACCCAGAAGCTCCATGCATACTTACCCCAGGGTTTTGTTTTTACCTTCCTATTTCTGAAGTTCTCATTTCCATTCAGATCCTTATCCTGTCCTGACTATGCCTACTTCATTTCTATGATAAGAATGTGCTTTGACTCCACAGATGTTCTTTGCTGGGGCTACTCCATTCTACTTCCTTTAATATGAACCTCAAAATGCAGAATTTGCTGCTTTTTTAACATGGCACTGCTACATCAATCTCTCACTGACAGTCCTTTTGCTTTCAATCTCTCACTGCCAATGGCCATTCACACATTGCTGGGGTTGCCTTCCCAGAGAAGAAGGAAGGGCAAAGTGCTAGCCGTTCAGAAAGGGACATTGCAGCCTCTTTCTCCTTGGGCCTTTTGCACATCCAACGTGGAACCTTAAATTATTTGGGCACCTTTGAGATTTTATAGCAAATGGATTGAGTAGTTAGAGATGAGGTCGTGAAGGTCTGTGCTGCCAGCTGTCCAGCCCAGAGAAGAACTCCATAGTCCAATTTATGCAGTGTGAGTGTCCCTGTGTCCATGTGCACCTCATCAGGGGGTGTATTATAAATGCAAAGGGGCAGGGGTTCTTGCCAGCCTTGTGACAGGTACCTGACATGCATGGCCTGACACTAGAAATGCCTGTAGATCTGAGTCAGTTGTCTTTACAGATGAAAGCCTGCTTCTCACAGAGGTCAGGTCACCAGTCCAGTTGTGCATAGCTTACGGTGGGGCTGTTGTTTCACCCAAGCTGTCTCCGTCAAGTACAGAAATAGTTACTGGGCTTCTGGTTTGTTTGGAGTCCTGGTTATGTGACCAGGAGTGAGGGAGGCACCAGGAGCCTCTGTGCAGCCTGCCTGAGGGAACAGCCATCACACATTCCTGGTTTCTCAGCCTAGACTGCTGTACAGGCGCAGGTCTTCCCTCAGAGGCAGAGGGTCATTCGTCCCTGGAACTATTCCCAGTTGGTCTGGTCAGCAGTTTGGTACTTTGCTAAGGTTTCCAGAGGAGGGAGCCGTTGGCCTGCTATGTTGTGCCTTGACCAGCTGTACCAGCATGGGAAAGGCCCTGCTTGTTCTCTGGGGCATCAAAACTTAGAACAAAGAGTGTGGTGGACACTTCTGCAATCCCAGCACTTAGGAGGCTGAGGCAGGAGGATGGTGATTTCCAGGCTCACATGGACTACATAACAGTTTTTGTCTCAAAAAACCCAAGACCAAAATAAAAAAACCAAAAACACCTTCGAACACAGGCTTCGCTGTCTTGGTGACAGTGACTAATTGATATTTTGTTTCCTTACCTATTTTAAACATGTGATTTAAGTGAGGTTAAACATGCCTCTTAGACCTTGTATCACCTGCTCATTTTATTGGATTGATACCAGGTTGCAGGTGCTGCTATCTACCTTGCCATCAGGCTACAGAGTGCCACCACTTAGGCGATCTTGGAGTCTAATGACTCCTCTTGCTGGTAATAATACAGGAAGGGGCTTGTCACAGCCAGATGAACACATGGCAGATGAAGATTCAGTTTGCTGTCTTGCTGTGGCAAGAAAAGCCAATTACCCTCAGGCCAGACCTAACGAGCGGGTAGGCTCCCTTGACCCTGAGTCTCCAGGCTCTTCAGCAAAGCCACCCATTCCAAAAGGCCCTTTCTTCTCTCCTGGTTGGGGGGGGGGGTCTGTGCTATTGCTCAGTCAGTCATAGAGTGCTACAGACACTTTGTCCCCACAGTGCTGGGCAGTAACCACTTAGTCCAGACCTACCAGGTTCTCTGGCTCCTGCATGAGCAGCAGTTGCCTATGTGGGCTGACTGTCTCCAGGAGCTGGTGCCACCAGGACGCTGTGTTCCTGTGGTGTTCACCCATACCAAGGTGAGCACAGGCATCTAAATGATTTAGGATTCTCCTGTTTCATTTGTTTTAGAAGCTGTCATTAAATAGTGTGCATGTGTGACCCATTCCAAAAGGCCCTTTCTTCTCTCCTGGTTGGGGGGGGGGGGTCTGTGCTATTGCTCAGTCAGTCATAGAGTGCTACAGACACTTTGTCCCCACAGTGCTGGGCAGTAACCACTTAGTCCAGACCTACCAGGTTCTCTGGCTCCTGCATGAGCAGCAGTTGCCTATGTGGGCTGACTGTCTCCAGGAGCTGGTGCCACCAGGACGCTGTGTTCCTGTGGTGTTCACCCATACCAAGGTGAGCACAGGCATCTAAATGATTTAGGATTCTCCTGTTTTCATTTGTTTTTAGAAGCTGTCATTAAATAGTGTGCATGTGTGTGAGTTCTGGTTTACATTGTTAAAGGTGAACCCCAGACTACATGAGGGTCACTTTCTTCTTCCTGCCCTGGCCAGGCTGAGCCATAGGGTACAGAGCAGTTCTGGGGTAGGCATGGGAGTCAGGCCTGCCCACGCCTGTACTCTGCTACAGTGGCAGTGCCATGCTCTGCAGCTCTGCCACCTCCTCTCTGAGAGCCTGGGAGCCCCTAGGATGCCTTGCTTTGCTTGTTTCTTTTTTTCTTTTATACAAATTCAGTGGTTTTCCAGATACCTCAGGCAAATCCTCCTGTTTGGGGATATTTTGTTGTCCCTGAATGTTTTGGGATAACTTCAGGAGCTGGTTGTCAACCAATCAAAAGTGCAGGGCTTATCCATGCTCTTAAAACATAAGCAAAATCTCCGAGTGAATCTCATTGTTGATGGTTGGGACTTGGGATATTTTTTGAGGTCATGAGGGAATGGAACTTCCTTAATAATCAGGGCAGAGGGCCCTCTTCCATTCCTGTTGGCAGTGGGCGGATGGAGTCCTCTTCAAGGTGGTTTACACCTTGGTGCTTTGCTTTTGAGACTGAAGGGTTTTGGTAGGGTGTCTTTTCCTGTTTCATGTGCTCTGTAGCATGAAACCATGTTTCCACATCTTCTACCACAGAAGGCTGCAGCTCAGCCTAGGCTATGGGTCCCAACAGTCTTGGGGTATCTGTCTGCTCCTGGAAAGCCTCCCTTCCCTGCCTGCAGCCCGCCTGGGAGGAGGGAGAGTCCTGCCCGGCCAGGCCTCTGCAGACAAGGCCTCTCCTTCATCCACAGGGGGAGCTGGTGACAGCCTCTAAAGCCATCATTGAAAAGGAGTATCAGCCTCACGTCATTGTGAGCACCACAGGCCCCAACCCCTTCAATACACTCACTGACCGTGAGCTGGAGGAGTACCGCAGGGAGGTGGAACGGAAGCAGAAGGGCTCTGAAGGTGAGTACTTCTGGGACCTGGGCGGCTCCACAAAGTGAGAGAAAATCCTCTGGGAACTTCTTCATGTGAGCAGCATCACGGGCATGAAGCACAAACTGTGTTTGGTCAGGACCTGAGCATCATTCAGTGCATACTTGCAACCTAGTCATCTGGGCTGGAGCTAAAGGAATTGCAAAGCTGGACACACTTGGTGGTGCTTGCCAGGAGGCACATGTGCAATGGGTGACATTAGGGAGCTGTGCAGTGATGTTCCCAGACGTTGTGTGCATGGTCGTGAAAGACAGTGTGGGGGGGCTCTGCCTAAAGGAGGCTGAGCCTGAAGATGCCCTGCTTGCCAGGAGCTGCAATGAAGAGAAGAGGGCGAGGTGAGGGGGTCTCAGCACACTCTGAGGCCTGGACTCTTGGGCTCCAGGGTGTGATGTGTTGGTCAGTCTGACTTCTGTCCACATGGAGTAATCAGAATTCACTCCATTTTTTGTTGTCAAGAAAGCTAGCCTGAATATTGCTTCTAGAAGACATTTATCTTTTACATCTGCAGTGTTTCCATTAGTTTCACTGAAAAGAGGCTTCCTTTGGTTCCTGATTAACATTCAGTAGTCATTACCAAGCATTTACATTGTGGCAAGCGCCACACTGAATGCTGTGCGTGTAGACAGCTCAGCTCATTCTCCAATCAACCCCGAGAGATGGGCCTGCTCCCACCAACTGGAGCAGATAGAGTGGCTCTGAGAGAACATGACTGGATGTGGCAGAGCCTAGACTTGGACCAGGGTCCATTATTTTCACCACTTGGGTGTTTGGTCTTCCTGTTGGCATGTGACCTCTGTGCAGATGGATTCTCTGAATATCCTTATTACAGTTGTGTTAATAGTGTGAGGTTTCTCATACAGTCTTTTTCTCCATAAATCCTGAGGGTCTCCCTATGCCAGGTGATCACAGTCATGGGCTTGTGTGTTGACTGCTAGCACATTCCCAGACCCATGTCAGGTGGCGCTGGCTGCTGGCATAGCCTTTTTATCTTGGTAACTTACTGACAAAGGTGGTCATGATTTTGTGAAAGGTGATAGGACAGTTTTACAAGTGTCAGAACCTAAGAGCAGGTGTTTCAAAACTGCAGGTTTTGAAAAGAATATCCAGCCATTTAGAGAACAGAGAAGCAGGCCTCCTGTTGCCTGTGTAAGGAAGGCTCTTGCAGGGCCTCATCACTTTCTCCCTGAGGTCCCTGCCACCAGCCCTCATGCTCACCAGGCATTGAGTACCCTTGGCTGGTACTAAGAAGACTCTGAGGCAGAGATGTCCCTTCAGGAGGTTCATGCTGTGTCCTCAAGCCTTCTACCCCAACCCAAACCTCTTTATTGAAACCCAAGTGTGCTCCTCAGCTTCCCCTTCCGGACTACCCTTGCAGAGTGGTCTTGGTCTGTGGACCTGAGTATCACCCTCCTGGGTTGGGGGCTTTTGGAAACCATACTCCTGACATAGCCTTCGGTTTGCCCCAGTATTCATGATGCAACTGCTAGTGAAATGTGAGTTGTGAAAAAAATGGTTGCTCAGTAGTTTCTTGTTGTGTGTGACACTGTCCCTCCCATTCAGACCTTCATGGCACAGGAGTAAGACATCGGGGAGCCAGCCTGACTTCTGGGCTGTTTTTCCTGTCTGCATTGTGTACATACAGCATTTGCCCTCTGGGTACTCCAAGGGTCTGGGTCACTTGAGTTCTTTTTCTTTTTCCCTCTTGCTTTTGTTCTTGTTTTTTTTTAAAGTCAGACAAGACACATAGGAGTTTCTCCTGCATATAAGACTCCCTCAGCAAGTGAATTGGTGGGGCCTGCTATACCCATGCCCTATAACCAAAACCATCTGCAGTGGAGTGCCCGCAGAGCACTGTCCAGAGACTCTGCACTGCACTGACCAGCCCTTAGTAGAGGGACGGAGCGTGCCAAAGGAGGTGGCATATGCCCCAGATAAAACTCAAGCTGCCTGACAAAAGCCAGCACCTTTTCCTGGTTGACACCATTTGTTCCCTTAGACAGATGCATAGACCTTCTTCTTAGACACTTGGCTTCTAGATCACAGCCTGCTTAGGCTCACCTGGTACAAGTGGATCTGAGATCAGAGGCTCTGATGAACTTACAAGGGCAATTGTAGCTGGATGTTCAAAATATGGGGCCTAATATCCTTAGTTATTAATGTAAGAATTTTAAATGAAAGAAGGAGGTTTTAAAAATGAGGATAATGTTAATACATAAGACATAGACTTGGAGTTTTGGATCTGGGGTTTTAGTTCCTGTGCTTTTTTCTCTGGCCCTTAACAACATATTTCACTTCAGAAAATTAAACATTGCAATGCCAAGTTTAAATTATTGGTCAGAAATTTGCTGCTCAAGAAACTAAACCCAAAAGGATGCCAGTATGACACCCTGGGAGGCGGTACATGGGGCGAGGGCTCAGGACCCCTAACCCTGCTCTGTAGCGGAGGGTTCCTCCCTTGCAGAGCACAGGTGAGGACAGGTGGGGTGCGCCAGTCAGCCTGTTGCAGAGGCAGCTCTGGCAGATTCTGACATGAGAACGGAGATCAACTGGCAGTTACTTTCAGAAGTTCAGATCAACCCTCCAGTGGCAGTCCCTCATCCTTTTTTGGGAATTTTGAAGAAAGGGCAAAGATTTGTGACCAGGAGCCTGTCCAGCTTTGTGCAGTGTGTCCTAGGAAGCCTGACCAGGGCTGACTGACTGATGAGGCTACTGCCCAGAAGGGGAAGGTGCTCATTTTGTTCTCACTTTGTTCTCATTTTGTATCTGCAGAGAATCTGGACGAAACAAGAGAGCAGAAAGAAGAGAGTCCCCCAGACCAGCCTGCTGTCCCCCACACTCCCCCCAGCACCCCTGTCAAGCTTGAAGAAGGTGAGCTCTGTGACAAGGTGGTGTGTGACAGCCCCAGTGGGGGAGGGTGCATGGTCTTATGTGCACTGGAAATGAAACATGGGTGTGGTTCTGTTAATACCCATAAAGAAGTGTGCATTTGCCTTGAAACCAGTGCCTTACACGGCTCTGGAATCCCCTGACCTTTTCTTCTGTATCTGCTCCATTCTGGGGAATGCCAGACAAGCCAGATTTAAGCTCTTATGAAACTGGGAGGGCAAACTCCAGGGACTGGACCCCATCATTTCTGATGTCAGTTTTGCCCACTGCTTGCACACTTCTCATTCTTCCCTGTGTTCAGATGACACCTTGTGCCTTCCATTGTGTGTGGGCTGTGTGTGGGCTGCAGGATGTTTGACCTGCTGCACTGATCAGTCCGCTGAGAGTGCTGTTATGTACCTGGCCCGCCTCTCAGAGCACCGCATGTCCGTGGTGTGTGATCGGATTTGTCTGTCCCTCAGTCTCGTATGTCCATGGCTCCCCTCCCCCGTTCTGTGTTGTACAAGAATGGCTTGGCCTTTCTTATGTAACCCAATGGCTGTGACTGAATGCATAGATTCTCTCCTTGTGCTTTTCTCTCTCGTGGCCGCCTTACAGCAGGAGCCGGATGTGCTAAAGAGTACCTGTTACCCTAGTAAGTACCGCGCCTGCCCTCTGCTCCTACCAGGTGCCTGTGCTCTGCCTCATTCTCCTGCTTCTTTGTTGTTTATTAAGTTTTGTTTCCTGTTTACTCAAAATGAAAACAGAGGACCTCTTTTTTTGTACCCATCCCCTCAGTGGCCTTCCTGGAAGTGAGTTGGTTACCAGAGCACTGTATGGTGGCAGTGGCCAGCACAGGCAGCTAGGTGGCCTCTGCCAACCCATCACACAGTGCTGCCCAGAGCACTGTGGGCTCCAGAAAGAAGTTCTTACGTTCATCCTTTGAGAAGCTCTTTTGATTATTTGGTGGGAAACTTTTATGTCAGGTCAGAAGCAAATGCAGACTAGGTTCTGCCACCAGTGCATGGAGATTTGTTTGGTCCTGTGCTTAAGCTGGAAGTCGGATGAAAAGCAATACTTAGTACTGTGACGTTTGGTCACATGGTACATTCTCCTGAGCACGTGCATGAGGCCTCTGTCTTGGAGTATTAGCAGCATCAAGCTTGGCAGAGGGAGCCAAGTGTGGAGCAACCAGTGTGACATGGCTCTCCCTCCATGGCCCTCCTCTGTGCTAAGTGTGGCATCTGAGTATCCTAGCAGCTAACACGGTGCTCCTTAGGGGCATCTCCAGCCTCCCAATTCTAAAGCACTCAGTGTCTGAGGCCTGGCCCCTTCTGCAGCCAGGGTGCTCCTAACCCTTGCTTAGCTCAGCTGTCTGATTTTTGGCTTGATTTTTAAGTGCTAAATGGTTTGGTGTTGTCTAATGTGCCAGTCACTCATAATTTTGTGGACTAAATATCTACAACATGGTGTCTCCTGGGTTAGTGTAGAAACACGCTTTGGCCCCTAGAGGGAAACCAGTCCCCAGGCAGTTTCCTTAAAACTGTTAAAATTGTGAATAACGGCTTCACTTTTTTGGTCTCTATTCCTTGCCTTCCAGTTCCTCTCTTTCCTTTTAGTTAACTATTCAGCCTCAATGACTTTATTTTGTCGGCTGTCCATGTTTCACTTGGGGTCTAGGAGTTAACTCATGATTTTCTACTACCTGCCTTGTGGGAGACCAGATGTTGTAGAACCAAATTTAGCCTTAATTTCAGGACTGCTAATACATGAGCAAACCTCTTTTCCAGTGTTCAGACAGTGTTGTGTCACTTATGTCATTCTCGGCCTGCCCTGATGCAGTGTCTCTAGGACTAGGGGCCTGCAGGTCTGGCTCAGTCTGGTTTTATCAACATGCTAGAAACCGAGACTGAGATCTACCCTAGAGCCACGCATACTTGAAACTGGTCTTGGAAAACCCGTAGGGTACCGGAGAATGGTGGCCTCAGTGCTAGCACCCCTCCCTCAAAGTGCCCCATCCGGATCTGCCCAGGACCTTTAACCCTGTCTCTCACCACCAGACCCCCCACAGGAGCCATGCGGAGACGACAGTGATGCTGCCACCTTCAAGCCAACCCTCCCTGCCCTGTCCCCTGATGAGCCTTCCGAAGTACTTGGTTTCCCTACAGCAGAGGAGGAGGAAGCCCCAGCCCCCCCCAGCCCCCCCCAGCCCCATGCCGAGGCCGACCCCCAGCCGGTCCCAGCCCCGGCGGCTGAAGAGGCAGCCTCCACTGCTGCCGAGGAGGGGTCTGCAGCGGACCCTGGCAGCGACGGCTCTCCAGGCAAGTCACCATCCAAAAAGAAGAAGAAGTTCCGCACCCCCTCATTCCTGAGGAAGAGCAAGAAGAAGAGTGACTGCTGAAGGCTGCCTGCACTCATCTGACCACCATTCCGCTAGGTCCCCAGTTGAGTCTTGTGTTCTGTCCTCTTGTGTAATGGAATGCAAAAAAGCCACACCCTCCACATAGCTAGAGCCCTTCTCACGCGTGACCAGCCCCTGCAGACGGGTGCTAACCGAGTGTGCGCTCAGTCCCCACCGGGCCCTTAGCCTCGGGCTTAGGGGACAGGCTTAGCCTGCTCCTCCTGGAAGGCACACTTCCCCTGCTGGAGGGGGCACTAAATCCTGGTCCTGGCTAGAAGGTTCCAGAGGCTTCTGGCAACTCTGGTTATAGGTGTCACCCTCCTGAGCCTTGACCTCTCGGTGTCCTTCCTATCATACAATCCCATGTTGTCTCTGCTTGGCTTCTCTCCACCCTAAGGTGTCTCAGGTGACTGAATCAGCCTCAGCTTCTGCTGCAACCTCTGCTCAGTGATCTCAGCCCATATGTAAGCCACGTGCCCACCAGCAGCCCAGGGCACTAAGGCTGCCTCGAAGAGGTGGGTTTGGGCCTGATACTGGACGGGAAATCCCAGCAGGCAGGCCTGTTGCACCCAGTGCAATGCTATGCATGGTCTTACTGATGACCCCTCAACCAAAAGCAGATTCAGGACCTCACAGTTTGTCTTAGTCACTGGGGTTTCTGGATTCCTGACAAAGGGAAGGGATGCCAGGAGGGGGAAGAGTCCTTTCTAGAACTTTTTTCAGCAGGTTTGTGATTTAGCCTACATTTTGACTGTGAGCATGAGCAGGCCACTCCTTTAGTTTTCTTTCTAAAGCCTGTGGCAGAATGCAGCAGAACACTGTTCACCCATTCTGGAGCTGAGCAGGGATCTAGTCTCACCTTAACTCAGCTTGAAAGATGCCCTGGTTTTGATAAAAGGTAACTCAAGGTGGAAGTCAGCCCTACTACATCAATACCATTGTGAATTTTCATGGAACTTACATCCTTGGAAAAGGGCTTGAAGCTGCTTAGTGGGAACCGTTTGGTGGCCCATAGATGGAATCATCAGGGTGACCTATTCTAGGTGCTGCTGCCCAGTGTCAGGCTGACCAAGAGTGGGGAAGGCCCCTGATGGAGCTGGTGCCAGCTGTGGGCTTGGATCTTGAGCACGGTGGGCTGAGCCACCTGGGATTCCAGCTGGACACCCCAGCAGGACTTGCTGCACTGCTTCTGTGTCTTGTTTTGCTGCCAAGGTGGAATGAAGTTCTTCACCCTTATCCCCGGGACTCTTCCTCATCCCGTCTCCTGCCCCTTCCTTTATCCCACATATGCAATGACTTTTAATTTTCACTTTTGTAGTCTAATTCTTTGTATTACAACATGAAATATAGTTGCATATATGGACACAGACTTGGAGGACAGGTCCTGTACATCCTTTCCTCATTGTAACATGTTTTACTCACAAATAAAAGTCTTTAAGCAGTTTCCTTGTCTAAATCTGGGAAGCACTTGTGTTTTCATGCCTTTGTTCCCTTAAAGTAGGCTTACTAAAGGCTTTTCTCCTATTCCCCACAAACAGCCACCTCCAAGTGTTCATGTCTTCACAGTATCGCCTGTAGCTCTGGGCTGGGAGACCCTTTCTAATGCTGTGCCACCCGTGTTCCTCACCTGCCTCCCCCGGAACCTGAGGGATTCAGGGAACTGCTGGGCAGGGCCTGCAGAGCACAGAAGCCCTGTCTTGCCACCCTTGTCCCCCAAATCTGAGCATGCTCTTAAGTCAAGTCTCATCCTCACTAACCCAGTAGACAGCTGCGATGGTGACAGCCTGAGGTCTCTGTTCTCAGGTCTGCCAGGGTTCAGGGCACACACTCAGACAACACCTGGCAAAGAGCTGCCAGCCAGCCCAGAGAGGCTCCTGCACCTGCTTGCTTGCTCTGCTGTAGAGGAAAACACTTCTAAAGAGCCCCGGCCTCTTCTGGTCAGTGGTGTTTAAGAGCCGCTTGGCTCCAGTTGCCCCTCCTACAAGTAAAGTGGTGAGGCGCCCACTTGCTGCCCTGCTGTTCTGGAAGAGGCACTTGGTAGAAAACAGCTGCTTTATTTGTCATTCAGAAGCACGGCCCATGGCTCGTGGCACTGAAGAAGAAACAGAAGCCTTGATGGCTTTGGAGTCACCAACCCTGTCTACATGTCTCAAGGAGTAAGAAGACAGGGCTAGGCCACCGAGGGAAGCTGCGCAGAGTTCCTGATGGGGTGCATGAGGGGACAGGCATCCCTGGGCTAGGAGGGGAAGTGGTCCTGGTCCTGGTCCTGGCCCAGGTTTGCACCTAGGGACCTGCAGCCCAGTGGGGGATGGTAGCTCTGCTACTCAGCCTTGAGCGCCTGTGCAGGATGTCTCAGCTGCCGCAGGAGGAGAAAAGGGAGCAGGAAGAGCACAGCGCATACGGTGAAGCAGACCTGGGCTCCAGCCAGCCAATACACTGTGGGAGACAGGAGCGATCGTCCAGGTCCTGCCTCACCCTCCCTGCTGCTGAGGCTGAGCAGTGGTTTAAGTGAGCTGGGACTGGGGAGGCAAAAGCAGAAGGCAGCTGAGGGAGGCCAGAGGAGGGCACACAGCCCTTACCTGAGGCAGCCACCATGGGCCCCGCTGCCCTGGCCAGGGCTCCCAGGCTCCGCAGTGTCCCCATGACCGTGCCCTTCTGCCCTGGGGAGCCTAAGGGGAGGTGCCTGTCAGTCAGTCCTCGCTCCCTCCGCCCTGGGGAGCCTCAGGGGAGGTTAAAGGCTCTCACCATAGCTGGCGACCACGGAGGACAGGCAAGGCACCACGACAGCAGCAGCTGGGGAAACATTGGTAGGTAGGCACCAGTCAGCCCAAAGAGGTGGCACGTGTGTCCTCTCCAGCCCTAGCAGAGCCCACTCACCAAAGGAGTAGAGCAGCAGTCCTAGGCCCAGCACGGGGAGCGAGTGACCCCAGCCGATGAGCAGGAAGGCTGGCACCAGCAGCAGCATGGCCTGCAGCAGGTACAGCAGTCTCAGGGCCAGCCATGCCACCCTCAAGGAGTCCAGGGCACTGCCTGTCCCCCTTCCCCCCCCCCGCACATGGAGGGAGCCCCCGACCTGCTTCACAGCTGCAACTTCCTGGCCAGGGCTGATCCGCCGGGCGTAGGCGCCCTGTATGGTGGCCATGGTGAGGCCGATGAAGAAAAACATCTTGCCCTGCTGCAGGCTGGGAGGTGGAAGGTGAGGGCCAGCCCCGTAGGCTACTGACCATCTGGGGAATTGGGGGGGGGGTGCACAGACCAGCCACAAAAGCTTCCTGAGGATGGGGGCGAGCCCGTAAGTAGGGAGGGGCTCACCAGACAGGGACCCACCTGCTGAACTGGAAGCGCTGGTGTGCGAGGAAGCTCAGCGTGTACTCCAGGCCTGAGAACAGGAAGAGGTAGAGGAAGTAGACCAGGCCCAGGCGGCGCAGGCTGCCAAGTCCTGTGGAGCAGCAGAGGCCACTGGTGGGCTCTTGGGCCCTGGGGCACCGCCAAGGGAATGACAGTGTAAGAGGCAGGCCCCTTACTGTCTTCAGATGGTGGGTCCTGGCTGCGAGCCACGGCTGCAAAGTGGAACAGGGCCAGGGGGCTGAGCAGGTCGGCAGCAGTGTGGAATCCCAGAGTGACAGAGGACGCCTGTGCAAGGGAATTGGAGGCCGTCCAGGAGGCTGGCAGCACATGGCCGGCAGCCTCGGGCACGACCCTTGCAGTGTGGGCCCCAGCCGGCAGGCCTCCAGTCACCTGCCAGGACTTAGGGGCAGGGGACCCCAGGAGGCCAGGAAAGGGTAGGTCAGCTCGCCTGGCACCTGGCATTGGCACTGGCGCACACAAGAGGGGACGTTCCTTCAAACCCACGGAACTGAACCCCCAGCCCTAGCCCTACCCGCTTCTCCAGGGGCAGCGTCTCTGGTAGGAAGCAGAAGATGAACAGCAGGTCGGAGACCGCGAAGAGTAGGCTGAGCCAGGGTGCCATCTCCAGAGTCAGGAAGGCACCGAGCATGGGGCCCAGTGTAAAGGCCAAGGAGAAAGCTACCCCAATGACTGCCTAGGGAGAAGGCCACCTGAGTTGGTCAAGAGGCCCAAGTCCGGGTGTCCAGTCCCCCGCCCCAGGCCTGTGCGCTCGCTCGCTCACTCACTCACTCACTCACCATGCCTTGGCTGCGGGCTGGAGGCGCGCCCAGGTCAGCGACGATGGCCGTGGAGAGGCTCACGTTTCCTTTGCTGATGCCCCCAATCACCCTGGAGGCCAGGAAGGCCGCGAAGCTCCGAGAGGTGGCCCACACCGCATAGGAAGTGGCCAAACCCGTCTGCCAGGGGGCACGGGCCGAGGGGCAGGTGCGCGGTCACTTGAGGCCAGGAAGGGCCCAGGGTGGGGCAGGCAAAGCCAGGCAACAGCCCTTGGACCGTGCCCTGTCCTGGAGCATCCAAGGGCCACTTCTGTTCCCGATGCCCTCCCCTTCCCTCCTCTCCCATCCCCTCCTCCCCCTCCCAGGTGGCCGGAGCCCTCATCCGGGCTGCCCATTCTCACAGGGTTTGCTTGGTGACTGGGAGGCTGGTCCCACCGTCCCACCCACCCTGGAGGGTGTCTGGCTCCAGAGCCTTACCAGGGACAGCAGCATCACCGGGCGCCTTCCTAGGCAGTCGGAGGCGGCCCCGTGAGTGGTGCAGAGAGGAACTGCAGGAGGGAGAAGGCTGAGCCGATGAGGCCTGAGAGAGACAGAGGACACAGCTGAGGGACCGTCCTGGCATGTCTCAGAGCCCCCAGGGCTAACGCTCCATCAGTCCAGAGAGGCGGTGGCGTTGGCCCAGCATGCACAGGTCATCATCTGAAGCTTAGGAGGCCCCAAAAGAAAAATGGACCAGTGTCACTCAAAGGAGGCTCCACAGGACAAGGACGCTCAGGGAGCCAAAGGACTAAGAAGGACCAAGAGCTGAGGAAGGGGCCCGGGCTGACTCAGTCCCCCAAGAGGGACTCTGTGGCACCTCGACCTGGCGCTCAGGGACCTACCTCCGAACAGGACGCTGTTGTACCTCTTCTCCGCTGGCATCCCGATGGCGGTGGCAAACCAGTCCACCCAGCGCTGCCAGGAGCCGTACAGGGGGTCCTGGAGACGGGAGCGACAGGCGCTGGGGCGGGGGCTCAGGGGGCGCATGGGGCAGGGGGGGCGGGGGGATCGGGGGGCGCCCGGGGCAGGGGGGATGGGGGGCTCGGGGGTCGCCCGGGGCGGGGGGCTCGGGCGGGGGTCTGGGCCTCACGTGCGCGCGGCCGTGGCTGTCCAGCAGCGCGGGCAGAAGCGGCAGCAGCAGCGTGAAGGCCAGGAGGTCCAGCAGCAGGCCGAGGAAGAGCACGGCGAGCACGCGACGCGCGGGTGCGGGCTGCGCGCGGATGGGCGGGCGCGGGGTGCAGCCCTCATCGGCTCCCCATCCCATGCTGGCGCTCGGACCGGCCTGGGCAGGTGGCGGGGCCGGTGAGGGCGCCTCTGGGTACCCCGCCCCGGCGCCCTTCCTACCTACACGTGGGGAAACTGAGTCCCTCGGTTCCCGCCATGCCCGCTTCGCCGGCGAGCTCCCCCAGGGCTCCCGCCCCACCCTGCTGGGGTCCCGGATCATCCCACGCGGGCGCGCATCCCGGGGGCGGGGCGGGGACCTGCATCCGGAAAGCCCACGCGCGCCCCGTCCCGCCCCGCGCGAGCGCCACCTCCCGGGCACGGCCGAGGACCGCGCCGCACGCGGGGTCCCGCCGCACCTGCCGCGGCCGCGCGCTCCGGACGGACGGACGGTCGGACAAACAGCCCGATAGACGGATCGAAGGGCAGGAACGGCCGCAGGGCGGGGCCGGCCTCGCCCCGGGAGTGACGACGTTCGCACCGCCTCTTCCGGGAGGGCGGGACGCGCGGGGGCCGCGGGAGCCCAGCCCGGCCGAGCGCGCAGGGGACGAGGCTTCCCGGGCCGGCGGGGACGGCGCCATGGCGGCCCCCGCGCGCTCGCGAAACCGCGCCGGCAGAGAAAGCTGCCGTGTCCTGCGCGCACGCGGACCGGGCTGAGCTTGTTGATGGCACATTGGCCTCACGGACAGAGGAGCCCGCACGTGACTTAGGTCCCGCCTCCACTGCGGGCGGAGAACCAGAGCCGCAGAGGCCCGTGGCTGAGGCTAGCGATGGTCCAGGCTGGCTGGGAACCGCAGCGGGGCCCATGCGGCGCCATGGCGGCCGCCTCCGCGTTTGTGGACCTAACAACGTGCCAGCCCATCCACGCTCAATCGCGCACCTGGCAACCTTGAGCCTGACCAGCCTTGGTGGGACTTCTGTCCCTGTGCTGTCCTGAGACCAGCAGCTCATTCAGAGCTCCAAATACGGCCTCGCCACGTCCAAGCTTCTAATTGTCCCTACCTACTTCTCAATTTGGTGAAAGATCCCAAACCTCCTTAGAGAAGTCACAAAAGCGGTTGACAGGGACCCGGGTGGACACTGTGAGCTGGTTACGCCTGCAGTCACGTGTTAACAACGGCTGGGTCCTGAGAAAAGTGCAGGTGGGCGGTTTGGCTGTACACACAGCACGGTGTGCGTGCACAAATTAAAGATGTGCTACAGCGTGGCCAGGCCTTATCAGCACACAGCTCCCACCAGACGACTGCTCCGAAAGCACATTTCAGAATTCGGCTACACCGGGAACTCAAGCAAGGCCAAACCCCAGTGTTACAGCACCCTTCATTTTTCTGTTGGGCGATGCACATGGCTTCGTTTACAAAATACAATTTATTTATTTTTTGAACTTTTTCCTCTTCAGAGCCTTCCATTCCCCTTCCTGTGTAGCCAGGCTATTAAAAAGATGCTTCACTTTTCGCTTTCTTTCTGCATCCCTGAAAGAAAAAAGCAGCAAATGGTCACTTTTCGTTGGTTTTTGCCTTTTTCCTATCTGACTGGTAGCAGTTCAGAACCACATCAGCCCCTAGCTACTGTGTCCAGTTCAAAGGAAGGTCAAACGGGGGCGGGGAGTGCTGTCAATGCAGTGCCCCCCTCCCCCCCCAGGTGCACACAGGCCCCCTCACCGTTCCATGATCTCCGAGAGCTGCATCCTAGCCAGGAACTGATTGTCCTTTCGGATTTCCCGTACGGCACCTTTGAACTCCCGCTTGTGCTTGTGGATCAGCCTCTTCCTCTCCTGCTCCTCCTTACTGCTGCCTTGTTTCCGTCCAAACTCAAGGCTACAACAGCAAAGCAAACGATGCTGAGGGGGCAGGTGAGTCTGTCCCCAGCTGTCAGCCAGAGCCTGCGACTGTGGCTTCTCCCAGGCCTCTTGTGGAACTGCTGAGCAAGTGGACGCTGCCCTCACCTCAGCCTGACCCCAGCCCTGGCCTCCTTGGGGAGGGGAGACCCTCCTGACACTCACACTTTGACCAGCCGGGGGGTGAACAGCTTCAGTGGGACTGGCTTGCTCTTCTCACAGATCAGTGGCCGGCAGAGCTGCTTTTGCTCTTCCATTTCTGACAGTATGCTTTGAGACAACTCCTGAAAAACTGTCTTGGTGTCACCTGAGTGCCCTGAAGCTACAAACATTATGTCCTTTTGGCCAGCCCAAATTCTGCAAGAGAAGAGAGCCACCCTGTCCCTTAAGTGGAAGGAACAAGCCACAAGCCATAGAAGTGGATACATGTACTCAAGCCTCATCCTCATCCATCTTTTGCCAAGTCAACGTGACTGTCCTTATGGGCCTGTGTCCTAGTGGGGCAGATATGACAGGGTGGGTAATGGGGTGGCCTGCTGCAGACTCGGAGACCAGGACAGCTGAGCTTTATCCTCATGGGGCCCATGTCCTGGTGGGCAGAGCTGACAGTGTGGCGTGCACAGGAGTAGTCAGGAGCATGGCAGATGAGCACAGGAAGCACTGAGCAGAGGGCTGGGTAAGGCCTGGCAGAACGGGGGGACGAGCCACGTGGGTCTGAGAAGAGTTTGAACAAAGAAGAGCAAACATGAAGATCCCCAAGTTTTTGAGAAGTGAGCCTGTGGGGCAGCCAGAGTCTAAGAAGAGAGGACAAGGAGGCCGGGTCACTCTGGCCTTGTGCACCGCGGTCAGGACTTGGCCTTCTGTTCTGAATGGAGTGTAGTGCAGAGGCCTGAGCTCTGATAGGTCCCGGGCTGCTATGGGATGACTTGAGGGGCAGGTTGGGCAGGAGACCTTCAGCAGCAGGTGAGAGAAGACAGAGAGGTGGGGTGGGGACACGTGGGAGGGAGGATTGGGAGTGGCTTGAAGGCAGGACTGGAGGACCTGCTTAAACTGGACACCCTGTGGCTCACGAACTTGTGGACACAGGGGAGCTCCGAGGTCCAAGTGAGGATGTCCCTTTGCACAAGAAAGTGACAGAGGGCCACCCTCAGAAAACCCACCAGACCATTGCAGAGCTGAGGCGCTATGTGTGGGCAAGAACCAGAGCATGCTCAGACACCACCTCATATGGTCTATTTCCACTCATGTTCATGATTTTGCCAAGAGGCTGTCCTTTGACTAGTAAAGCTGAACCTTAATGACAAAAATGCCCACTCACCTGGTGCCAGCTCATGGACACAGGAAGCCTCACCTGGAGTTCTGGGGGGTGGCTACAGTTTGCCACATGCTCTGTCAGAAGGGCTCTTAGGGGTCTGATGATAGCGTGGAAGGAAGGCAGTGCACCATATAGGAGCACACAGCGCTTTAGCAGGGCCAGACACACGGCCAGGCAGGACAATCTGCAAGGGCAAGAGACAAGGAAGGAGAACAGCTTGTTCTATTTCAGTCACCAACAAAACCAATAACCTTGGCATAAATGAAAATGTCCACCCACAGCTCTGAAAAATCAAGTGGGGCCACCTCAGCAGACAGGCTAACGGTCCCGACAGCAGCACCAAGCAAACATGCCACCAAATCCCTCTGGACTGGAAGGCAGGCTGTGGGAAATGCAATGATGTTTGAAAACGCTGCAGGTGCTAGGAAAGTTTTTTCCCAGTTGGAGAAAACAGCTTCTGTATCAACATGCCCCTGACACAGAACCAAAAAGTCAGAGGAGGCAAATCAGCTAAAACCAAGGAAATTTGTGGCAGCAAATAAAAAGCAACTGTGTCTTCCTCTGCCTCTAGGGTGCTGTCTGCACATACCTGGCGTGATTGACCTCAGCTGCTGTCAGAACACTCAGCCCACTTGCCCAATAAAGAGAGAGGCTTCTCCTCTGCCACGTGACCATGTCGTCCTTGTCAGAGACCAAGAGCAATTCCGAGTTCTTCCCAAGTGCTCTGAAAGGGTGCACCAGAGCGGAACCTGAATCCCAAGTGTGACAGGACAGAGATAACCCAGAGGTTACTGCTCACAGGGCCAACTACAACAGGCTCAGCCCTCACAAGTGCTCTTCACCATGCACCTTGGTCGTGCCAGGCACTGGTGCGGTGAAGCCAGACCAGGTGGACAGACACAGACAGGATGCTGCATTAGGCAACAGCTTTTGCCAGGGTGGTGGAAGCCATGGGCTTGACCTCCCCTCAGAAGCCTCCCAGGCTATGCCAAACAGATCAAGCCTTGTCCTCACGGGGAAGACAGGCAGTAAACGGCACCCACAGAGAAACGAGCTGGAGAGGATAGGAGGCAGAAGTATAGGCCAGAACAGCAGAGGATGAGGGGCGGGCAGAGTTCACCAAGGTCTCAGCAGGCCCGAGAGGACGGATGCCAGTGAAGACCCAGAAAAAGTGTGGCACTTCACCCAGAAGGGCCGTGGGGACAGGAAGAGCCCAGCCATGACTAAGGAGAGGTGGCTAGGCAAATGGGAGGGGGTAGTGGGGAGTGGGTGGTCAAGTGACCACTGTCCCTGTGTCCTGACTCTGCCCCAGAGCCCAGCTCTGCCCAGTGTCTACTGCAGCACGCCCCACACAGAGCTGCAATGATCCTCCCTGATTTTCAGGGATTACTGGATCACAGTGACACACTGATGGCTGTCTCTCTCTGGTGCCCAACACCAGGCCTGACACACAGGAACAGGCAGCATTTAGAAACCCGTGTGATCAGGCAGTGGGGGAAGTATGTGCAGGAGAGTCACGTCATGAAAGGAAAGCCAGAGGCAGCAGAAGAGCTAGAGCACTGAGCTGAGGAACCTTCTAGACCCTGCGTCATGGCACCCTTGGCCCTGAGTGAGCTGGAAATAGGAGATGGGGCGTGAGCTCTAAGGTTGGCAAGGCTTCCCGCAGACTCAGTAGTGCAGGAGCAGGGTGAGCAGCCTATCAGCAATCCTGACAGGGAGCAGCAGGTGCTAAGGAAGCACCCAGAGACCGAGCAGCAAAGGAAGGTGTTTGGAAGCACCAAACACCTTCTGAGGAGAGGACAACTCAGAAAGTCAGTAAGCACGAGAACGCTTTCCCCTTCACAGATGCCCAGCATTGTAGAAACCTCAGAACCAGTGCTGGCCATGTGAGCAGTGCACATGATTTAAAACTGTCTAGCTGTCACACACAAAGCAAGAGGAGGCAGGCGTGGGGGGCGGCTGAGGCAAGGGGATCCCTTGAGGGTAGGAATTTAAGGCCAGCCAGGGTAACACAGAGAGACCTGTATCAAAACAACAACAAAACATGCAAGGCCTGGGTTCACTCCCAGCACTCCCCACAAAATAAAGTAAAAAGGTAAGGCTAATTTTCACAGTGTACTTGATTCAGCCCAAAATACGGGAATTTCAGCGTACAACGTTAAGATTGCTTTGAGTTTGTGGATGCACCATTGGCACTCTGCCTTAGCTATGCGGGAGAACTTTCCACACGCTGCCTGAAGCTGACGCTCTCTCCAGTGCAGCACGCACGCATTCACAAAGGACTTCAGAGTTTTTACCTTTTCTCTACTTTTCCATATGCTAAACTTGCCACAGTGAATATGGGTTCTTTTTTTTTCTAATTCTAAGGCATATTTCAAAGAAGTCCTGACAATTCAACTCACCTTGGCTTTGCTTGTTTGGAGTTGCTATGTAAAGAACCCCAAGAAGAAAATTAAGCAGCTCAGGTATGAACCTCCGAGACAAAGACACATACTCCAGGAATAAGCAGCACACAAACAGGCCTTCACCACGTCTTGGAGGGACGCGACCGGGCACTGGAAGGGAAGCCACAGGGTACAGTTACCGCTTTAAAACCACGTGCTGGAACATGGTGCTGGGCAGACACCTGGCTTCCCAGATGAACTGTGCACCCTCAAAGTGTCACCAGACATAGGGAACCATGTGTCAAACAAACAGCCTTGCTCACCACACACTTCTCCCACATGCAATAAGCTCAAGCTGATAAAAGAACCACTTGAGTTTAAGTCCAAAAAGAGTAAAAGCCCCTATCAGACTTGATAACTTTACCACTAACTCAGAAGATTGTTTTTTGGGCTACACCCTCCTCCACAGGACCTGGAAAATCAGGTCTGCTGATTAAACAGACACTAAATCAACACCCTCCCACTGCCACCCCCAACACAACCACCCCCATCTGAAGCTGTGTCTGAAGCAGGAAATTATTAGGGTGGGGGGGCACTAGGTCCCTTTTTTTCTCCCTTCCTCCCTCCCTCTTTCTACCACTTGAGCCATGCCTCCAGTCTACTTTGCTCTGGCTTTGTTTTGAGATAGTCTTTTGAACTATTTGCCCTGTCTGGCCTTGAAAATTGATCTTCCCGATCTCAGCCTCCCAAGTAGCCAGAATTACAGGCATGAGCCACCAGCACCAGGTATGGGCCCTTTTCCCACCTCAGACTTCCTGATCCCCTCAGAGGTTCTTACAGGTGAGATATCTTACGCCTGATCTCAGTAGTAAATAGCCGTGCTCTAGGTTTTTCTTTTGAGACAGGTTCTGTCTATGTTGTCCTGACTGGTTTTGAACTTGTGGGCAAGTGGTCCTCCTGCCTCAGCCTCTTGAGTAGCTGTGATACAGCTGGATACAACCCTGAGGAACTGCGGGGCTGACCCACCCTGCCACGGAAGGAGACACACCTTAGTGAGTAGCTGGCTCATGCACACCAGGGCGGGAGTCACGACTGGGTGCCAGAAGTCAGAGGTCGGGAACAACATCCCGGTAATTTTCAAGTAAATGAGCTGGAAAGAGAACATTATCACACAGATTAAAGTGAATGAAATTTAATACTGCTTTTAAAAAGGGCTTGATAGCAAAACTGATTTACTAAGATCCTGGTGAAACAGCAAGCATCTGCAGAGAGCATGCTTTGCCTCTCTCCAGGTTAGGGGTCCCTCATGTCTCCCAGGACACACCCGCACCCCCATTCTCTCCTGTGCACAGCAGAACTCTTCTGGAATGTGCACTGTTCCTCTGGTGACTCATAACTAGTGACACGATAGGCCTGTCCTGTCTTGTCATCTTGGTGACCCATCCCCAGCTGCAGTACTGGGGCTTCAGGATCACAGCGCAGGGCTGGGAAGGAGGCAGCCGGCAGGTCTCAGCACCCATTGCTGTTAATTCTGCTCTGAGCCGCATGTGCAAAGGTAACAGTGGTCCCTTTCTTGTCTCCTCTGTAGGAAGCATGCTAGAGTGTACGCTAGGATCAGACCCAGACTCTGCACCTCATCCTGACAGTAGGCACAGGAGGATCCATTTTCGTGTTGGCAGGAGGCAGCTGCTGGTATCTTGTCTTAGACACTCTGTCTGCCCACATAATAAAGTGCTGTATTTTTCTCCACTAGAAGATGTGGACCCAGGGCTGTGTCACCTGTAACGGGTACAGAGGTGACAACTTCCTCGACAGGTCAGTTAAAAGGCACAGCAGAGGGTCCAAGAGCTTACTCAGGGAAGGGAACCCATGTCGGCTGCCCATGGGCAAGTTCCCGAGTCCTCAGTTTCCTCCTCTGTGTACAGGTATTAAACTCACATCTTGTAGAGTCATCATGACTACCAGAAAAGATTTCACATGTATCTGGCCTGCTACTATTCAGTTCTCCTTTCTCACCTAGACCTTTTCCACAAACAATGCCTAAAGCACATCAACCAGCAAGCACAGATGAATTTTTCACAAAGAAGAAATAAGCTATTTCCATAGTTCTGGTACTGCTTACCAGCTACCTCCCCAGCTGATATTCTGGTGCTTTTAGGTGCAACTGTGAAGGGAAGCCCTCATCAGAGGTAGAGAGAAGTCTCTGACCAGCCCTTTGCAGCCAAAAAGAAAACTAGTTTTGCCTGTAATGTCAAAAAAAGGACTCCTCACTGTCTTCCAAATAACCACACTTCATAGGTTTGCTTTTACTGCAAAGAGATACAATGGCAAATATGAAGAGAAACAGAGTCAACAGGTGAGCTGGGAAAAGTCTGTGCAACTCACTAAACAAAAGGATTAGGTTCTATCACGCAGAACTCCCATAAATTCACTGAGAAAAAGGCCAACAACCTAATAAAAGAATTTGCAAGTAACACGGAAAGCCTGCACATAAAAAACTAATTTATCTTAAACTCATGACAACATTCTTAGCTGCAATCATAGTAAAAGTAAAAGAAAGCTACATCAAGATATTGTACCTTATTCCCTTACAGGTAAAGGAAAGTTTGACAAGGCTTAATTGTTGATGTTGAGGGGGAAAAGCAGTGCGAACAGCACCAAAAGGAGAGGAGGCCACAGATGCCGCAGGAGGTCTCTCTAACCTCTGAACACTCTCCCTCATTGGCCCATCACAGGGCACACAGGTCAAGAGCTCCAGATCTTCATTCCTTGGCTGCTCAACAGGCTTTCTTCCTGAGCAGTATGCAACCTCTAAAACTGGTATTTCTTGAAAAACCGTTAGGGTTCATTTCATATCACAGAAGAATGGAAGTGCAATGGGACTGGAAGCATGTTAAAATGGGGACATTATCCCTGAAGGGTGGCTGAGGACAAGGCTCCAAGAACTAGAGGCCCAGGCACTGCCCCAGCTCCCATGACCAGCTGTGAACACAGCAGGTGGCCTTCTATGGCCTCATGTGATGAGTGTGCCTGAGGGGGTGGGGTGGGAGTGCAAGGATTCAACAGGTCAGGACAGGGGAGCTCTGAACCAGGGATCCACAAGGCAAACCCTTGAAACATCATTTAAAAATGACAGGGATGAAAAGGACGTGTCCTTGAGGAAGCAGGAAAGATCACGCAATACCCATGACGGGACGCTGCCTCAACTCCATTCCCAAGATCACGCTGAAATCCACCGAGGCAGCTGTTTGCAGGACCCCTACCGTGAGTTAGGCACAGCCCACAGGTGACACCGACACCAAGAAAGCTGGCTGGTGGGTAAGATCGGCCCCTCTACTGTGGTTCTGCAGGATCTCAGGAATCCCCTATCCTGTCCAGAGGCAGCAAAAAACTAAAGCACTGTGTTGTTTTGATCCACTTAACTTAGAAACAGCAAGCACACCAAATAGGCCCCATTTCCTCCTTTCTGTTCTGGCAGGACTGTGATATCACTGCAGAACACTAGACACTATTAGGAATCCCACCTCTACTTGCAGTTCTAGGGAAAATGATGCCCAGGGAAGCAGGGCTGAGGGGAGCCCTTGCAGGTTCCACTACCTGGCAAGATTCTTGTACCCCTCAGTTTTGCACCTCAGCAGCAACAAACTACAGGAAGTTGTGGGGTGACAGGCACCATACTGACAGCTGTGAACAGGCTCTGAGAGGACCATGTGAGGTATATCATGTCATGAACCCTCACGTTGCTTTTTTACACTAGCTAGCATTGTAAGTAGCAGCCCCCTTTTACAGACAGTACATGAAGCTCGAAAGCAGGACCTTTGACCTAATCCTAGGCAGCCCAGTTATGTTCCCGACCACAGGACCTCCCCTCTGGTGCTCCTTGGCAGAAAACAGCTAAAGGGCGCAGAGACTGGGCCTCTTTGCCATGGCTCAAGCCTCAGCATCTATAACCGCATCCACCGGCCACTGGTTGGTGGGTAAGTGTGTATGAAGGATGCTGGAGGAAATTCAAGAGAATCCCTAAGCAGTCAGCAGACACCAACCAGCCCAAATCCTACATTTCTAAGTTTCTGCAATTACTGCTAATCCACTGAAACACAGACTCTAGAGAATGGAATAGACAACCCTTCTGAGCAAGGATTTCTTCAAAGGTCCTCAAGTCAACAAAGTAGCAAAATCTCGAGTCCTGCACGAGCTTGTCCTAGAAACCTAACTGGAGGCGGTGGGAAATGCAGAAAGGACAACAGACAGAAGACCAAACATGCACAAAGCTGGGGCCAGGTGGGCTGGGTGCTCGAATGGAGACACACAACAGCAGCCTCCACCTCCAACAAGTTCATTATATACAGTGGCAAAGCAAGGTGGAGAGGCAGTTCTTGGGGGTGTGGGGTGAGGGGGTGACACTGTAATTCTTGGGAACAGGAGGGACCTGTGATGGCTTCTCCCTGAACATAAACATCTTGGGAAAAACAGCTGTACTGCACATGTTGTCCACTTCTGGGGCTGAGGCTTTGTCAACTCAAGCTTGCAATTTATCTGACACAGCTGTGCTTATGCACTCCACTCTCCACAGCAAAAGACTGTTACAAAACTTTTAAAGAACTGGTGGAGTGTCTCAAATGGTACAGCGTGCCTGCCTAGAAAACGTAAGGCCATGAGTTCAAACCCCAACACTGTGAATAAACAAAATCCAAAAAAACCTGTTTAATATCTCAGAATGGTTCAAATGTTTCTCAGCATTTGAATGAAAAGAAACTGGGACCAGGCAAAATCAGTCCACAGGCTGGGGTCCCTAGGAAAAGATGGTGGTTCTTTGCCAGTAAGACTACATACCCAGAATCCAGCCGGACTCTTCCTGTCACACTTCAGTCATCACTACTGAGGAGCCTTCCCCTTAGGTCTTTCTTCAACTCTTTCCCCAGACCACTGTGGAAGCTCCAGGGCAGCTGTCTTCTCACAGTCATGAGTATTGTACCCACTGCCAGCCCTCCTCTGTGATGCCAAACCAAACTGGATTTCCATGGCTGGGGGAAATGACCTGGCTATGCCCCTGCTTACCACATCCAGCCCTGGGAACAGTGCCCGGCCTTTGGTCTCAATCATTTCTTCCATCTCATGCATGGCATCTCGGAGAACAAATTTTATGGAGTCACTTGCAGATTCAGGAAACATCTGGCAAAGATTATATAGCGGCCTGTTAAGCAGAGGCGTAAGTTAGGAATGACACCAGGTGACAAAAACAAAAAAACTGAAAACCATTTTCCTGTGCAGTCACCTACTGACCAACCAAGTTAGAACCAGAAGCCCCTAGATGAATCCACTTTTTTTTTTTTTTTGGGGGGGGGGTGGTACTGGGACTTTGAACTCAGGGCTTCACTCTTGTTAAACAGGCACTCTACCTCTTGAGCCACACCTCCAATTCATTTTTCATTATTTTGGAGATGGGGGTCTTGAGAACTATTTGCTCGGCTGCCCTCGAACCTCAATCCTTCGAACCTCAGCGCCCCTCCACCCCACCAAGTTGCTAGGATTACAGGCATGAGCCTCCAGCGCCCAGCATGAATCCACTTGCAAGGACTGCACCACTGAGCTACATACCCAGACTGATGAATCCCCTCTCTTCCTCTTGTTGGTATCTGGCTGACATCCCCAGTCACCCAGACAATTGTTCTAACAGCATCTTATGACAACCTATACTCATTTTTGCCACAACCGAAGAATCTGATCATATGTTTGAGCAGCAGTTTTATAGAAACACTGCTGGGAGCACATTCTAAGCGCAAGCTTGCGCCCTTCATGTGTTACCTCATTTCGGTCCTCACAGAACTCCAAGACCATCTTCCTGCACATGAAGAGAAAGGCTGTGCAGCACAGGGAACGAGTGGTCCTAGAGTGGCACCTCTAGGTACAGGCTCTCACTGATCCCTGATGCCAGTACAAAACTCCCCACAGAGACCTGCCCCCTGTAATTCTTCCTGCCACCAGTACTGGGAGCCAGGAACCATAAGGGTCAAGGGCTTCTAGTGCAGTGAGGGCCAGACCTATCTGTACAGGTCAGAGGGTTCCTCTGAGGCATGGACCTGTGGGGCTCAGATTCCTGGAGTGACAAAGGGACCTTCTAACCAAACACCTCTCAATGCCCCAAGCTTGAAGCTTTACCAGTGAATGAAACAACAAAATCAGCTATTAACACTACAACCAAATGTGAAGTGTTCCACTGCTTTAATGTCACATGTGAGTGGGAAGCTGTCATGAAGTCAACGCACGGGTACACGTTGTGAGGTCTGTTTTCAAGCTCTAGGGGCAATCTACCCACCGGCCAACTTCTTACCACCACTTCCTCTGCCTTAATCCCTCTAACATGTGAATTTACAACTGTAAAAAGGAGAAAAAGTGTTCAATTCAGCCCATCTCCATGACAACACGAAGAGTTTTACTCACACAATCAACTTATCAATGATTTTGAGGTCTGGTGGATCATTTGTAGCCAAATCTCCAATGTACTCCAAAAGGAAGCCAAACAGTTTCTGCAGAATGAATTGGGAGACAGAGCTCTGAGTCAGTACCAAAAATAAAAACACAGGCATACAACCTCCACATCACCTACAGCCTGGCAAAAACGGGATGGAGTAAGGGAATTTCAGGACCACAGACATGAATATCTTCACAAAATGCAAGAAAGACACTGCTAAATGCTGCTAAACACTAGCAGGTATTGAAAAAAAAAGCAAGCTAAAGGTCAGGTGCATACTTCTACAGAATGGCAGCTAATGAATAATTACTAAATCCAAGCTGAGCATGGTGGGTGCACACATGTAATTCCAGCACTCAGGAGGACGAGGCAGGAGACCAGCCTTTGCTACATATCAAGACTCTATCTCAAAAACAACAACAAAAAGCACAGCCAGGTGTTATAGGGCACACTTGTAATCCCAGCACTGGAGGGGTGTGGGGGGGATTCCTCCAGTTCAAGGGCAGGTTGGACTACACCGCAAGACCCGATCTCAAAAACGAAACCAAATGGGGAACAGTGCTCCTGCACTGTTTACGTTTATATAAACATTTATTGACATCAACGCAAACACTGATCTGCCTCTCACAGCAGATGGGCATTGTTTACTGAGGGAGAAAAGCTGTGTCTGTAGTTACGTATTTACCCGTCGTCTCTGCCAGCGTGTGGCTCAGTGCGCCCTAGTTCCCTCCCACGTAAGGTGAAGGTAGCAGGGCCTGCTGTGACATGCAGAGGTGGTGCTCTGCCTGCCTGCACTGGGTGCTCCCCAGCAGTCCAGCGACTGCCCCTCGCACGGTACCCTACAGCAGCTGGCATCCATGGAGACGGGGCACTAACGCTCGTGGAGACGGGGTCATGCTAGCACTCAATGCGCTAATCTGCATACTTCTAAGTTTGCCTTGTTTCCTTCTGCGAGACTCGGATGGTTGCACTTCTGAATTCTCTCCACCACCAAAAGCTGTTCTTCCACCGATCTTCCTGATAATAAGGACTTCAGCTCCTCGCAGGTCTCAGGGGCTAACAAAAACACAACACACATTACACACTTAACGTTTCAAGTGAGAGCGTCTCAGATTTCTGCTGTGACAGAAAAGCTAAACGCAAAATTGCTTCTTCTACTTTAACACAAACACAACTGAAAATACATTTTATACAAGTATTTGTTTTGCCTCATGATTACCAAAAACGCATCTACTGTTCTTGCCCAAGAATTCTGACACCAATTGACTGGCTGTCTAGGAGTGACCAAGAACAGCTCTGATGAGATGACCTCCAGCCTTGAGTAGGAATTTACTACCCATAAATCACGAGTGTCTTGGTGACAGAGCTAGTTTTAGTGCCGACACATCAGATGAGCTAGAAGGAGTCAAATGAGCCAAGCAATGCCACTCCAGAGAAGCACCCTCACTCTCTGGTCATTCTTTCTGGAAGTAACCCTCTGCCACAGGACACCTCGGGATAATTCACTGGAGCTGTACGCTTTTCCTCTATGTGCAGACAAAACAGTGCCCAATTTCTATATAAGGTGTTATAGCTAACAAGAGTGCCCAGGTCTGAACACAGGCAGCCTTCTCACAGATGACCACACCTTGCCCTGCCGGCCCCCACAAAGAGACACTGCTGTGGAAAGGTGTCTGCCTCATGTACTGACAGCTCACAGAACCGTCCGTTGCTGTGCAACCAAAGTAAACTCTTGCGCCAGGACTTGGACCTCCAGACCCCAAGAAGGAGCATGACATCACCTGTCCACATAGCAAAGACATCACAAACAGAAACATGCCACACACCCACAAGAGCATCCTCGGCCCCCACACCACATATGCAACCCCAGGGAGGAGATCATCATGTACATGCTCCAGCCAAGTCACGGAGGTCGCCCTGAAATACAGGAAAACCCACGTGTTGACCACCTGCAAAGGTGTAGGGCAGCTCAGAGTGGGCAGCTCTCCGAGATTCCTGATCACTGCTCATCGATCTTGTCCTGGGAGTCGGATACCACTCCTTTGACTTCTCATTTTCGTTCTCACTCTCCACGTTAGGTTCCAGGTCTGAGTGGCTATCTGGATCATCACTCTCCTCTGAGTCCTCCCTGCTCTCATCTCCAATCTCTTCCTCATTGCTTTCGTCTTCGCCCTCTTCCTCACCATTCTCTTGGCCACAATCTTCCCTGCTGTGCTCTTCCTGGATGTTTTCCTCAACGTTCATCTTTCCATCCTAGAAAGAGAACACAGAGACCATGGGGCATCGCTGCACATGGTGGAGACCACAGCCGGTGCACTCTGCAGCTACACCCGCATTCTGTGCCTACATGGCACCAGCATTTTCCTACCAGTCTGGGCCTCCTTGCCCACCCCTTTTATGGCACACAGTAGCTGAAGGCTCTTTGATGGTTTGGATGGTTTGTTCTCCAAGAGCTCACGTTTTGGAAGCTTGGTCTTCAGAGTGGTGGTGGGAGATCCTTAGGTCAGTGAGGTGCTGCCCTCAGAAGAAATTAAGGGATTTCTGCATGGGTCCGTTGGTTAGTTCTCAGGAGAGCTGCTATAAAAGGAAAAAGCCTGGGCCCTCTCCATGGCTTCCTCCTGGCGATGTGGCCACTTTCTCCTGAATGTACTTCCACTTTCATCAGGCCCTCGCCAGAGCTGAGAAGTCAGACCAAGTCCTCAAACTTCCTGAACTATGAGCCACATAAACCTCTTTTTAAAACAGTGTTACTCAGCCTCAGGTCTGTGGCTGCAGTACCAAAAAATGGACTAATACAGACTCCCAGACTTAGAAGGTATCCATTGGTCATGGGTTTCAGCAGCTATGAGAGTTTGTGGTATCCTACCACTGGTATGGGGCTAGAAGAAAAGGACAGCAATGACCTCCTGGCTTTTGGACTAGACCTGATAATCTAGTGTTCTTTTGTCAACATTCAGTTTCTTGTCTTGGACCTTTTTCTCATTACAGGACCAGGTCTGCATGCTTTTCTGCTTTTAGACCTGATGGATACACTCTAAAAGGAGACATGGGTACAGCCTTACAAGTTTTATGAATTAGAAACTGCACCAGGGCCGGGGATTGTAGCTCTGTGGTAGAACACTGGCCAAGCATATACAGGCTGCGGGATCAATCCCCAACACAGCAAAATAAGAAAACAAACTGTATCAGTCCTGGAAAGTCAAATACTTCACTTCAAAATATTCAGAACTCTAAGCTTGACTTAGCTCCCTCAATATTATGCTGAGGCCATGCAGACAATCAGTTAAAAACGGCACGATTAGGCCGGGCATGGTGGCTCATGCTTGTAATCCCAGTGACTTAGGAGGTGGAGATCAGGAAGATTGGTTGAGGTTTGAGGCTAGATACAGGAAAAAGTTAGTGAGAGCCCATTTCAATCAAAAAGCCAGGTGTGGTGGTACACATCTGTAATCCCAGCTATGTGGGAGACATAGGTAGGATTGCTGTCCCAAGGAAAAAGCAAAACATCCTATCTGAAAAATAACCTAAGCAAAAAGGACTGGGGTGTGGCTGAAATGGCAAAGCACTTGGTTACCAAGTTCTAAGGCCCTGAGTTGAAACCTCAGTACTACAGAAAAACAATGACAAAAACAAAATCCGTGCCTGAGTAAAGACACTGCTGCTAACAAGAAGACAAGAGGAGTCCAGTCTATGTGCTTTATTACCCTACTCCTTCTGCAAAGGGAGGAGTAACGACCTTCTCTGAGGGGTTTCACAGGCTAGAAACGTGCAGATGAAGAACTTTAGAGAAGCTGTTTTAAAGAGTTTAAACTTTCCATGTGAAATGAACTCCTTGAATGAATACCAATGTGTTTTTAAATGAAGAAGAAAAAGCAGGCAAATATCTCACCTTGTAAGAAAGCAAATGCCTGCCATCTCTATCTAGGGTGAAGCCATCGTTCAAATCATCTGCTGACATGTGCTTTGGTCTCTTCACATGTCCATCCTCACCCTTCCCGAGCATTCTTGCAAGTCTTTCGGCCTGAGCAGGAAGGAAAGAGAAGTCACAGCATGCCCATCAAACTTGTGAAGAGGTGGCATGCCTGGTCTGCTCGTGCCACGGGGCCTCCAGCCTGCTTCCTGCCTACAGTTGTCAAACACAGAAACACGGTGTGCATGACCTGGAGACAACAGACCTATCTGCAACCCTGGGGCATGGAGGAGGCCTGTGATGACATGGGGATGTTAAAAAGGCCAGCTGTAGAAATGTCCCTACTTCACTTTTTCTTAAATGCAATAAGCTTTTTAAAAATTTTAATGCACAGAAAAGTTAACGGCTGTTTTGGGGTAGAGAAATTATAAAGAACGTCCATTTTTTATTTGGGGTGCTTGGGTATTTTTGCAGTTTACTTAATTATTTGATTTTATGATCAGACATAAGAAAATAATTAAGACTGAATAAATACAAACTTTAAAAACTAAAGCAGAAAAGGCTGTGTATGAAAGGCAGCAACCCAGCCTGACAAAGGCTGAGCCTCCCAGGAGCCCCACCAAGCCTCCTGCGCAGCTGCAAGTCACCCCTACCTCCAGCTTCTTGAGCCGCTCTTGCTCTTCCTTTGCCAATTCCTCTTCCGTTTTCATCCTGTTGGAGGGCTGTGCCTTCATCTCAAAGCCGAGTTCACGAACCATCATGTCATATGCGTCGGGCTAGGATGGAAAGAAGACACTTTTCATTTCTATCACCTTTACAAAAGAAGAGCTCTGTGTAGCTAGCTTCCTGACATGTTCCAGTAACGGCTGGACGCCATAATGGAAGAAGCTGAACCACATCCAAGTCTTTTCTGCTGCAGAGAAAGCTGTTCATCTTGAGGACTGAGAAATGGACATTTCAGTAGCATGGACTTTTTTGCTCCTAGCAAATTCCTCTCAAAATGTATCTGCTTTAACAACAACAAAAAAAATCAACTGTGGGAAATTACGTAAAGTAACAGCAATAATATGAGTGACTTGAAAAAATATACAGCCAGCCACATGACAATGCAATCCCGTGAAACTCTACATTTTATCTAGAACCCAGCCACCCAAATAAACTTAGGATTTCCAACAATGTAGACAAAAAAATTATGCAGTGGGAAAAAAGTTTAGTGGGGAAAAAGCACGTAAATGTATATTAAATAAATGTACAAATTACAAATGGGTAACAGTAAAGTTCAAACACCTAGCCTATGTTTCTACCCCAAAGTACTTCTCACACTGAGAAGTTGTTTTTAATTTAATTCACATGAAATAGAGAAAGAAGTGACTTTGGGTCCACATCTGCCCCACTATAACAAACACCACATCATTTGTCAGTGAAACTGAAAACCCGCCTGACAGGAAGGAAGCCAGAGGAGCCACTGAGCCTTGGTCTTTCCTGCATAGAAAGTTGACAATGTGACAGCTTGACTCCTACCTTGGGTTTCTCCTTTTTCTCTTTGTTCTCTGACTTGGCAGTTTTGCGTGACAGGAGGGTCTGGATTTCTTTCCAGTCCTGGTCTAGCTTTTCTGTGAGCTCCATGGCATCTTCTCGCTGAGCCTGTCTCTCCCTCTGGGGAAAAAACAGACTATTATTGCTCATCACCGAGCAGCCTAATGTCAATGCCAAAACGCACAAAGACCCACTATTCAGTATCAAATGTGTCAACATAAAAAGACCAGGAGAAAGTATCTTGAATGCAAAGCTACAAAATCTCACCAGGGAAACATAATTTTGTGCTACAAACTATTTATCTAGATGCTCTGAGCAGTTCACTGCACAGTAACAAGCATGGTATTTTGCAAATCCTGATACACATTGAATACTAAAACCAACAAAAACCTGTCTGAAGCGTATGTTTCATGAGATTTAAAATATTTCTACTCAAAATCAATGTGTATATTAAATGTGTGTAAATATTAAATGCAGTCTAAAAATGTACAGGAAAAAAGCTCAAGCCTATACTGATGAGTGTCTTGTGCTAGAACTCCCCATATCAAGAACATCAACCAACCCACCTTCCCTTGCTTTGACTTTGCAATGAGCTCTTCAATCAGTTCTTTCCGTGACTTTGGTTTGTTCCCCTCCTCGTCTTCTTGCGGAGAGGTCTTCTTGTAAGGGGGTCTGACCCCACCTCCAAAGTGGGCAGCAGTCAGCTCAGCTAGAGACAAAGGACAGAAGATATCACTGTGAAGCCTGGGCCCTGGCTTGATAAGCAGTTTTGTTATGTTTTGTTTTGGTAGTAGTCTGCTAACATTTCTTCAAGAGCACACTGAAGAATTCCCTATCTAAGCAGGGTGCTGGTGGCTTGGGAGTCCCCTGGGAGGCTGCAATCAGGAGGATCGAGGTTTGAGCCAGCCCGGGAAAACAGTTCTCAAGACCCCATTTCCAAAATAATCAGAGCAAACTGAACTGGAGGTGTGGCTCAAGTGGTAGAGCACCTGCTTTGCAAACGTAGAGCCCCAAGTTCAAATGCCTGTCCCACCCAAAATTAAAAAAAAAAAAAGAAACAAAGAAAGAAAAGACAAGAATTTCACATCCAAGAAGAAATTCTCATACACAATAGTTGGCATGAGACCAGGGGCACCTTGGCACATAAGGACACCCAACCTGAGCTGCTCCAAGAAAACTCAGACACATTAAATTACCAACTGGCCACCATTTAAGGAACTGCAAACACCAAGTACCTGTTTTTTGTTTGTTCTAATAAAAGACAGTCATACCCAGGAAAACAGGGCAGACCAGTCTGAAGAGGGAGGAGAGTCCAGGACCAACAGTGTACCTGCCCCATCCCCCACACCTCCTGCACAGGGCTTGGTGAGGGAAAGGCCCTGAGCAGATGGCAGAAGCAGGAACCATCAATGAGACCTAACCTGGACGGGGCTCAAGCACTTCAGTGCTTGCCTGGCAAGCGTAAGGCCCTGAGTTGAATCCCCACTACCACCAAGGGGAAAACATAGTCACTTAACTCCAGGTTGCCCTATTTGCTAGGGCAGAAGAGAAACACTGCAGCATCATCAAATTTGGCATGGAAAGAGTTCTTCAATACAATTTCTGATCTGGGTGAGTTCTTCAATACAATTTCTGATCTGGGTGAGGGTGGCTCATGCTTGCAATCCTAGCTACCATGGAGGCTGACTGGGAGGATTGGGGTTCAAGGTAAATAAGCCTGAGAGAGCCCACCTTAACCAACAGCATACACAGAAAACACTTTCATTTTGTATTCTAGAAGTTTAAGGTTATGATAGCTTCTAAAAATAAAAACTTGCAAAATGCAGCTAATCATGTAGCACTAATTATAAGGATCAGAAAAGGATTCCTGAAAAGGGGAAAATTCCTCCCTTTGGTTCATTTGTATTAAGATTTAGTTGAGAAGCTTTTTAGATATCTATCTTATAAAATCTAGACCGTACTTTAGAATCTGTTCTGCGACTATCTCCACAGTAACATAGTTAACTGTTAGTGACACAGTAACTACGAAATAGTACACAGCACTTCAGATTAGGAGTCAGGCCACATGGGATTTGAATCCCAGCTCTACCTGGAAATGCCGGCCAAGTAAATCATCAATATTTGTCCTCAGTCTCAGCATCTGTAAATGGGGCAACAGTTATCTCACAGGGTTTTGTTTGTTTGTTTGCAGTGTTGGGTATGGAACCCAGAGCATCTTGCAGGTTATACCTGTGCTCTACCAGTCAGCCATCTCCCTAGACTCAGAGGGCTGGTATTTAAGATGAAGTTTTCCTCATCTAAGAGAACATATTTTGTTACAAAACAAAATTTGTCTCATGTCTTCATTACAAAGATTATAGTAAATATATTTCTTTTCAAAGATAAGTGGCTTTTCTTTTATTACCAGGATTTTATAAGCTCATATCAAAATCAGAATGATAGCATACCTCCAATGAATAGCTGGATTCCCAGGACCTGTTACTTGAAAGATAAAAAGTTCTATTCCACTAATGACCCAAGTCTCACAGCAATCCCACACCAACAGGGTGATGCTGTGACCTTCAGGCACAGAGAAGCATGATCCCCCAAGTGAGTGCATTTCTGTATTTGAGCATGCACACGGTCTTGAACAATAAAAAGCAGAGAGAAAGGCAGAGGATAAACCTACCAGCCATCCCCTTTATGGTCTGAAGTTCAGGTAGAGTCGGTGTCCTATTCCTGGTGACCTTAAACAGAATGCCAGACTCTATACCACGGCCTGCCTTAATTCTTAAGCCTTTTGGGTCCCGGATTATCTAGATGCCAAAAGATGGTCACGGGCTTCAATGCCTTAGCTTTCCAGGCAACCAAAAAGAGAGAAGCTTTAAGGCAATTTTAATTTTGCGCAGCTTTGTTCTGAGACCCTAGGCAATGGCCATCCTCTCAGTATGTGAAGAGCGCAGACTAGTTAACAGTATACCTTCACCTTTATAAGCAGGACCCAAGATGGACAGACTTGAACTGAGTCCTCAACTCAGCTCAGGCATGTAATCATGTTAATTTTGGCCGACGTTTAATCTGTTTCATGTTGTCATCTACAGACAGAACTCTCAGTATTAGTTCCACACAAAACTGCCACAACTGATCCCATAGAAAATAAAAATGAAAAGAAATTCATAAGTATCATTGGTACAACTATTAGGTCAGAATTTATAAACTCAACAACTGCAAAGCAGTGCAGCACACAAGAGTTGACCTACGAGTCAGTGAGGTGAGATGCATCCATATTTCTGAGCTCATGGGTAAAATGAGCTATTGTGATGTTTAAATAAGAAAATGGGCAGCCATGAAGAACAAAATGTTTTCATTCACTGATAAATGGATGGAATTGGAGAACATCATTCTGAGTGAGGTTAGCCTGGCCCAAAAGACCAAAAATCGTATGTTCTCCCTCATATGCGGACATTAGATCAAGGGCAAACACAACAAAGGGATTGGACTTTGATCACATGAGAAAGCGAAAGCACACAAGGGAGGTGTGAGGATAAGTAAGACACCTAAAAAACTAGATAGCATTTGTTGCAATTTGTTGAGAAACTAAAGCAGATACCTTAAAGCAACTGAGGGCAATAGGAGAAGGGGACCAGGAACTAGAGAAAAAGTTAGATCAAGAAGAATTAACCTAGAAGATAACACACACGCACAGGAAATCAATGCAAGTCAACTCCCTGTATAGCTATCCTTATCTCAACTAGCAAAAACCCTTGTTCCTTCCTATTATTGCTTATACTCTCTCTTCAACAAAATTAGAGATAAGGGCAAAATAGTTTCTGCCGGGTACTGAGGGGGTTGGGGAGAGAGGGAGGGGGGCGGAGTGGGTGGTAAGGGAGGGGGTGGGGGCAGGGAGGAGAAATGACCCAAGCATTGTGTGCACATATGAATAAAAAAAAAAGAAAACGGGTACTAAAGTGCCTTCTCAGCCCGTAAGAGCATCTATCTTACTCCAAAACTAAGAAGAAAAAAACCCTGAATTTATCAGGAGGTGAAACTCTCGTGCAACATCTTTTTCTAGGTCTCCAAGAAGAGCAAGAGATGGTCCTATGGGGAGTGGACTGTCCCTTGCCCCAGGCTGTCAGGCTTGGGTGGCAACACCTCCCACCTTACCAGACAATGTTCCTCGTTCTTCAGTATCACTGTCACTATCCACAATGTCATTATGCTTTTCAATGTCTGCCAAAGACTGGCCATAGTGAGTTAACTCTTCATCCTCGTTTAGGTTGTAGATGCTTTTTTTCTCATGATGTCGCTGACAGAAGAGGGGAAAAAAATCACCACATTCACTTCCTAACAAGACACAATTATTTCTCCTTTATAGTGATCTACAACAATGCAGACAAGCCAGGTTTGAGATTATTCTGGGTCATCTGCATAATGACTCAGATATAAAATAGAACTCACAGCAGAGAGCTCTCTTTTTTTTAACATGGAACGCTTCACAAATTTGCGTGTCATCCTTGCGCAGGGGCTATGCTAATCTTCTCTGTATCGTTCCAGTTTTAGTATATGTGCTGCCGAAGCGAGCACAGCAGAGAGCTCTTTAATAAATCAATGGACCAGGCTAAGCTACAGGTAAATCACACGGTCTTCCCCACCAGCAGTGCTCCTCCATCCATTTGCCCTTAGCCAGCAAAGCTGAAGTCAGTCCCTTAGTTAAGCACTCCAGTGCTAGCTACTGCAGACTGCCATGGTTAAGATATCTATCCATCCATGCAACAACTAGGAGTTCTAGAACTTTACATTCCTTTGGCCTAGCCAGACGAGGTATAACACTGGAGATCTCCCCCCATATTTGACAGGTAAGTACTCACAAAAAAGCGTAACTGAATAACAAGGAGAAACTTGTTGCTTGACTTCTGTAGAAAATTTATAGTAAAGACTTTCCTCCAAATTTTTTTTTCATACCTGTTGTTCGAGAGCAAACCTCTTCATCATCTTTTCCTCTGGGCTTATGTTGCTATTATACTCCCCAAAGCGTTTATCTGTAAATACATTGGACTTATCCCTTTCTTTGTATTCCTTTAGTAATGTCTGGGTACGCTGAAAAACAGATCATAAATAATTCTCACACACACAAAAAACATCTCTGATCTCCACCAAAGGGGACATCAGAACATCATGTATTTTAAAGTTTAGAGCTTTGCCTGTGATGTCAAAGTTCATACATAATCTGCTTCCCTAGCAGAGACAGAACTTTGAGAAAATCAACTCAGGTTAAAAAAAAAACAAAAAAAAAAACACCTAACAGCAGAGCTAAACACATGGAACTGTGTTTCCACTTGCAGCAGCTGCCTGGCAACCTAGGAAAGGGTGTACTTAAGGTATGATTCACTTAGAGAACCAGAGAAAGTGTAGATCCCTCCATCATGGGAGAAGGGGGATTACTTCCTGATAAAGGGATTCCTAGGACATGTACTTGTGCTTCCATGTGTAATACAAGATCATAAAGGAGTTTATCAAGTGGGGGCTTAGCTTACACTTTACGCTTCAGGACATCAAGAGGAGCAATATTTTAAGCACAGAACTCAACAACTAATAGCAAGTATCTCTCAGTAGCAGCAATGAAGGAGTTCAATAGTATTCAAAGTTGGTCACCACTGAAGTTGAATTCCCTAAAGCAGGGAGAGGACAGAGGGTCAAGGAATGACTGTGACCTCTGAGACCCTGTGGCTGTGTTAGGAACTTTTACTCATTTCAGGAATTCTTGGATTTGCCAAGAGACTGCCATTTATTTAACAGCAGTTTATACACCAACCAGTGATGAAAGGAACTAATACCAAAGTGGAATCATTACAAAACAGAAAACCCTTGGAAGGAAAGGATCCAATTCGGTGATTTCATAACCCCACAACCAACTAAGCATCTTGGCAGGTATTTGAAACCCCTCACCTAACCCCAGATTTGAATGTTTCCTGCAATCTTCAGGGATTCCTGGGTCTCCAAGAGACCCAGACCAGGACCTGAGGGGCATGGAGAGGTCATCCAGGGCGGAGCTCCAGTGGGTAGCAGCTCCTGAATTTCTATCCTCTCCTAGGAAAGGCCTGGGAGGTGCTTAAGGGCTCTGAATTTGAAAGGAAGGAGGGTACAGAATGCTCTGGCACGGGACCATAGGCACAGAAAGGATGGATGCTATGAGACTTTCCACATAAGGTACCATTTCCGCTGCCTCCCAAAGACAAGGCCAAGTGCTTCGGGGAGGGACGTTCCTCAAACACCTGCAGATCAGGGAGGCATGGTCCTATCCAAGAGTCACAAACCGGCGGAGCTCAACCGAGGAGTGAGAACGAACTGCACAGGCGCCCTGGCAACTCAGAGGCGACTGACTCTGCCCGGGGCAATCGGAGGAGTCACCAAAGACACGGGTGCGCAGGGTGCCGGGGAGGGGCAGGAGTTCCAGTCCACGTGCATCCCCGCCCACGCAAAAGCAGAGTGGAGGCCAGACCAGCGCGGTCTGTCACGGTCTGCATAGTTCAGGCGAGAAAACTGAAGGACCGAGAAGCCCGCAGCTGGCCCAAGGCACGGCAGTGTCCCCTCTTACCTTCCTGACGGCCCGCGCGCGGGACACGCCGGGCAGCCCCACGTCGTGGCGCGTCTTCCTCCCCAAGACCTGGAACTTCTGCCGGTTGACTTTCACCTCGAACGGGTTGGGGTTGGCCTTCGCCGTGCCTCCGCGTGCCCCCGCCAGCGCCCTGGGGGCCTGTCTCCGCGCCCCGGCCCGCTTGGCCTTTCCCATGGCTTACACTCCGTCACACCCTGGGGCGCCGGTGCCTCTGCTTCAGACACGCGGGGCCGACCACTAAGCAGCGAACGGATCGGGCGAGAGCGCGTTACCACCGGAAACGCGTGCCAGGGGGCAGGACCACCGTCTAAGCCTTATCTCGCGATAACTGCTCCAGCGTCCCAGACCTCACGCAACTAGTCGCGCTCGGGAGGACACAGACCCCGTTGACTGAGCGACTACAACTCCCAGCAGGCCATGCTACTCCCGGCCTCCTGACGCGGGGCATTCTGGGACCTGTAGTGCCCCGCGCGGTAGCCTCCTCTGCTGCCATGGCGAGGGGAGCTTCGGCTCCCTCTTCTGGAAGGCCGTTAGCCGGCGGGGGCCACTCTGTGACCAGCACTGAGGGAATCGTTACGTGCGCTCGGCCGGGGCGATGGGGCCCAGAGGAGCGCTGGCGACAACGCGGCGGCGGTGACAGCGGAGCCCCGCGGTAGCCGCGCTACCCTCGCCCCTCGCCCCGACCGTTCCCCTCTTGGACCCCGCGGCGAGACCTCCCCGGGCCGCCGACCCTTGCGCCGACGGCGGCGCGGGCGTCCCTCGCGCCAACGACGGCACCGGCGTCCCTGGTGGCAGTGGTGGCGACGCCCGCAGTCGAGGCGGAGGCGGCGGCGGCGGCGGCGGAGGCGGAGGCGGCGGCCGTCGGCCGGGTTACTGCGGGGCTGCTCCCAGAAGTCCTGTGCGGGGTCGGATGAGAAATGCGTGGACTCTGCGGCAGTGGACCCCGGTCTCCCTGGCCTTTCTCACTGCCTCGAATCTTCAGAGGCAGACGCGCCATGGAGCTCGAGAACATCGCCGCCAACACGCTGCTGCTGAAAGCGCGCCAAGGTGGGTGGGGGCCTCCGCTCCTCCCCGCGAAACCTGTCCCTGCGAGACCTCCACGCCACCGGCTCGGAGAACTCGGATCCCAGCGGAACCCACCCAGGATCCGGGCTGCCTGGGCCGCACCAAGCCACTTTCGAGGGCAGAGAGGAAGAGTCTGAAGTGCACAGAATAGCGGGGTTCCTGCTGGGCAGAGGTGCCTGGGAACTGGTGTTCCTGGTGACATAGGACCAGCAACTTCATCTTGCAGTTGAGATCGTGAATAACGAACGTTGTGTGAGAAAAACCTATCTGGAACAGAAATGTTTCGGATCTTTGTTTTTTTTCTCCCTCCCCTGCCCTCGCCAGTCCTATTTCTGCCCTAAATGCCTTTGACGAGGAAAGAGCTGAATTAGGGAACGCATGAATTCTCAACACACCAGACACCCTGAATCAGAAACATAGTACGGGATCCTGAAGTGACAGTGAGTTAGAGACCAGAGTTAAGGCTTGGAAAGAAAGACCTGCGGTTTTGCGATTAAGAAGCAGTGAGGAAGCGGGAGGTGTTAGCTCAGAGCTGCTCCATGCCCTAGGTTGGGTCCCAGGCCCAGCACCGCAAAGCAAACCAAGAACGCTGAAAACAGACCGCACCCTCCCAGTGTGTGCACTAACTTCACATTATTTTGAACAGAAGAACAGTGGGTGGGAAGAGAACCAGGTCTTGGCTTTCTGTTAAGTCAGTTAGGGGGTCCTCAGATCAGTGTGTGCTGTCTTCACCTCTCTCAGTAGCACCCCACTGTGCCTCTTGTCCCTCACTGAGCTGCAAATTGGTCATGGAAGGGAATCATCCTTATTGGGAATCAGATCTGACCATTTGAGATCTCAACTTGTTCCTCCCACCCACATACCGTCATATCTGGGTATAATCCACAGAAAAAGGGACTACTGCACTAAGCAGACTTTATTGTAATGCTGCAGGGATTAGATGATGAGGTAGATATTTGTGTCTTCCCAAAATTCACATGTTCAAATTGTAACTACCAAGGTAATGGTATCAGGAGATGATTAGATCATGATTAGCTCATGAAGGTAGGACCATCATCACTGGGATTAGTGCCTTTATAAAAAGAATCCCAGGAGACACCCTTGCTTCTTCCAATGTGTGGAGTACACAGCAAGGAGGCACTCTATAAACCAGAATGTGCCTTGATTGGTGCCAAATATGTTTTAATTTTGGACTTCTCAACCTTCAGAGCTGTGATAAACACATTTCCATTCTTAAGCTACTCAGTTTACGATGCTGTGCAACCCAAACAGACAAAGATGGTCTCAAACAAGACTGTTAGAACCTTTCCTTCCTTGAGGAACGTTTGGCAGGTAATGCTACCTGGAAAGTGTTATTCGTCACTATCCCAAGCACATTAAGGGAATGTGAAATGATCACAATCATTACTAAAACAAAAATAATTACCTTTTTAAAATTTAGGATTTTTTTACCTGTTGTGGTTTGAATATGAAGTGTCCCCCGAAAAGGTTCAACAGAAGGCTTGGTCCCCAGCTGGTGGGACTGTTGAGAAATGGTTGAATTTTTGAGAGCACTGATTTCATCAATGACTTAACCCACTGATGAGTTCATACTGAATGGGCTCTTAGGAGGATGGAGGAAGTAGATCACTGGGGTATGTCTGAAGGGTCTGTCTTGTCCCTGGTCCCTTCCTGTTTCCTGTCTGCCTTGAGCAGTCTGCAGCATTGCCTCACCACTCCCTTCTGCCATGATGTTCTGCCTCACCACAGGCCCACAAGCAAAGGAGCCAAGTGATCATAGACTGAGACCTCTGAAACCAAGAGCCAAAACAAATCCTTTTTCCTTTAAGTTGTCTTCTCAGATATTTTGTCATAATGATGAAAAGCTAACACATTTCCATATAATACATGGGTAAGCAAGTTATGGCCTTTAGTTGCTTTAACTAAGCTTAAATTATTTCACAGCGTAATTCTGAGGAAACCTTAATCCCATTTTATCTCTTGGAAGAATGTACAGCATAAGTGTAGACAGGGATATATGTTATGTGCATTTAATGTGGGCTTTGGTCTCACATGTAGCAGTTCTGTTCTAATTTCAGGTTGTAGTGTCAGGTAGTAGGTTCTTCAGCAACTGAAGCGTAGTTGATATACCTGTTATTAATGCTGTCTCTTACTGAGGCCTCCTCCCTAGGATTTTTTGGTTATAAAGAGCTAACTTAAACAAACTAATAAATTTGGAAAAGATGGGTGGCTCAGAGAATCAAACCACTAATTTAATAATCAGACCGGAAAAGGACAGAGATCAGGACTTGCTCAGATTTTATTCATTCAGGAGATATTTTTGAGTACCTTTTGTATACTAGGAATGTTCTAGGTGATATTCCTATATGTGAATAACATGACCAGACATTACTGCCATTATTGAGATCACATTCTTGTTAAATTTTATTTATTTGTTCAAATAGACACATAATAATTGTACATACTTATGGGGTACAATGATACTTCAGTACACATATACAATATTCAGCAATCAGATCAGGACTCCAACCAAGATACACGTGGGATGGGGGAGAAATGAGAGAGACTACGGATGAAGCCAACAGCAGGCATCACCAGGGCACACTCACATAGCATAATGAGCAGTCATGTGCCATGAGCACTAGGATCCCGAGGGGGCTGGGAGAATTACGAGGAGAGAGCAGATCAGAGAGATTGTTAAAGGCAGAAGACATGAGATTCAGGGCCGACTGGAGTCTCCACAGTTGCTTTCAGAACTCCTCAGCTGAGGAGACTGAATGCTCTTTGCTGTCTCTAGAAATGGCATACCGGCTGACATTTTTGTTTCCTTCATTGCACTTAATTTGTTCCCATACTCAAGAGTTAATGCAATTTTTGCTGTGTAGTGAAGGCTTTTGTACTCTTTTGGACATGTCCTTACATATTTACTATTCCAACCTGGGTAATGGGTCTTTCTTGCTTTTTTTTTTCTTCCTTAGTTCTTTCTCTCCTTCAGGATCCAATTTAATTTTGTCCTCTTCTCTGTAGCTTTCTCTGGTTCTAACAGCTTGGAGTGCTCTCTCTGCTCTCTGGGAATTTGGAACTTGGGATTCATAACACAGCATAACTGTGGTTCTTTCTCTGTCTAAATTGTAATCTATTTAGGGGCAGGGATTGCTCTTACCTTTATTTTTTTATCCCTTTTAGTGTTAGCCATATAATCGACACTTGGTAAAACTTGGAGATTAAGGAGTTGATTTGTTATTTTGTTGAACTCAAGAGAGAGAAGGTGAAATACATGATGAATTTAAAGGACTGAATTGATATAGAGGAAATAAGTCATGTCTGAAGTAGCCATAGAGCCTTTATAAGAATGGTTGAAGCCAAGCGTGGTGGCATATGCCTGTAATCCTAGCACTTGGGAGGCTGAGGCAAGAGGATTGAGAGCTCAAGGCCAGCCTAGGCTACATAGAAAGACTCTTAAAAAAAAAAAGGCCAGATGCTCTGGTTCACATCTGTAATCCCAACCACTTGGGAGGCAGAAATGGGGAGGATTGTAGTTTGAGGCCAGTCTGGGCAAAAAGTTAGCAGGACCCCATCTCAACGAAAAAGCCAGGTATAGTTACCACTTTCCATATGGGAAATGTTAGTAGGATGATATCCACCCAGGCCAACCCACGTTAAAAAAACCCAAAAAACCATGAGACCCTCTTTGTGCTTGCTAATTTCATCTCTAACTCTGGTACATTCCCTGTAGTCATCACCCCTAGTTTTTCCAAGTCTACTCAAAGTTAGCAACCTTTTTAGCATCTGCTGAATGTGATACATTGCTCTTAGGGCCCTGGGCACGTGAAGGTCCATTCATTCACCCCTCAGCGATTTCTTTGTGTGCTGGAGGTGTACCAGGGATGGGGCATTGAATCTAGACCCCACACCGACATTGAGTGGAGAGGTTTTAAGGTGCAGAGGCTATGAAGGGGAAGGCAAGAGCAGGGTAGGCTTCAACAAGGGAATTCTGCTGGAGCTTTGCCTAGACACACAGGCCAGAGCCACAGGCCAGGCAGACTGGCACTTGTGATTTCTGAAACCTGCCCTTGCTTCTTTTGGGCTTTTGTAAATAGTATAGCTTAACATTAGGCACCTGTGGGTGATGTCAGGCAGGGCTGCACTTCATTCTCATCTCATCCTTAGACTCAGGATTCCTTCAAGGCCTATAAGTTTATATTTGTGGTTTAGGAAGGTGATTCTGGGATGCAGACCAGAGAGGTAGCAAGGTCAATTAGAAGAGAAGCCAAGAGGAGCAGTGCCCCTAAATGAAGGGCAGTGGTGGTAGAAGGGAGTGTGGGGATTCGAATCCCGCCTAGGGCAGGGACTGACCTTAATCTCCACATGTGACCAGAGCCTGATAACTGTCTTTCACACGGGACTAGACTGTAGATGTCTTCTGAATAAATGAATGAAGTACTTAATAGTTTGTCAGCTGGTAATCTTACAGGAAGAGAGGACCGGGAGTGCCAAAGCTGCCTGTCCTCCAGCGTCCTTGCTGCCTGAGGGGTGACAAATAGAGATTATAGAACAGCCTTGGGGATGGGGTATAGCAGTGGTAGAGTACTTGCCTAGCATCTGTGAGGTACAAAAAAAAATCCTTGACTTTTGTTTCCCGCTTGTCTAGGAGATGGATCTGGGCACTGACCTTCCGTGGGATCTTCTGTACATTAGGAAAACATACCCTAAAAGAGAAGGGAAGGAAGATTACTGAGTCCTGCGCATGGGCTCGATACCTTTCTAGACAAGTTAGTTCAATTAAACTCTATAACAATACTGGTAGGGGGAGAGGGCTGAGAGCTCGGAGAATGTCACCCACCCAGAAACAACTAAGATGAGGGCTGGGACTCTGGAAGACTTGTCTTCCCTGGACATGCCATGGAGATCAGACCACACTTAGTGCTGGGAAGTGCATCCAGGCCACCTGTTGTGGCCAGTGTACCCCTCCCCATGAGTGCCACATAGTTGTGAATGCAAACTCTCTGCATTTGAGCCACTTGCCCATGTCATCAAGGCCTGCCAGCTTTGCTGCTGTAGTACCTGAGAAGGTGTAAGCCCTACTTTCAAGTCTGTAGACAATATCAGGCTTAGCAAAAGGTTGCAGCAGCCAGGCTGTATGTTTCTTGCTTCTTACTCCAGAAATGTAAGCTTGGGATAGAGCAGGGACTGAGAGAAGCAGAGAAAGACATGACTGGGCATGAGAGAGAAGTGTCTTTGCTGCTTACTGATTGAGCTGCACTGGAGACAGTCATGGCCCTAGGCACTTTTGCTGTCCATATGCGAAATCTAGAGAACAAGTTAGGAAAGTGAAAACTTCCTGAGCCTTTAAAGGGTGAGACAAATGGGCAATCCCAAGGAAGAGTTATTATTCCAAGAGAGGGGAAACCAACAATAGCTCTGAAAAAAGTCCATGATCAAAATGACACCTGTTCAGTGTCCGCCGGTTCTCTGGAATGGGTTCCCATGCTCTCTGTGAAGGGGCCAGAAGGGACAATTCTCTTGTCCCAGTGCTTTTTCTCAGCCCTTCAGTGACATGGGACACTGTTGTCACTGAAATAGCACTTAGCTATTCTCCTGCATTGGCAGGTGCTTGTTACATATTCACTGAATGAATCTTTTTTTTAAAAAATGAGGATTTGCAGGGGAAAGACATGGTAATGTGAGATGCTCTGGATAAGGGCAATGAAACGCAAGAACAGAGATTTGCAGTGACTGTCAACTCTGTGTCTCCTGAACTTGGCCCCATATCTAGGTCTTCCAGATGTCTGCCTCACAGTTTTCCAACCCACTGTATCGAAGACAGAGTCATCAGTGAAACATGGCCTTCCTCCCAATTTCCTAATTCTTCCTCATGGTCCCAGAATCTTAGTGACCACCTAAGCTGTGATAGTCTCTGCGATGAAATTCCGTAAAATGTTAGTTTCCAAAATGTTGGAGATTGAAGGTTCTGATTTCTCTGAGTTAAGGGGAAAAAATGTGCTTGTCATTAAAGATCTTGTGAAATCTTTGCAGTATAGCCCTTTGAACTACTCTGATCTCATCATGGGGTGCCCTTCTCCCTGATCTGTCTCTCCCACATCCTTCAGGTCTCTGCCTACATGTGACTCCTGTAGGGAGTTCTCATTGGATGCTGCCTATTCAAAATAGCACACGCTACCACTGAGCGCTCAGACTTTGTTTTTTATTATTACATTCCCAATGCTTTGAAGATGCCCAGTGAATATTTGTTCAAAGAAAAACACAAATATTTTCTAAATGTATCTGTATCTATATGTGCACAGAGACAGACACAGGAACAGACACATGGACACAAATACACAAACACTTTCACACACACAAGTGTGTATACACAGATATACACACATCAGCAGACACAGGCACACATGGACACACGTGCACACGCTCAGACATGAACAGACACATGCACAGAGCCATACAAATTAGACATACATTGCATATATGTATACTCACACGCACAGACAGAGCACACACAGGCACACAGAGAAACACATTATATGTAATTTTGTGGGACTGGGGTTTGAATTCAGTCAGGGCTTTGAGCTTGCAAAACAGGCATTCTATCACTTGAGCTACACCTCCAGTCCATTTTGCTCTGGTTATTTTGGAGGCAAGGTCTTGTAAACTATTTGCCTGGGCTGGCTTTGAACTGAGATCCTCCTGCTTTTAGCCTACCAAGTAGCTATAGCTAGGATTACAGGTGTGAGCTACTATCACCCAGCTTTGTTGTTGTTGTTGCAGTACTGTGGTTTGAACTCAGGTCCTCACACTTGTTAGGCAGGTGCTCTATCACCTGAGCCACTCCATCAGCAGAACACATATTTATAAGCAGCCCTTTTCAAAGTGTCATGTTAGATCCAGTTTACAAATTTGGGAACTGAGGCTTAGCAGAGGTACTTACACACAACAAAGCCAATGACTGCGTCATCAATCTGACTTCCAGATAAGACAAATTATTATAATCTTGAATTTTTCTCATCTTAGGCACCCAAACTATCCAACCAAATAGTAAGATAGATTAGTGATAGGAGTTGTTATATTTGGATATTTCTGACTATGAAAAAATGCTCTTTTCTCCTTATAAAACACCATATTGATAAATTTAATGATATTTTAATTAAGAAACTCTGAAAAGAAAGCCTTGTTTAAAAAAAAATTTTTTTGCTGGGTATGATGTCAATCCCAGCAGTCTTGAAACTAAGGTAGGTGGAGTCAGAGTTCAAGGCCAGCCTGGGCTATATGTTGAGAGCCTGTCTCAAACAACAAAACAGGAACAAAAATAAAAATAAAACAAAAATTTTTAAAAGCTTTTTATTTCTTTTCTTTATTATTTTTTTTTAATTTAGGAGAATTTGGCCAAAAAAGCGGTCGCAGTAGAAAATGGAGGGAGATGCTGAGGCTGCCCCCTGACAGCCAGTGCAACAAGCTAAGACATACCATCGGTGAGTACTAGCACCTGCTTAAGTCTTGAGAGGGTGGCTGGCATTGCATTGTTAGATGTTTCACTTTCTTGAGTTCCATGTGTGTTTCAAACACATGGACTAGGGCTCTTCATGAGTCCTAGGCTGCGGTGGGGGAGAATCCTTTAGGTTTTCTAATCTGCATTTATCAAGAACATGACTGTTGACTTTTTCATTCAAAACTGTTTTTAAAAAGTAGTACATACTCCTTGTTTTATACATAAGGGAAATCAAGTAAAGGCTCTTCTCCCTATGGCCAGACAATTACCTTCTCTGGAAGAAAGCACTTCTAAGCATTTTGTCATAGACTCTCAGACAGCTTTCTATGCAGAATAAAAAATTATTGATAATTTTATGAAAGCACTAGTCCAATAAAAATGGTATACTGGGGAAGAGGGTGTGCCCGTCATGAAGCTGGCACTGATTCCCAGTGCCATCCTAAAGGGAAGGCCCTGGTCACTCACTCTGACCAGAATTAGGAAGAGGCTTCAGAGACCTAGACATTGGGAAGGGGTATCCTGAGAAACCCGGGTTGTTTTTGGGTTGTGCTGATAATGGTTCCTGTACTCACCCAACCCTATCACCTTTCTTTCTTTAAGGCAGTCCTCAAAATCCAGACTCTGAGGTTACCTTACTCTCTGTCTGTGTTAGATGAGTTTCATTCTTTGTGTTTTGTTTTTCTTTTACTATTTGATTATTTCCATATGAATTTTGGAAAGAAGGCAGGCCTGAGTACTGGTCTGCCATCCTCAGCTGGAAACTAGGAACTCTTCCAAACCTTCAAATTAGGGAGCAAGTATTAAAAACTCTCACCATTTCAAAAACATAACTTTTTGACTGGCTCATATCGCTTGTTTTTTAAATGTGGTTAATGAATACTTTGAAGTAACATGGAGTAGCCAAACTGGATAAAGTAGGTTGTAGAATTCTTGCAAAACTGTTGTGAGGTTTGTTGAAAAAAGCAGTTGCACACTGGCAACCAAATGTTTCTATCCTTGCTTGAATGTTTCCACATGCAAACTCAGGAGTCCCAAAAGGATTGTTTAGACTCCCAGAATTACTTGGCATTAATAAGCCTTTTGATTAAGGGATTTGTTATGCCTTGCTCACTTTTCATGAATTTTAATTGTTCAGCTTTAGAGTCCCTTTGGGGGGACTCTAAACATGTCTCTCCATTTCAAGTTGAGAGTCACTGCTGGAAGAGCACCTGCCTTTCTTGCTGAAGTTTGACCTATTTTAGACATAGGGGGTTTGTGTTCTTGACACATTCAGCAAACATTAGGCCCTTGTTCTTAGAATATCACTGCTTGAGGTATGGTGAGGTAAGGTATGCTGTATTTCCTACTGAAAAGAACAAGCAAATAAAAAAAGCAATTAAATAGGTCATTAAGCATGTATAGTATTTGTAACTTTTTGAAAGTACAGAGGTAGCAAAGTGGGAAAGAGTTTTCAAATCTGAATCTGGTGCACACCTGGCAGTGTGTCCATAGGTGAAGTTTATGCAAGGGCCTCTCCTTTGTGCTGACCTTCCCTAGGGAACGTCCATCCCCGGTGTGTTTTAAATATTCATGATAACTGACTTTAAATCAGGAAACAGAATAGTTGTTTAAAAATAATACTACATTCCAGATATGGTGGCTCTGTTGGGTGGCATGCTCTCCTGGCAACCCCCTGAGCCCCTGCCACCCCCACCAAGATTCCCCAGCTAAACTTTGCTTCTTCAAGCAACACATGCTGCACCAAGAAGTTCTAGCAGAACCTTAGTGGATGAATGGAGTCATCACTTGAGGCTTGCTTTGCTTCTCTTGTGAGTCAGGACTGTGTCAATGGCACTGACCAGGAAGAAATTGGAACTGGTGTTGATCATTGTACCTAGAAGTTTCTGGGCATTGCAAGACAGACAGTCTGGTTTTTTCCTGCAAAAAAGATTACAGTTGTCTGTCCAGAAAGCAGAGCAAGTTATCAGAGAGAATGCTGTGGAGCTAAGGAATGAACTGTAGCAGGAAGATGCTCCTGACGAAGCTGAGCACTGGCAGCAGGGCTGGAGGACTTCAGCATGCAGCACAAGGTTCAGGCAGCATCCCTCAGGGCTCCTGGGGTAACCTTCAGGAGTTGTCCACTGATGTCCCTGTGCCTGTAAAGCAGACCTGAGGGAACCTGGCCTGCAAGGCAGCCCCATGCACACAGTTGTGCCAGACATCCCTCTTTGTGGACATGGCATTTTGGAAGAACTCTTTGCCGGCGAATGAGTTGATGTCACTCTTAGGTTGCCACCTAGCATTTCCCCCTCTTAATTTCTTTCTTTTCTTTTCCTTTTTCTTTTTTTTCTTTTTTTTTTTTTTTGATGAGACTGGGTCTTAACATGTAGCCCAGGATGCCTTGAACTTTCTTGCTTCTGCCTCCTGAGTGCCAGCTTCCTCAGTCCTTTTGGATAAGCTTTTCCTTTCTTGTTTTATAGTCTCTTTCTAGCTTTCATTCCTTTTCCCAAGCAAACACTGCACTGTCTGCATAGTTGGGACGTCTGTGGCCCATGTTCTCTTCAGCCTTGAAGCCCCTCCTCACACACTTTGACAACCACAGGGTCTGACCTGGACACTACCAGGTCCACAAAGCTCCGAGTGACCTTTCCACCATGTTTCCAAGCACAGGACTTTTTGTCTCTTTCACCATCTCTCTTTAGTTCTCTTCTATATCTCTCTGTATGCCCTCACTGCATTGTATGCTCATGGGAACTACGCACTGTTCCCCTTGAATATATGAGACCATAGATTATTTATCTTTTTGTGGGGTTTTTTTGGTGTTACTGAGCCTCATGCTTGCTAGGCAGGCACTGTACCACTTGATCCATGCCCCTAGCCCTATCTGTCTTCTTATATATGGTACTTATTGCTCATTTTTGTTTGTGTGCTGTGTACATATTTGGCACATGGGCCTATGATTATCACCTGAGACCAAGAAATCCCTTCGATTAGAATATATAGTAAATGAAAGCTTTTAAAAGTCACTTTTTTAGCATAAGGTTCTAACCTGGCTGTCTCATGCTAACTAGAAGCTCTGATTGCAGCTTTGGATCTCCTGGTCAACCTAAAAGCGTTCTTGCTGAAAAGATTAGAAACCGTTCTACATGGTGCTTAGTGAAGATGTTTTGAATTAATGTGTTTATGAGTTATTGACATTTCTCTATTAAATTCAAACGTTATCTGCCAAATAAATAATTCCTCAAAAAATAATACTATAAATACTGTTTTTGACTTTCATAGTGTCAAGTGAAAACAAGTAAGTTCAGAATAGCACCTGGTGGACTGTAGCAACTATATTTGTTTCTTATCCTCTCTTCATCCAGAAAAGGATTTTAGCAGTCTTTGTAACAAGCAGCCAATAGGAAGACTTCTCTTCAGGCAATTCTGTGATACAAAACCAGATCTAAAGTGGTGCATTGAATTCTTAGACGCAGTGGTAAGTGCTTCATCTCAGGGTTGAACTCCCAATCTTATGCTTTTGATTATTAAACTAGACCTGGAAACAATGTAGGAATGGATAGACTGGTTGTCTTGTGCCATGTCATCTTTTTAATCTGGAAATCCCTGCAATATAAAGTGATACTTTATGTGACATTATCTCAGGTGCTAGAAAATCACATATGCTCATGGAATGACTCTCCTTTGTATCAAAGTTAACAGACCAAATGACAAACTGTGCTTCTGCACCCACCTGAAAGGTGTCCTTCCTGCTCTCAGCTGCAGGATGTGTGAAACACTTTAACCCAGAAGCGTATGGAAGGAATAAAGTTGTAAGAAAGATGATCACCTTAGATGGAATTTACTATGTTCTGTAAAGCTTCCAGCATTCTCATGTATCCTGTTAGAGACTTCTGTGACTTCCTCACAGTTTGTTTGTCTGTGTATGTGGGATTTTTTTGTATTGGTGTTATTTTTTTTTTTATGTGATTTTTTTTTTTTAACTCAGGGCCTCATGCTTGCTAGGCAGGTGTTCTAGCACTTGAGCTACTCCACCAGCCCCCTTAGAGATAGTTTTGTGCTTCAAAAAATTTATGAATACCTCTGGCAAGCCTAGAATTTCAAAACTATGAAATTCAGAAGTAAGTGATTAGTAGAAAATTGGTGGAATTCAGCAGAAAAGCTGTCACTGTTAGTTATTTGCACTGCGGTTATGACCCTTCTTCCCTCTGCTTTGGCCTGTCCAAGTTACATGAGCAAAGATTTACTGAGCGTTTACTGTTCACAAAGGATCGCATTATACGTTGAGGGTTTTTTTGTATTATACGTTGTTTTTTTTTTTTTTTGGTGATACTGGAATTTGACCTCAGGGCCTTGCACTTGCTGGGCAAGTGCCCTACCAGTTGAGCTACACCTCCAACCCTTTTAGTTTTATTTTTCAAATAGGGTCTCACTTTTTGCCTAGGGCCAATCTCAGATTGGATCCTCTCACATAGCTGTAATGACAGATGGGTCCCACCATGCCAGGCTTATTTTTTTATGGCCTTGAACTATGATCCTCTTGATCTCTTCCTCCCAAGTAGTTGGGATTATAGGCATAAACCACTGTGTCTGGCTATGTTGAGTTTTTATTCATTTTCTGTCTGTAATAGCTCTGTAAAAACTTTTTAAAAATATTTTTTAGAAATTGAGGCTCTTTTGCTTCCTACTGTGAGGGGCTCACCTAGTCCTTTCCTTTCTGGCACAATTGTTAGGACAAGACAAACAGAAAGAGGGGCAGTTGTTTCTTTTTAAAACTAGGATTCTGATGCCTGCCTGCTTGGTTCCAAGGGTGAACTATGGATGGAAGTGATAATGGTGCTGGGTTATGCTTACCACACTGCAATCGTTTAAGAATCTAGGGATCTACAATTCTTATGCTAAATTGGCTAAACTGCATTGCTTAAATTCTATTTTAGGTTTAAGTCTTTGGATGTTCTCACAATACCTACTAGTTATTATGTGACAGTCAGTTGACTGGTGACAAGTTTTGTTGCTGTTTCCTTTATGGTAGTTGTGAGGGTTCAGAAGGAACACCTGATCATGCTCTTAGTACAGCGTGTACTTCTTTGACTGACCTTGTAATAAGTTCTTGAATGGAGAGATCACTTCTTATCTGCCCTCCCCAGTACCTGGCTCCTTGCTCAGTGTTTGCTGAATGAATTAGTGGTATCTATATCAGACAGGGACCTTCCTGCAGGAAGGTTCAAGCCCAAGTGTGTCACCTTCTCCCCCTGGGGACCCTACTTCCTAGAGGTCCATCAATCCTATATCTCCCTGCGGAGAAGTTTCCCCCAGGACCAAAAGTGGATCTCAGAGAAAGTGGTCCCACAGTGTAGAATGCTCAAGGGTGTTACTGGGCTGGACCAGCTGTCTGACACAGGGAGTTTTTTGTACTTAAAGAGCAGTTATCAGAAGCATTGGATGGTGACTTCATCATCTTTCTGCCACAGGTGCACCTGCTCACCTAAACAAAGCCAGCCCCCAGCAGCTCTCTCCTCCCTCCAGCCTCTAGCTCCCAGAACTGCTAGGATGCTTAGGTCTGGACCCTTCTCTGGTAAGGGTGTAAGCCTTTAGTTTCATTCCCATTTTTTCAGGACATGCCAAGCCTAGACTGTCTCCCAGAGTTTTCAGAGCTAACCAATGAAGGGATTTTTTTCCTTGACTGTGGTTCAATGGTATCAACTGCTCTGGCCCTCCCCCGGTCCTGCCTGTGAATGACTCCTGCTTTGGTGTCACCAACTGCAGCTTCCCCTAGATGCTCTGGGCTCAGCTTTCTAAGTAGCTGCTGGGCATTTCCAAAATGCTGTTGCCTTGTCTGTTTTATTAGCTACAGTTAATGGCTGCAAGTGTGACAAGGCAGAGAGCATTATGGAAAGAATTGCTGAACTATCTTATCAACTCCTTTAAAAATAGACTTCTTTCCATGGAAACCCAGCCCAGTGATGGAGCATGTGCTTGGCATGCACAGGCCCTGGACTCAGTCCTTAGCGCGCACACACAGACATGTGCACTCACAGACACGCGTACACGCGCCTGCACACATGAACACACAGACACGCGCACACACAGATATGCACACACATGCCCGCACACACAGAGACACATGCGTGCACACATGCACACACAGACACGCAACACATGCCTGCATACACACTCACACAGACACATGCACACACAACACAGACATCCACATACATGCCTGCACACACATGCACACATGTGCATGCACACAGATACACGTGCACACACAGATACGTGCACACGCACACACACTTGACATTTTTACCTCCTGTGCTCCTTAGAGTCCCAAAGAAGAGCTGTAGATATTTGATCCACAGAATGCTCTCTGGTCCTGAGCTTGACAAGTCTATTCCATCCGTCAGAAAATTTGAAACATTGTGAAATATTGTTGGTGAAAAATCCACTAACATTTTTCTTTTCTCCCCTCTCTCCAATCAGGCAGAGTATGAAGTTGCCATTGATGAGGAGAAAATAGATCATAGACAATCAATCTTAGATAAATTCTTCAAAAAAGAGGTGTGTTTCTTCTTTAGAATAAAGATGTGTAAGTAACTTTCTTAAATAACGTGTATAGTTATTTTTACTTTGTTGGATAAGAAATAACCATATTAAAAGTTTTTATTGCTTTTAAATGTTCCTCTTCTGCATGATATTTAAAGGACCCAGAGTAGTTATGATATTCCTAAAAAAAAAAGCAAAACAAACATACTTGGAGAACTCAAACATTCTCAACTTCAAACTTACTGCAAAGGTACTTTAATCAAGGCAATGTGGTAAGTGAATAAGGATAGACATACAGGCCAATAGTATAGGACAGAGTCCTGAAATAAACTCATATGCTTACAATTAAGTGACTGATGATCAGGGTGCCAAGATAATTCAGTGGGAGAAGGAATAGCCTTCTCAACAAATGGTGCTGAACAACTGGATATCCACATGAAAAGAATGAAGTTGGACCCTTACCTCAAACCATAAAAAAATTAACTTCAACCAGGCACCAGTGGTCCATGCCTATAATCCTAGCTACTTGGGAGGCTGATATTGGGAGGTTGGTAGTTTGAGGCCAGCTCGGGCAAAAAGTTCATGAGACCTCATCTCAACCAATAGCTGGGTGTAGTGGCATGAGCTTGTCATCCCAGCTACATGGGAGCCTGAGAGGGAGGATGGCTGTTCTAGGCTGGCCTGGGCAAAAAGTTTGTGAGACCCCCATCCTAACAGATGGGGTATGGCAGTGCACATCTGTCATCCTACTACTGTTGGAACCATAAATAGGAGGATCGTGGTCCAGGCCAGCCCAGGGAAAAAAACCAAGACCCTATATCAAAAATAATCAGAGCAAAAAGAGCTGGAGGTGTGGCTCAAGTGGTAAGTGCTTAAAAGCATTAGGCTCTGAGTTCAAACTCTAGTACCACCACAAAATAAAATTAACTCCAAATGAATAAAGACCAAAATGTAAAAGCTAAATCCATACAACTTTCTAATATCCTGAATAAAGAACTCTTATAATTCAATAACAAAAAGACAGGGACTGGTGGAGTGGCTCACATGGTAGAATGCCTACCTAACAAGCATGAGGCCCTGAGTTCAAACCCCAGTACCACCAAAAAGAAAAAAAGAACAAATTTAATGATAAAAAGACAAGCTGACTTTAAAAAGAGCAAAGTTAATGTATTTTTAATGTGGAAAAATAAGCATATTTTTGCAAAGCTACTCTCTTTTCCCTCCCCACCATTACACTTTCCTGTTAAAATTTCCTATATTCAAATGTTAAAAGGCAAGGCACTAAGTTATTTGGTAAATTTACCCTGGCAACTACCTATTCTGAAAAAGAATCCTTGTTTCTTGATTTAGAACCTGAGAAGCCTCAGCTCTACTTTACTGTTTTAGCCTGAAGCCAGTCACGCTATGGCTTGCTTGCCACACTTTAGGTTTCCTTGGTCAGAAGTCAGCTTGGGAGGCATCTCTTGTTACTGATTACAACCAAGGAATTGGCATGGTCTGGGCGTTGTTTTCATTGAGTGTAGACAGTAGTTTGCTATGTGTTTCCTTTCTCCAGAATCCTTTGGATGAGGGTGAAAGAGAGTCAGAAATTGGCACCCAGGGCACTGTCGGTGGGATGTGAAGTGGTAGGGTGTTTTAGAGGACAGTTTCATAATAAATATCAGTATTTCAAGTGTGTGTGATGAGCTAGCAATCTGTTTTAGGAACCATCTGATAGAGATTAGATGTTGAGAAATTTACATGGTAACAGTGTTTACTGTAGGAAAATTGGCAACTAGAATGTCTGGCAGAGGCAATAAACATATACACTGGGCCAGCTGGACATGGTGGTTCATGCTTGTAATACCAGCTACTCAGGGCAAAGGTTGGGAAGATTGTGATTTGAGGCCAGTGCAGGCAAAAAGTTAGAGAGACCCCCGTCTCAACCAAAAAGCCTTGCCTGGTGGTATGTGTCTGTGATCCCAGCTATGTGGGAGGCTATGGGTAAGAGGATCACAGACTAGGCAAACTTGGGAGATCCTATCCAAAAAATAACTAAAGGAAGAAAAAAGGGCTAGGTATGGCTCAAATTGTAGAGCCTTTGCCTAGCAAGCATGAGGCCCTGAGTTCAAAGCTTAGTACTGCCAAACTATAACAACAACAAAAACTTCACATAATGAAAAAACATGCAGGTAGCTCTGTAAATACCTCCTTATAAAGAGGTATTGCATGTATAAAGATATACCTTATAAAGAGGTAAATGCATGTATAAAGATACACATGCATTGTTTTTCCTGTTTGAGGATGAAGAAACTGTGTTTCTGAGGAGGTGTGTGTGTGTGTGTGATTTTTTAATTGTCTTTGAGAAAACACGTAATATAAAATTTACCATGTTAACTGCTTCTAAGTTCAGGAGTGTTAAGCACATTTACATTGCAATGTCACCAATCTCCAGAACCTTATTATCTTATAAAACTGAAACTCTACCCGTTGAACAACAGCCCTCCGATCTCCTCTCTGCAGCCCTGGCAATCACCCTCTGTCGATTTGGCCACCCTAGGCCTCTCATAAGTGGGATCATGCAGTCGTTTGTGAGTGGCTCATCTCACTGAGCACATTGTCTTCAACCTTCGTCTATGCTACAGCATGTGTCAGAATTCCCTTCCTTTTCTGAAATTTTCATTTTAGTTTTGCAGTACTGGGGATTGATCCCAAGGTCTCACACATGCTAGGCAGAGTCTACCACTGGGCTCTACCATAGCCCTAGAATGTCTGTCCTTTTTTTGTGATACTGGGATTCAAAGTCAGGGTTTATACTTGCTAAGCAGGTGAAACCACTGAGCCACGCCTCCAACCCTGCCAAGCCTGAACCTTGATTCTCCTATTTTAAGCTTCCCTCCACAGCTGGGATGACAGGCATGCACCACCATACCCAGCTTATTCTGTTGCGGTAAGGGTCTTGTGAACTTTTTGCCCATGCTGACCTGGAACCACTATCCTCCTGGTCTCCTCTTCCTGAGTAGCTAGGATTACAGGTGTGAGCCACAGTACCTTGGCTGAATGCCCTTCCTTTTTAAGACTATCTGTATATGCCACTTTTCATTTTGTCATTCATCCATTCACAGTTAACTGAGGTTGTTCTTACCTTTGGCTGCTGTGTCTAAGGCTGCATTGAACATGAGTGTGCAAGTTCTTCTTCAAGACACTGGTTTCCATTCTGGGTCGTTTTGAGTGTGTAGAAACAGGCCCCTGAGGGTAGATAGCAGGTGAATGCTGGAGAGTGGGACTGGGGTGGAAGATTAAGGTGGCGCTTGGACTGTTTTTTTCATGTGTTGCATGAGCTTTTCTTATGGTAGGCATCAGGTTCTATTTATGATTGATAAACTAAAAAATCACTAATTGTCATGTATTTGGTTTGTGCTATGTTGAGAATTCGGAAGAAATACCCAAAGCTGTTGTGTGTGACTGTAGATGGGACCCGGAGCAGAACCCCTCTGGAAATGTCTTTGGGAATTGCACTAGGTAAGTGATTCATCCCAGCCCTGCACATACCATCTGTAGCTCACCCCAAGACAGAGGGTCATCAGGAGATGTCTCTGCACGAGGTAAGTTCCTATCAAAGTATTTTCCAAATTAAAATGAGAACTCTTACCGGTTTTGTGTAGGAAAGGTAAACGAAGAGTAGTACCACATGTGCATAAGTGACATGCTGAAGAGGGCCACACCATGGAGACTGGCATCCCTGGCGTGACCCGGGGTCAGTGCCACTGTAGTGTTAAAAGATTGCTCTTCCTGCAGTACAGAGAGTACTTTGGAGGGAGGGGAGATGGGATGGTGTCTCAAACACTGGCCGTAGAAGCTCTCTAGGGTGTTTGGGTGAGGTGTGATGGTGGCCTGGGCTAGGGGATGACGATAATCATAAGGCTAGATGAGTGGACTTTAGGGACCTTCAGGAGGCTGGTGGCTTGTGGGGATGTGTTGAGTTTGAGCGGGTTGAGTCATCAGGCAAAGCAGTTGAATCTCCGCCCGAGAGGCAGGCTGCACTGGGAGTCCTAACGCCTGTCGAGGGTCTGAGCTGAGGCAGCGGAGGCCAAGTCTTGGCAGTGTGGGCAGAACGAGAAGAGAAAAGAAGAGTTAAGTAAAGACAGCCTGCAGACCCTCTGCACCTCTTCATCTGACACTCTTAAACTCGGTCTGCCTTCAGTCTCTACCTTCATTTCTAGAGACCATTGGCCACTTTGGCTAGACCTGCGTTGTTGGAGGGAGGGAACAGATGCTGGGCTGCACGAGTTAAAGGGTGATACAAGATCAAGGGACGATATCCTAGTCCCAAGGACAGACTGTGAGCTGGGGGCAGAAATGAGGTAGGGCTGGAATGTTTGGGAGGATGGATGTTTGCAGAAGCTGTGGGAATGGGAGCAGGAGTGGCATTTTTGACTTGTGCTGGTGTAGTGATGTGCCACATAGTGTCTCCTTTAGTCACGTTGCCTAGTGACACTGTAGCCAGCCCACTTTGTGTAAGCACACTCGGTGATAATCAGTGGCAAAATATCCTAAGGACGTGTTGACCAGCACATAGCATGTATCTTACTATGACTTAAATGACTCGTGGCTATGTAAGCCCTTTCCTATGTATTTTTAATGCCCAAGGTAGTTTTAAAACCTTCTTATCCTGGCTTCACTTTAATATCGCTAAAGTGACCCCAGACCTCAGAGAATTAGATGTACTCATTTGTTCACTCAACAGGTAATTTATTAAGGGCCTCAATGTCCTAGGCACGTGGGATATATCCCAAACACAGCAAACTTCCTGCCCTTGCACCATTCCTGTGTGTCAGGCATGGCTCCCAGGCCTGTGAGATGCAGTGTGCTGGAGTGCACCTGGAACTTGTGATACTTTGCTAATGTGCCATTTACAATAGAAGGAGAAGGCTCTCCTCTGCCCAGGCTGTCTCTTGAGGTATAGGCACTCCGCACGCTGAGGATGACTGGTTTAGTTAGACGCTTATTCCTTTTGATGAGAAACTCAGTAAGCAGCCCTACGTCCTGCAGGTGAATGGTTTCCACTCCTCTAGCTCACTATGGCATGGGACTAATTGGACTAGAACTCTTTTTTGGGGGTTGGGTACTGGGCTTTGAACTCAGGGTCTCATGTCTGCTAGGCATGAATTCTACTACCTGAGCCACAGCCCCAACCCTTTCTGCTTTAGTTATTTTTCAGGTAGGGTCCCATGTTTTTAAGCAGGACCAGCCTCACCATGATCCTTCTACCTATAGCCTCCTGCACAACTGGGATCAGAGGCATATACCACAACACCTGGCTTATTGGTTGAGATAGGGTCTTTCTAACTTTATGCCTGGGCTGGCAGAGATGATCCCAATCTCTGCCTCCTGAGTGTTCAGTTACAGGCATAAACCACCATGCCTGGCTTCGAGCACCACCCCCTCCTTCTGTTCTTCAGCCTCTTCCTCTGAAAATGGTGTAGAGCAGATGCTCTTAAGATTTTTAACTTTAGGTCATCTGCTTGCTCTCAGTGAATTAATGGAGTTCTAGTGTTTGTGACTTGAACTTTGCAAAAGAAATCTTCTCTACGTGATTGCTTCTCTGGTATGCTGGACAGGACAGGCACAGTCTTGCATTTCTGATTTTTGCAGTCCTGGGACATTGTTGTAAGAATAAAAATTCTTCCCCCTTTTAACTGTGACGTCAGGGAAACCAAGAAGGACCATCTTTCACTCCTCATCTTTGTTCTGTACATGTCCTACTCTTTCTGGCACATGTATGTTGGGAGACACGTAATAGTAATAACAACAGGAAAATAAACGCCTGAGAATGTTCATTCATTATGCTCGTAGTAACCCTGTGAGGCCTGCATGGTGATTATTCCTGTTTACCAAAGGAAAGATGAGGACCATGGAGGATGGATAGCTTACCTCAGTCTCTCAGCCAGGGGTGGCTAAGAAGGCTAGTCTGGCAGTCTGTGCCCTTGCCCTCCCTATTGTCTTCCATATGGGACTCATGTTGCTTGAGAACACAGCAGCCAGAAGTGGACATGTTCCCCGGGGGCAGTCATCAACCTGGTTTGCACAACTTTTGCAAAGATCCCAGTCATGAGAGAGGGCGACACTAGGGAAAACTCGCTAGGGATAAAGAGGAACAGGAAGTGAGGGGCTAGTCTAGAGAGTGTCTTGAACAGTGTTGACCTAAAACGACGCAAGCAGCATTTCCACCTCTTGTCATCTCACCCTCAAAATGACTGGACACCAAAGAGCTTTTGTTTATGTGATGAGTCACAAACATTCCATGGTCCCTCAGACCTGTGATAGTATCGTGTTTTGTGGCTCTGGAAAACCCTACTGTACTCTTGGAAGAGATTGAGGTTCCAGAAAGGCACAAGACGTCTTAGTACTAGCAGAATTAAAGTTTCATCAATGAACACCCCCTGTAAAGGTCTCAGGACCCATAGGGACCCTTGTTTTGAAAATCACTGTTCTGTAACAATCACTCCAAGAATATATGAATCCCATCTTTTTATAAGTGTAAAACAGAAGCTGGGCGCAATAGCTCAAGCCTATAATCTTACCTATTTAGGAGGCAGAGATTACGTGGATCGTTGTTCAAGAACAGCCCAGAATGAAAAAGTTCTTGAGACCCCCATCTCAACCAGTAACTGGGCATAGTGACACACACATGTCATCCCAGCTACACACAAATAGGAGGATTGCAGTCCTGGCTGGCTATCTCAAAAAACAACCAAAACAGAAAGGGCTAGTGGAGTGGCTCAAGTGCCTAGCAAGTGTGAGGTCCTGAGTTCAATCACAGTACTTCCAAACAAACAAACAAAAAAAGCAGAACAGAAATGATGTGACTGACTCAGATTCTAAAGCCAAGTGGACATTCAGGATAATTCCCAAAGCCTCTCCAGACCTACTACCAGTTCTCTGTACAAACCATGCTGTTGTCCATTTGCATCTTGCCCAAGCTCAGGTGCCCTAAGATCGGGTACCTTTTCCCTCTTCCTTCATCTGGGCGATTTCTATTTCAACCCAGACCTTGCCCCTTCACAAGCCTCCTGATCACCTCCTTTTCTAGAGTAGGTGTTTTGGACAGACTGTGCATAACCATCATGGCTGTGGCTGCCCCATTGTTTCACAGCTAGCTCCAGCCTTGCTGCCAGTTGTCAGATTCTTCAGGATGAGGTTTGACATTGTTCCTCAGGCACCCAACACAGAGCTTGTATCCACTCAGTATTTACTAAGTAGTAAACAGCAGGCTATGTCCTGTCCCTCATCTGCTTCTATAATAAAATTATAAGTAAAGCTTAAGGTACATGGTGAATCACAAAAAATTTCTTCAAGAAATGTGTAGCATTAAATATCTTATTGGGTGCTTTACTTTCACTTTCAAAAAAAAGGTTGTGTCACATATTAACATTACTCTCTACCATAAACCATTACCATTCAGTCAAGCACTTTAGTCTCATGTGTAGAATGTTGACGTTTTTTGTGAAACGCACATACACACACATCTAGAATGCCTTTTAAACTATTGTCTTCCAACTGGTATATTCTTTTTATTAATTATTTCTTCTAAAAAAACCTTTGACATTGGAAGGGCAAAGGGATTTAATCTTTGTAAAATCTTCCTGTTTTCCCTGATAGCTCTGGAACCTAGAATGGACAGCTATGATTGTAGGCTCTGTTTACTGAATTGTGTGATCACATGATTCATTTCTCCATGCCCAGCACCTGCTTATGCAGAAAGACACAGTTGTTGCCATGTTTTTATGTGAAAAATATGTAATTTCATAAATCTTTTTCCAGAGTTGTCCATGACTATTTGAGTAAAAAACCATTTGAAGAATACCAGGAAAGCTCATATTTTTCCCAGTTTTTACAATGGAAATGGCTGGAAAGGTAGGTTTTAATTTAAAACTCAGTAAAAAGTAGTTACTTCTCATAATGTATACTGATTGATGTCTACTTTCCCATCTGTCACAATACTACTAGAAATGTTGATATGTATGTGTATTTTTACACAGAAATTGTTGTAATTATTATTATCTTGGCAGTACTGGGGATTGAACTTAGAGCCTTGAACTTGCTTGGCAGGCATCCTACCACTTGAGCCATGAGCCCAGCATTCTTTGCTTTAGTTGTTTTTCAGATAGGGTCTTACAGGGTTATTTTGCCCCAGGATTGCCTAAGGTGATCCTCCTACTATGCCTCCTTCGCAGCTTGGCCGCAGGCATGTGCCACTACACCTGGCCTGTTTGTTGAGATGGGATCTTGCTAATCCTTTTGCCCTGGCTGGCCTTGAAATGTGATTCTCCTGATCTCCACCTCCTGACTAGCTGGATTATATGGGTACAACTTGGAATTATTAGCAGGTGCAGTATTGTACAATTTCTCCGGATTCAGTGGGCTTTTTAAAATAGTGTGGGCTGCTGGCATATTTATCTTTAGTGAGAAAGGATAATTAAACTGTTCTGCATCTTGTATCAGTGATTTTATTTTTTTGGGGCACTACTAGGTTTGAACTCAGGGCCTTGCACTTGCCAAGCAGGTGCTCTACCACTTGAGCCACGCCCCCAGCCCTTGTGTCAGTATTTCCAATAAATCTTAAATGTACTTGTTTCTCTTAGTGCAAGTGGAGATAGGTCCCAAATAGAGGCAGCCACAGTCCTGAGCATGACACCTTGTCCTGTGTATTCCCTTGAGCAATATGGGTCAATAAATAAGGCTAACATGAGTGCGATATGAGATCTGAAACTTTTCTTTTTAATTGATTAGGCGACCAGTAACAAAGAGCACGTTTAGACGTTACAGAGTTCTAGGAAAAGGCGGCTTTGGAGAGGTGAGTAGCGCCATGAGTGGTACTTGGGTGCTTCTAGATGTGCGCATAAGCAAGGCCATTGAAAAGCATGAGGCCCACGTAGTGTGTCAGCTTTCCAGGGCATTCATTTCCTAACTGCATTCTGGGAGCCATTTCAGTCAACCTCGAGAATGAAGTGGAATGCTGAGCAAAGGTGCTTTGCTATGAACTCCTGAAAAACCCCTTAGCTTTGTGACTTCTCTTGCCACTTGCTGTTTCTGGCAGAAACTGGTTTTTGGAGCTTGATGTTCAAGTTCAGGCAATTTATCTGGATTGAAAGAATACTGATTCCATATTGTGGAATTTCTGTTACTTTATTTCCATAATTTAGGACTAGCCCTAAAATTCGTGTAGTATAGAGTACATTTTTTTCTTTTTTACTGTGCCCAGGCTAGCCCCAAACTCCTGGCTCAAGGAATTCTTCTGCCTCAGCCTCCCAATTAGCTGGGACTCATGTATGTGCCACCACAAGAGGTCAGGTGCTTAAATATGCTTACTTAACTCATCTTTTGGATATACATATGCCTGTGTGTGTATATATTTTGAATTTTAATTTAATATATATCTTGCACCTATATCAAAAATTGTTCAGGGCTGGGTGTGGTAGTGCATGTCTGTAATCCCAGCACTTGAGAGGCTGATCCGAGGATAGCAAATTAGAGGCCAGCCTGGGCTACAAAGTGACACTTGGTCTCTAAAAAAAAGTTCAGAGCTGGGAATGTAGCTCAATGTTAAAGCATTTGCTAGCATGCACAAGGCCCTAGGATTAATCCCTAGCACTTTAACAAAAAGTGTTAAAAATGTGTCAGTTTGGAGGGCTGGGGTCAAGGCTCAAGTGATAGAGTGCTTGCATAACAAGTGCAAGACCCTAAACTCAACCCCCAGTACAGCCACAAAAGAAAGAAAGGGCAGGGAAGGGGGAGGGAAGGAAAGAAACTGGTCTTTTGGCTGAGGGAGTGGCTCAAGTGCTAGAGCACCTGCCTAGCAAGTATGAGGTCCTGAGTTCAAACCCCCGTTCCTCAAAAAAAAAAAAAAAAAAAAAAAAAAAAAAAAACAAAAAAACCAAGACATGGGCAGATGCTAAGACTCATTGGTAGAAAAACAGATTCAAAATCAGACAGATTTTGAAAGTCATGTTTTAGGAGAAGATTTAATGATGAGAAAATAGTCACATTTAAGATTGAAAAAGAGGCTATGAAATATTCCTTACTCTGCAGCGGAGCCAGATTTGCTGTTTGATTCAGTGGACTTGGAGTCCTGCACAGCAAAATATTAGTGATACTACCTTGGAGTAAAGATGTTGTTTTAATCAGTGTTCTTGTTACTTATAGTGTTTCCACAAGGAATTTTATATTACTGTCACTCAAAATTATTTATATGAAAAACACATGACTTATATTTGCTTTTAAGGTATCTATGCATGCGTATGCGTGTATGTGTGTGGTGTACGTAAAAAACAGATTCAAAATCAGACAGATTTTGAAAGTCATGTTTTAGGAGAAGATTTAATGATGAGAAAATAGTCACATTTAAGATTGAAAAGAGGCTATGAAATATTCCTTACTCTGCAGCGGAGCCAGATTTGCTGTTTGGATTCAGTGGACTTGGAGTCCTGCACAGCAAAATATTAGTGATACTACCTTGGAGTAAAGATGTTGTTTTAATCAGTGTTCTTGTTACTTATAGTGTTTCCACAAGGAATTTTATATTACTGTCACTCAAAATTATTTTATTGATGGCAAAATTACATCATGACTTATATTTGCTTTTAAGGTAATCTATGCATTGTATGCGTGTATGTGTGTGGTGTACGTATGTGTGTGTTGTGTGTATGCGTGGTGTGAGTGGTATGTATGGTGTGTGTGTGAGGTGTGGTTTGGTGTGTGGGGTGTGTGTGTGGGGTGTTGTGGTATATGTGGTGTTTGTGGTGTATGTGTGAGTTGTGTGTGGTGTGTGTGGTGTGGTAAATGTGTGTGGTGTAGTGTTGTGTGTGTGGTATGTGTGATGTGTGGTATATGTGTAAGGTGTGGGTGGTGTGTGTGGTGATGATATATGTGTGAGGTGTGTGTGGTGTGGTGTATATGTGTGTGGTGTGTGGTATGTGTTGTGTATGTGTGGTGTGTGTGGTATGTGTTGTGATGTACGTGTGGTGTGTGTGCTATGTACTATATGTGTGTGGTATGTGGTATGTGTGTGTGGTGTGTGCTGTATGTGTGTGGTGTGTGGTATGTGTGTGTGTGGTGTGTGTGGTATGTGGTATGGTGTGATATATGTGTATGGTGTATGTGTGGTGTGTGCTGTATGTGTATGGTGTGGTATGTGTGTTTTGTGGTTTGTGTGGTATGTGTGGTTTTGTGTGGTGGTGTGGTGTGTGGTGTGTGTGTGATATGTGGTGTGTTGTGCATGTTTGTGTATGTGTGTGTATGTGTGGTGTGTATGTGTGTGTATGGTGTATGTGTGTGTGGTGTGATGTGTGGTATGTATGTGTGGTGTCTGTGTGGTATGTGTGGTGGTGTGTATGCATGGTGTGGTGGGTGGTGTGTATGTGTTTGGTGCATTGTATTGTGTGGTGTGTATGTGGTGTATGTGTTGCGTGTGTGTGGTGTGTAGTGTGTGTCTGGGTGTGTGTGGTGTGTGTTGCGCATGTGTGTGTGATGTGTGTATTGTGTGTGGGGTATAGTGTGGGGGTGGTGTGTGGTGCATGTATTGTGTGGTGTGTGTATTGTGTGGTGTGTGTATGTGGTGTATGTGTTGCGTGTGTGTGGTGTGTTGCGCGTGTGTGGTGCATGTATTGTGTGATGTGTGTGGTGTGTGGTGTGTTTATGTGTTGTATGTGTTGCATGTGTGTGGTGGGTGTGTGGTGTGTTGCATGTGTGTGGTGCATGTATTGTGTGGTGTGTGTATGTGGTGTATGTGTTGAATGTGTGTGGTGTGTAGCTGTGGTGTGGTGTGTCTAGTGTGTGCTGCGCATGTGTGTGTGATGTGTGTATTGTGTGTGTGGTATGGTGTGTGTGTGGTGCATGTATTGTGTGGTGTGTGTAATGTGTGGTGTGTGTATGTGGTGTATATGTTGCATGTGTGTGGTGCGTGTGAGGATGGGGGTGTGTAGGGTGGAGGGGAGATCAGAGAAAACACAGTGGCCATGTGTTGTGCAGAAGCAGGAGCTGTTCCTGAAGACCTGTTGTACTCTTGTGTCCACTCTTGTGTGTTTAAAGTGTTCACGGTGTGCAGTTAGGGTAATCCTTGATTCAGGCACTACCTAAACAAAGCTGTGAAAAACCTACGAAACGTACACCCATAGCTTCTTGAAGGTTTTTTGTTTGTTCTGTCTTTAGGCAGCGTTTCCCTGTGCTGCCCAGGCTAGCCTCAAACATTATGATCAAGGGATCCTCTGGCATCAGCCTTCCAAAAACCAAGGTGACCACTGTGCTCACCTTGAACTTTTTTTTTTTTTTTTTTTGGTGGTACTGGGGATTGAACTCTACTCTTGCTTGCCAGGCAGGTACTCTACCACTTGAGCCAGGCACCCAGCCTTTTTTGATTTTGTTGCTTTTCAATTGGGACCTGTTTTATGCCTGGACTGGCCTGGTCCGCACCCTCCTATTTACATTTCCCTTGTAGCTTTTTATTGGTTGAGAGGATATCTCACTAACTGGATTGGCTTCAAACCTCTTTCCCCATCTCCAGAAGTGAGCCACCACACCCAGTTGAACTTTGTAATTAACAAAATTAAGAATATTTTAAATTTTGAAACTTTTACTCTTTTACAAAAGAAGAAAAGCAAAATAGACATACGGAGATATACTTAAACAGATGCACCATGGTCCCATATAAACAAATTCCATTTGAACCTTAGAGTTTATAAAGCACAGCGTTACATTCACTTCACTCTCAGTACCACCATCATGAGAGAGAAGCTGGCAGTCAGAGAGAGAGAAAGAACCAGTTCAAAATCTCAGTATGTCACTACCAAAGTGGTCTTGGCTCAGCAGCTCTCTCTGGGCTTTACAGGGGAGGATCGACCTAGAGAAAACCATTCTCTTTGTGTGGTTTAAGAATGTCAAGTGTATATAAAGTTTGTTTTTTCTTAAACTAGGTTTGTGCCTGTCAAGTGAGAGCTACAGGAAAAATGTATGCCTGCAAAAAGCTGGAAAAGAAAAGAATAAAGAAGAGGAGAGGAGAAGCCATGGCTCTGAATGAGAAGAGAATCCTAGAGAAAGTGCACAGCAGATTTGTAGTAAGTGTCTTCTTCCAGTCCTGTAGAGCTTCTGGGAACTCTTTCCTTCCTTCCTTCCCTCCTTCCTTCCTTCCTTCCTTCCTTCCTTCCTTCCTTCCTTCCTTCCTTCCTTCCTTCTCCTTCCCTCCCTTCCTCCCTCCCTCTTTCCTCCCTCCCTCCCTACCTCTCTTTCTTTCTTCTCTCCCTCCTTCCCTTCCCTCTCTCCCTCCCTCCCTCCCCCTCTCTCTCTCTTTCCCCCATCTTTCTTCTTTTGCAGTACTCAGGGCTTTGCTTTTGCTAGGCAGGTTCTCTACCACTTGAGCCACACCTCCAGCCCTCTGCTGTAAACTCTTGTTCATGCCCTGGGGTCATGTGTTGTGGTCCTCGGTGGGTGAGTCTGTGTTGGTCTTTGTTGTGGCATGTAGCAACCCTCTTCTTGGCTTAGATCTTGCAAGTAGACAGTAGTGCTCATCCTCCTAACTCATGGTTTGTTATAAGTCTATGACTGCCCACCGTCCCATTCTGTCAGTCCCTCTTCACATCTTCCCCTACAGAGGATTGTCACCCTTCCTCCCTTAATGACCTTGGTGTGTCCTGGATCCCTTGTCATAGGCAGAGCTCATTTCAGTGTGCTGTCATCCTCTGCTCATCGTCAGATCAGTGACTTGGATATCCCTGCTTGAAGGTTCTTTCTGTAGTCTTTCTTCTCACGTGGGCCCTCTCTCTGAATTTGGTCTGTTGTCATCACATTGCCTTTTCTGACACTGGCACTTTAACCACTAGTCCCTCAAGCAGCGTATCACAATCTCAAGATCCTCAGATTTTACTTCACGGTCTCGGGTAAGTATTGGACATGGGGTGGACGCTATGGATCAGCGGAGGGAATCCCAGGCTTTAGGCTGTGGATTGATTGTGTAGTGTGGTTCTCAATTCCAACCTACTCCCTCCCCACCAGCTACATAATTCCTATAGCATCTGCTGCAGTATGAAGGCTGGTTAAAGGGAGAGTGTGAAGAGTAATCTATAAAATGATTGATAGTGTGACAGTTACTTCCTCAAAGCCATTTACTTCTCAGCATTAAGGTCAGCTGCTTTGTGCTGGGGAACAAATGTTCCCAAAAAATACACCTCCACAGTACTCATGTAATAGCATGAGTTCCTGTGTGTGGTGTATCAGTCTTGCATGCACTTACTTAAAGATCTTTAATAAAAATGGACTCATCTTGGAGTTACTTTAAACACATTGAGGTACACTACCTCGAAGCATAGAAATCTCAAGTGTAGCTTTATGAAAGGAACAAAAGAAGTTAGTTTGTTCCACTTAAATAATTTTGTTTCTATATTGTGTGTCTCTTCCAAGGAACCTAAACTTCCTTTCCTTCATTTGTGATTCTGTTTCTTCCTTGGTTGCAGTGGCTCATGGTCCACCTGTTCATTAGTCATGCTCACTCCCACTGCCACCCTGACCCCAAAGGAGCACCTCTCCCCTGTGCTCCCTACCTCTGCCTACACTCTAGCCTCTCACAGTCTTTTCTCCACTGAGCAGTACAGTCAATCTGTGGAAGAATTAAATTAGTGCTTAAACTCTCCAGTGGCCACCATGATATTGAGAGTGAAATTAAACTCAGCTCCAGCCTCTGAGCCATTGAGGAACCTGTTTCCTAGTGTCTATCACCCTGCCTCACCCCAACATCTGGTCTGGGAGCTGGTTGTCCCATTTACATGGAGCATGGCTGCCACCTCTTCTTGTCCTTGTGATCATTTATCCATCTGTTGCCTATCATCTTCCCAGGCCACCCTGACCAGTATAGACAAGCAGTGCTCCTCAGAGTCTTGGTTAATTACTGTGTCCTAGTGCCTAGAGCAAAGCTAATGTGATAAAAGGTCCTCGATATTACTTCAGTATGTGTTGAGTGAATTCAGTATTCACAAGAGGGGAATTAACTGAAGCATTAGTGAGAGATTCCTAGCAGTTTAACTCTGTGGTCTGTTACATGCCAGCCAGTGACCACAGTGGGCAGCAGAGTCCATGGACACTTCTTCCCACCCTCCTATTCCCAACCTCTCCCCTTTACTTGCAACTGCTACTTTCTCTCTTACTGTTTAATTCATGATGACCAAGGTGGACTTATTTCAGGGATGAGTATCAATGCAACTTAACCACATTACTGGAATAAAGTAGAAAAACAGATAGTCATTTCATAGTGGCCAGAAAATCTTTTGATAAAATTCAGTGGCCACTCATGATTAAATGCTCTAAGCAGGCTGGGCATGATGACTCAGATCTGTAACACTAACTACTCAGGAGGCAGAGATGGGAAAGATCATGGTTTGAGGCCAAGTGTGGCAAATAGGGAGACCCCATCTCCATTAATAGCTGGGTGTGGTGGCATGTGCCTGCCATCCCAGCTACTCAGAAAGCATAAAATAGGAGAATCAAGATCCAGGCTAGCCCAGGAATAAATGCCAGACCTTATCCCAAAAACAACTAAAGCACAAAGGGTTGAGGGGTGTGGCTCAAGTGATAGAGCACCTGCCTAGCAAGAGCAAGGCCCTGAGTTTAATCAGTAAAAAGAAAGAGCTGGGCACTGGTGATTCACACCTATAATCCTGGATACTTGGGAGGCTGAGATTGTGAGGATCATGGCTTGAGGCCAGACTGGGTAAATAGTTTGAGAGACCCTCTATCTAAAATAACCAGAGGAAAAAATGTAACTGGAGGTATGGCTCAAGCAGTAGAGTGCCTGCTTTGCAAGTGGGAAGCCTGAGTTCAAACTCCAGTCCCACCAAAATAAAAAGAAAGAAAAAGAAAAAAGCTCTAAGCAAACTAAGTAAGTTTAAAAAGGAACTTACTTGAGAAAAATCTCTAGCACACAGCTTACCTTATGTGGGAATATTGAGACCTACGTAATGAGACAAAGACACCTGCTGTCACCATCTCTCTTCAACATTATATTGGAGGTTGTAGTCAATGTAAGGGAAAAAGGGACAGTTAAGGTTGGATGAAGAGTAAAAGGTAAAAAGACTATTGTTATTTTTAAAACAACATGATGTAGAAAATGTCCCAGGTTTTCTAGATAGCCGACTGAGGATTTAACCAAATGATTATAAGTGAATTGGCTACAAGCAATTAGAAAATGAAATTATTGACGAAATTTACAATAGCATCAAGAAAGTCAAAGTCTAGGCAAAGGTCCAACCAAAATATACAAGACTTCCACCTCAAGAACTTTCAAAATGCTGCTATAAGAGATTGAAGGAGGCCTAAATAAATGGAGGGATCCATATTCCTGACTGGAAGATTCAGTGTTGTGAAGACGCCAGTGCTTCCCACTGGAGCTATAGATTAAATGAATTAAGTGTAATCCCAATTCAAATCCCAGTAGAGTGTGTGTGTATATGAATTGGCAAACAAACCAATAGAAAGGTAGACAGAAAACTTGAACAGGGGTTGGGGATGTAGCTCACTGGTAGTGGTAGAGAACTTGCCTAGACATGCATGAGGCCTTGTGTTTCACCTCTACCACTGCAAAAAAAAAAAAAAAGAAGATTTTTGGCCAGGTATGCTATGGTTCTAGCTACTCAGGAGACTGAATCAGAAAGATAGAAAGATTGCTTGAGCCCAGGAGTTCTGGGTCAGCCTGGGCAAAATACTGACACCTTGTCTCTTAAAACAGCAACAAAAACCAAACTTAAGCAGACATTTCATAAAAGAGGATCCAAATGACTAATTAATACATGAAAAAGTATGAGAAGTATCCCTCTATTTGCATATACAGAGAGATGCAGTTAGAGACCACTCCACCCACACCCCACCTGCTCAAACTAAAAAGATTAACACCACAAAATGTTGGAAGAGTGTGGAGGAGCTAACCTCTCTGTTATTGCTGGTGGGTGTGACTTGCACCCTGAATGTGGTGATCCAGAAGGTCCAAACGCCAGTGCTCAGATAATCAGACCATAGCATGGAGGAATCACTGTCCAAGTATCTTTGTGACATCTTGCTACTTACTCACTTTCACATAGAAAGTTCTCACCTGTCGAGGCAGAGCTGCAGTAAGATCTTTGATAGGTAAAGGTCCAGGAGGCACATATGCATGGCCTACATTTCTCTAAAGTATGTACTGTTTGGGCTTTCTAATTATAAATCTAATATAGATAATCTGAAAATTGTTAGCAAGTAGAGTAAGTCATTAATGAATAAGCAGGTTTTTGTTTTTTTGTTTTTTTTATGATGCTGTTGTGTTTAGGTTAGTTTAGCCTACACTTATGAAACCAAAGATGCCTTGTGTTTGGTGCTAACCATTATGAATGGCGGGGATTTGAAGTTCCACATTTACAACATGGGGCAATCCTGGCTTTGAGGAGCAGAGAGCTATTTTCTATGCTGCAGAGCTGTGCTGTGGCTTGGAAGATTTACAGAGGGAAAGAATTGTATACAGGTAAGAATGGTGCAATTAATGGAGCCTGTGAGCTTCAAAGCCCATCCCTGCTCCCCACCCCCCACCAGCTCTCCCCTGCCCAGCCCAGGGCTTCTCCTGGCTCACACTGACTGCCTGTGGGCTGGGCAGCAGAGCAGTTGGAAACCCTGGATGGCAATTCCCAGGGACGATGTTCTCTCACACTGTTGGAAACATGGCTAGTCAGAGGTATGCCTTGGTTTTCTTTTTAGTTTCTCGTTATTCTTTAATAAATTGTCTTTTTAAAGTGGAAGTTTTTCTTTTTTTGGTCATATAAAGGTGCTGCTATTCATAGAAGCACAAAAAAGGCTGTTTCCAAGATTCTGGGATATTTGGACAGTTCTGATAAGGATACTCACTTTGTTCCCCAAAATAACAATACTAAATGTTTTCAAAAATGTTTTCTTTTTTATCTTAGAATTCAGTAAAGGAAATCAAGTTAAACTTAATAGTTAGAATTAATTTAGTGCCAGCAGTACATTTAGTTTTAGAAAAGCAGTTCCTAACGCTTGGTTCCTCAGCCCTGAGTCTCTTCTTGCTCAAGGTCCCTGGCACTTTTGCTCATTGTCTTCTGTAGGTTCGTTACCAATTAGATGCAAATCATTCCTTAACAGAAATTTCTAACCTTGCCTTCTTCCTAAATTCCAGAGGTACCTGTGTATCCTTGCCCTTGTCCTCTCCATCCAGTTGGTCACCACCTCACTCCTGGATAGCTCCCCCATCACTCTAAACTTTTCTAGAGTGACTGACTTGGTTTCATGACCTCCTTAGGTCATGTGGCTGGCAGAGACTTGAACTGGCCTCCCTGAAGCTGGTCTTGCCCCAGGGTTTGCTCCAAAGGCTTCGACAAGATCTTTCGAATGCAGATCTGCTCCTATTGCATTATCCCCTGCTATGGGACCCTATAGTGTGTCCCTTGTCACCTTGTCAGCAGGCTCTTATGACCCCAGTTACTCTTCAGCCTTGTGTCCTGCTGCCCCACATGGGACCCCTTGCCCTTGCCACATGAGTGTATTGGTGGTTTCCGAGAATTTCTCAGGTGTCCTCACATCTCTACCCCAGGCAGTGCCACTCCCCCATGGATGCTTGCTTCACTGCAGCCCCTCTTCCTGTCAGTGTGAGGAACCCCTGCTCATCTTTCCCAGTTTAACTAATAATGTCGCTCCTTCCTGGAGTGTTCCACTCCAGCATCTTCAGCACTTCAGATGGTGGTATCCGGTCTAGAGCTGGTCATGCCTGACTGTGAGGTTCTTAGGAGTCCTTGATCTTGCTTATTCTGTTCTGATGGGCTTTGGCTTTTCCCACCTTCCATATGCCATAGCCAAGTTAAATATCTCCTGAGAACCAGACACCAGTGAGGCAGTAGGGCTGACAAGGCTCCACCTTCAGTCATTGAGCAATGGGTGGATTGCTGCCCTGGCCGGGATTCTTCTAGAGATAGTGGTCACATCTGAGTTAAATATGCCTCGTTGCCAATACTTAGAGGTGGAGTCTGTGGAATTGGTGCAGGGACCAAGCCTGGAGGAGATTTGATTCCTGGGTCACTCCTGGGCTAAATCACAGTGTTTTCAGGGGACTGAAGTGAGGATCCCCTGCTTACCTCCAGCCTTAAGATGAGTTCCTGAGTTGGCTATCAGATCTCACTTCCTTTGTCCCTTTTACCTCTGGTGCGCACTTGCCATCCAGGCTGTGCAGTCCAGAGGTGTGGTCAGTGACACTCCATGGGAGCTGGACCATATCTGCTTCCTCCCACTGTGTGTATCCACAGTGTTTGCCTTTACAGGGTACCTGTTAAGTGTTTGGTGAATGAGTGACTGATAGTTTTCAGCTTCTAACAGTGCCCTCCCTTTTTGACTAAAGATGTCACTCAGAGAGTTTTTTTGTGTATATTCTCTTTCCTATTTTTAGAGATTTGTCACCTGACATTTTTATCAAACCATGCACTAGAGAGATGAGCTTCCTTTTTGCAGAGAGACAGTGCAGTTGAAAATGTTTAAGTTTTTCAACAGTCTGAAGGTCAGAAAAAAGAAGAACTCCTGTGTGAGGCATGTGGCAGGCTTTAAGTTTCATTTCCCCCTTCCCCACCCCCAAGTTGCTGCCAGCATAGCTCACAGTGCAACTTCTTTAAATCCTTGTCTGGGGTTATAGCTTAGTTGTAGAATGCTTGCCTAGCATGCGCAAGGCCCTGGGCTCGATCCTCAGCAACACACAAGCATGCACAAATGCACACACACACACACATCTTAAATCCTAATCTAATCTAATACTGTAGCCTATGTGTTTAAGAGCACACATAGGATATAAAATCTTAGACCAATATTTAATCTCTCTGGACCTCTGTTTTTTCTCAGCCCTATTTAATAAAGGAGATTGTACCTTATTAGATGACCCCTAAGGGCTCTCTTAGCTTGGCGACACCTTGACTACCCTGGTCTCCATGCAGGTAGGATCATTTCTGTCTGAAGCAAGCTAGGCCTGTGTTGGTCAGAATAGTGTGCAGGGCCCTGAAACCCTTCTGGTACTGAAAGTGATTATTGAAACCACTAGCTCATAACTACCCTTAACATGTGTATGAGAGAGCCTCCTAAATCATGGTTGTATTGGTTAAAATCAGATCCCTAATCACATTAGGAAGCCAGAGATGGAAAAGGATTGCCATTAGAGAAAATTAAATGTGCTCGTTAAGGCTGTGGCTGTCAGAACCAAATCTCATTGTGTGCTAACCAAATGGTCCAGAGGAGAACCATGCATTTATGTAGTCTAGAAATCAGGCTCCATTCGGAGCCATAAAAAGCGGTTAGAAATCTATTCCTAGGATACCTAATAAAGTAAATAAAAAAGGACCCATAGTCAGCACCGAGTCTTAAACATCAGAGTTTTCGGATTCTCAGAAAACCCATCATCCACTCATTGTTCTTTTAGCCCAATGGAGTATACGCTGTGTGCCGCACAGTTGAAGCTGGAAGTTGCACAGCCCAGCCAAGGGTGCCCTTCTCATGGCATTGCAAGAGCCACACCCATTCCTATTTGGCTCCTTTTGCAGGGAAGGGTGGAAGGGACAGGTATTACACAGATTAAAACAAAAAAATTAAGAGTTTTGTTTATATACCATAAAACTTGCTCAATAAGTGTCCAATAAATTTTAGTAAATTCACATGGTGATACAAACGTCACTACAACCCACTGTTAGGACATTGCCATCATTCCCAGAAGATCCCTTGTGCCTATTTGCAGTTACTCCTGCTTCCTACACCAGCCCCCAACTTTCTTCACCAACTTTCTGTCTCTAGAGATTTTTTTTTTTTTTTGAAACAAGGTATTGCTGTGTATCTCAAGCTGCCTCCAACTCATGTAGCCCAAGTCTGGCCTTGATCTCTCAATCTTCCTGCCTCATCATCTGAGTGCTAGGATCACAGATGTGTACCAGCATGCCTGGCTTGAGATTTACCTTTCCTGAGCATTTCACATGACTAGGATCATAGAACATGTGGTCATCTGCATTCGCTTCTTTCCACTTAGCATAAGGTTCATTCATCTGAGTCTTGGTGTTTAATGCTAATAGTGCTTCTTCTTTTCATTACTTACAATGTTTCATTATCCAGATACACCACATTTGTTTATTCATTTGCCAGAGGGGAGCATGTACATTTTCCCCACTTTTTGGCTGTTGTAAATAGTGCTGTGATGAAATTTATGTATACTTTTTTGTGTTGTATGTTTTCAGTTCTCTTAGGAGGTTACCTGGAAGTAGTTTCTTGACTGTGTGCAAAATTTATGTTTACCTTTGTAAGAAAATGCAAACCATTTCCCAAAGTGGCTGTACTATTCCGCATCCCCCTGGGTTCTACTTCTTCCACATCCTCACCAGCACTTGTATTACCTGGCCTTTTCATTCTGGCCATCCTAGTGGATATAAAGCAGAAACTCACTGTAGGTTTGGTTTGCACTAACAACTGTTGAGATTCATCTTTCATGTGCTTGCTGGCTGCTCTGGTTTGACTATGAAGTGTTCCCCAAACAGGCTTATGTGTTAAAGGATTGGCTGCGAACTGATGGGCTTTGAGGAAGTGATTGGATCATGAGGGCTCTGACCTAATCAATGGATTGATCCATTGATATAGTAAGAACTGAATGGACATTTGGAAAATGGTGGAAACTGTAGAAGTTAGGGCCTACTTGAAGGAAGTAAGTCACTGAGGATGTTCCTTTGAAGGGTATGCCTTGTCCCCAGACCTTCCTCTCTGTCTCCTGCTTCCTACCCTCCCCTCCATGAGGCAAGCAACCTCCTCCACCACATGTTCTTTCCAACATGATGTTCTGCCTCACCAAAGCCTGAAAAGCAGTAGAGCCAGCAGACCATGAACTGAAACCTCTGAAACCATCAGCCAAGATAAATCTTTCATCTGTTTTTTTTTTTTTTTCAGGCATTTGTCACAGCAGCAAAAGGCCTAACACATTGCTCATTCTTTTATTTTTTTTCTTTTGTTGCACATTAAGAACATTAAGAACATGCTTGTGCATGCTAGGCATGCTAGGCAAGTACTCTGCTGCTAAGCTATATCTCCAGCCTTTTATTATAATTTACTATTCTTATATATTCTTTGGTAAAATGTTTATTCAGATATTTTGCCCATTTTTGAATTGGATTACCTGTCTTCTTATCATTGAGTTGTGAGAATTTTTTTATTATGTTCTGGGTACAAGTCCTTAATTAGATGTATAATTAAAAACATATTCACCCAGTTTATGGCTTGTCTTTTTATTTCCTTAATAGTGTTCTCTGAAGTAAAAAATTTAAAATTTTAACCAAGTCAATTTATAAATTTTTCTTTTTACCCATCACATTTTTGACACCGTAACTAAGAAAGTATAGTCCAAACAAAGACTATAAAGATTTTTCCCTCTACTTCTTCTAAGAGTTTTATCATTTTAATCCTTTCATTTAGGTTCATGATCCATTTTGATTTTTTTCCCTTTGGCAGCATT